ATTCGCGCTTTTTTAAATTAAATGAAATTGTTCCTGAAGGCAAAGAAAATTCTCCCTTTATTAATGTTTTTTTTTTTTTTTTTAATTGTCAAATTAATTTTAAACCAAAAAAAAAGATTGTAAATCGTAATAAAGTTAGATTATGCGAAACGACATCGAGTGACATACATTTCTTTCATGTATTGCAGTATAACCAAAGTAACATAATCTGATTAGTTTTGTGTTGTTCTCCAGTCTAAAGAGGATATCTCTTCGAGATTATGAAAAATAATATCTGCCTCGTAATTAATTTTCTTGGAAAGGAAAATTCAAGGAAAAATCTTGTATTTAATATGAGAAGGGGTCATGTTCCAAGAAGTTGACCCACATTTCAAAGAAATGCTAATTTCCTAGTTGAGAATTATATGCGTTTTTTCTTCCATCAAAGTGAATAGTATGTATATGGGTGTGCATGATAAATAATAAATCCAATGAATCTTCACAGAGAGTAATACTCAAATGCCTTTAAAATACAAATCCTTGCACTACTCTGAAAAATATAAAAAGAAAAAAATTTCTTCTCAGAAATACGTTACACAGAATGAATATTTTTAATTAAATAAAGCAAAAGTCTGTATAAATCGTCTTTTAAAGCTATATTACAATTTTTTTTTATATCTTCTCCATTAAATCTCACATTGAAAATAATTCCAATATAATATATTGGAATTATTTTTAATATATATATATATATATATATATATTATATAAAACGATTTGTGTCAACAATTGAAATCAATCGTTATGAAATTTTCAAAAGATACATCTCTTCTAGTTCAGGATCAATAAAGTTTAGCGCACAAATTTTAACCTCAATTCCCAAAGAAATATCCATTTTTATAACCTAATAAAAATCATAGAACGACTTGAAATATTTCTCTCGTCGTAATAATTACATTCCGAGTCAAGGACGTTCGTCGGCCTGGAAAGTTATTTCAATCCAATTTCATCATTATTATTTGTTTTGATTGGAATTCACGAGCTTTTTTCTTGTTCTTCTTCTTCTTCTTCTTCTTCATATTCTTTTTCATCATCTTGGCCATTGTCAGAACTGAGAAAATCCTATACATTAAAGAAATGAAGAATATAGTATGGTTCATAATATAGAGTGAGTGTTTCTCTCTTTCTCTAGGGTGAAAGAACTGTCTAGTTTCTGACATGTGAAGATTAACGACCGATTAGTTCCCCAAGCAAACCTACTAAGGGATGGCATATAAGTGCGTGTATTGAGGTCAAAATTTGATTAGTTTGTTGTAAAATAATATGGATAACTTAATACTCATTGTATTAAAGCAATATTATAAACAAAATCATTGCCAAGTTGTTTACGGGGTGCTTTTTATGTTCCAAACCCTCAAAATATCTTGAACGGAAAGTATTTTAGAGAAAAAATTGTTGAATACAAAAATTGTCAGGAGTGGGATTACGAATAGCAACAGTGCTACGAAGATTTCGCTACGTAGCGATTTGAAGCTACATTCATTTTAAAAAAAATTTTTGTTACTAGGTGACTGAAAAAAATTGTATTAGTTTCACAGATTTAGGTTAGCCCAATTGTTTCGTTGGTAAAATTCAAAGATAGAAATTATATTATGAGTACTTTTTTAAAAGCGCGGAAAGTATAAAATTAAAAATTATGGATTCAGGTTAAATTTATTCGAATAATCAAAATGTTTAATCAAATAATTTTTTGTAAATTATTTTATTGTGAGGTAACAGTTGGCAAGCATGAAGTTAGAGAATTATTTCCAATTTTCAATATCGAATTCTTGTTGCCAGCGATTTTCTCTATTCAGATTTGTAATATAACTTTTGGTCCTAAAACATGATTTTCTATTGTAACGATGTAAATCGTATTTGATTTGTGTCTGCCTGCATTTTTCCCCTCTCGTTCAGTCAGCGGTTGAGTATTTCTTGTCTGCGTGACATAAGCATGTGTTCTGGCAATTTTTCCTCGTGAGGATTTGCGCATGTGTGTGTGTGTCGCCTAAAGGCCCGATTGTCAGCGTCGTTATCTAAGTTTTCCGAGAAGTTGCCGCCAAAATCGACCAGGAAGAGGGATGAATGAGCGATAGGGGTGACCAGGAAGGAAGATAGCGAGCCCCTATTCTGGATCAGGGGATCTAGGAGAATTTGGCGATCAATAGGCCCTCGATGTTAGATCATATTCACCAGAAGACCATTTTGCAAAAACTTATCATTAGTTATTGCGCTTAATTCTATTTTGTTATAATCTTTTTATTATTTGTTAAATAAATCTTCATTTTGTGTTAATGATAGAGAACGTCCAACAGCCTTCCGGCAGGATGAAAAAGACTCACGTGAGTCCCTCTGAAATCGCTTTATAAAATTAACATGGATTCAGATAATCCAAAAGTAAAATATATCGTTGGAAAGGTAAAAACACAAGCTTTTAGCGCATGTAAACATAAAGTTTGTAAATTAAAATTCCTAGGCTAGGGAATTCAAAGAAAAAGGACGTTTTTATAGGGTTTTTTTGGCGAATCAAAAAAAATATTTAAATTGAATTTTTTTAAAAATAAACTATCACATTTTATTCTTTGAAGGCTTCAGAAGAAAATGAGAGTAGTTAGACCGAAAAATATTGGTTTTTGTAGATTTTACAGTGAATTTACGAAAAACTGTTTTTTTGGCTTGTTGCAAACATGCAAAGTTTGAAGGCTTCGAAACATGGTTTAATATTATTTTTTTTTAAAGTCTAACGCATGAATTTTTTCGTTTTTACGTCTACTTTAATAAGAAAGGGTGACAGAAAAAAATTTTGAGTTCCCTTTTTACCACCCTCATATATATAGGGCCATCCAAAAAAGTCTTCCGGCAGGACGGGCGCTTGGACGTTCTATCATTAAGTGATTGTAAGTTTTCTCGTTAAATTGGCAGCGGTACGTCGGCGTCGTTATTTCAAACGTTGGCGAGTTTGTCATATTACTCAAAATCTTGTTTTGGATCATCAATGCACCGATGGTTTGTTTGGTCGGAATCTCCCTTTTGGTTCTTTTCAGCGTAAGTTTTAAATAAGTAATTAGTATTCGAATAATGCAGACGGTGCACGCGTACTTTTATTAATGAGCGAAAGTCTACCATTACACTATTGTTTTAGAAGATATTTAAGCGCAACTTTGTTCCTTGGGGTTTTTGGAGTCTTTGATTACGAATCTGAAGTTCTGGGCCCATTTTCTAATTTTATGGGTCCGCAACATAAAAATCATAGTTTCTTTTCTTACATAATAGAGATGAAAGTTTAAAAATTAAAATTGATTATGTTTTTTTTAATTTTCGATTTCCTGAAACATCAATAATTTTATATTATTAGGTCGTAAAAGGTTCCCAAATATAGGTCACTCGATGCATTTTTTAAGCTTATATTGTATATAAGAAAATATAAGAACTTTCTCATCGCGCCATTTATCAAGAAATAGAGAATAATATTCTCACATCCACAGGGAAAAAATATATTTGTCTCAGAGGTAAATAAATTTCTATTTCTTTCAAAAAAAAAAAAAACACAATTTATTTAGTCCAAATAAATTTTGGATACCTAAATTTTATTTAGTTTCAAATCAATTTTATTTTTAGTTCAAATAAATTTATTTGACTTTAAATGAAAATTTTATTATTGCACCAAACAAAAATTATGATTTCAAACTAATATACTTAATTTTTATTATTCTCTAAGACAAATATATTTTTATTCAATTCAAATAAATTATAAATTATATAAAAAATTTTGTCCAGTTGCGTTGTTTTTATTTTTAAATAAATGAACAGTAGATTTTTCTTACTAATAAAAAAAAAAAATTAATTTTTTTATCAAATTCCTTGTAGTTCATGTTTTAACGTCATTCATGCATAAAATTGAAAAAAAGAAAAAAAAATTTCGAAATAACGTTGCGAAAATAATTTGTTTACTTAAAATTCTCTTTCCGGGAACACAGATTTTTTTTTTAGAGAGAGAGAGAGAGAGAGAGTGACAAGCTTTTAGAAGAAACATTGATGTCTTTGAATAATAATTTTGTTCCTACAAAAAATTTAAAAAAGTAGATTTTTTAAGAGCTTTTTATAAAAAAAACACCTCTTTAAAATATGGACATTACGACGCAATAAAATGCGTTAAATCATAATATATTGGACAGTTATACAACATTCCAAGTTGTTAAGTTGTCATTACCATAGTTATAATGTAAGCAAACTTAAAATAACCATTATAATATAAATAATGAAAATAAATTAATATACAAAGTTTTTATTTACTACAATAATATAATTAATTAAAAAGAACAAAAAATATGTTTTTCTATTTTATTCTTTGTGTATCATAAATTAGTTCTTAAGAAAGTGTTTACATTTTTTGAATTTTTTTAAAATAGATAATTTTCAACAAAAATCGACTCCGCTAAGGAACTAGTATATTAGAAATTATTCTAATTTCCGATCAAATCAATATATAACTATTGGACCTCATACAGATAATCTGACCATATTATTAGATATTCGTCAATGGAAAATTTTTCCCCTTATTTCCTTATACGATAAAAATCAGAAAAAAAGCAGTAGATTAATAATTGATATAAAACAGTCAAAATCTGTTTTACCGACTGCTGACAAAATAGATTTCAAACGGTAAAACAGATGTCATTATTAACATATTCTATTTGTTTTTAGTGAAATATGACTAAATGTGAGTGAAAATCTTATTAAAGTGTTTCAGTTGTTAAATTTCATAAGAAAAATCTCACAAATTCAAAAAAAAAGTATTTTATTATTATATTTATGAAAAATTGTGATTTTTCTAAACAACAAATTATTAGAAGTATGAAATTTTATAAATTGATAAATGGAAAGACAAAATTGTCGATTAGAAACTGAGTTAGAGAGATCAGTATGAAAATAAGTTATCAAAAATAATATTTTTAAAGAATTCTTTCTGAATATATTTTCAGTAGCAACAGAAAACACCATTCACTCTGGCTAAGTTGGAAGGCGTCCTCGGGAAAAATGACAAAGAGATTTGAGTTCAATTGGCAAATCGAGGTGCCAGAGTCTCTTCGAAATGGATGCATATTCGATCGATGGACCGAAGAAAAGGACAATTCGGAAATAGAATTGAACTGTATGTTCAAGGTTGATGAATATGGGTTTTTCATTTACTGGCAAAGTGAAGGAAGGGTGTGTATATATCTCTCTCTATATATATGACTCATTAAATACGTCCTTTCGAGCTTATTCTTTTGTTTTTCTTTCTAATGAATACATATCTTTTGTTCTTAAATATGAATGCCGAAAAATTTATAAGCAGTCTTCTTTTTGTTCCATTCAAATTTTCACAGAACATGAAAGATGTAATAGTAATATATATATATATATATATATATATATATATATATATATATATATATATATATATATATATATATATATATATATATATATATTTAAAGAAAAATGGGAAACATCGAAAAAATTGATCATTACATATTCTTTTAAATGTAAATTAGTGGGAAAATTTTTTTTTTAATCAACATTTTCATATTAAAAAATGTAAAACTGGACGGAAATTTCATGTTGTGAAAATAGATTTTTGATTAATTGTTTGTTTTTCTTTTTTTTTAGCCTGGCAAATCCATTGTTTTAGACAGTGAATAATGGAACGTTTTGTGGCTTTATAAATATACCGTAAACGACATGCTTCCTATTTTCATTCTTTCTCCGTTTTATTTTACATATTATTTTTTCAACATCAATACTCCCACGTAAAGTTATAAAAATCGATAGATATTGGAAAAATTGTAATTATTTTTATTATTTTTTTTATTTCATAAAAAAATTTGAATGAAATACATACAATATGTGGTTTATATCCACGAGGTTTTTTTTTTTTTTTTTTTTTTTTTTTTTTTTTAAATAAAAATGAATCATTACAAAGAAATGAATGTTTCCATAAAAAAATGAACAGATAAAAAAGAAGATAAAAGGAAATTCAATTAAAATTGTAAAATACGAACAATGAAAAGAATCCTAAAAAATTTATATTAATTTAATCATTTTATAAAACGACATCTTTTTTTGAAAGTTTGTTAATATTTAAATAAAGAAGAATTGAAGGATATTTTTTTTTAATTTCAGGATGGTGATGTCCTTGAACTATGTCAAGTGAGTGACATACGAGCTGGAGGAGTACCCAAGGTAAGGAACTAAAAAATTCTTCATCTCATTCTTCTTTTATGATATAATCACAAAAACACACGCTACAAATTTTTCTCTTTTCAAAAGGATCCAAAATTGTTTGACAAAATTTTTGGAAAACATGGCGAGCTACTGGAAGATAAAAGTCTGACCATTTGTTCTGGAATTGACTACACCAACATTAATTATCAACATGTCGTTTGTCCTGATGCTGCTACTGCAAAAGTAATTAATTGGCTTATATTCATAATTATATTAAATAAAAAGATAATCCATTCAGTTATTTCTATTATATATAACTTTAATTTAATATATAATTATGGCGAAAAATAATATTAATTAGTAGAAATAGAATTTAAAATAAGATACGCGAAAGAAAACCGTAATAGAAATGTTTTGATGAATTATAATTGACCTGGAAATTAATTAATTTCTAAAGTTTCTTTAGTAAGAGCATTTATGTAAATAAAGGAAATCCGTTTATTCAACAGATATCAATGTATATATAAATTGTATTTATACTCATCAGTGATATACTATGAAAGTAAACTTTAACCGGAACTTAAAGATTCAAAAGCAAAAACTCGTACAGAATAACAATGAGGTCCACTTTTTGCCTTGGAAGCAAACAAACAAGATCAAATTTTTCTCTTTATGTCACTTTGTACGTTTAATGCTATATTCTTGGGTATTTCTATCATTGTATTTATTAATGTAAATATTTGTAAGCATTTGTTCTTGGTAACCAAAGAAAATAATATTTTTGAAAATATTTCTAGTTTAGATATTCTTCGTTCTTACAGATTTCTATAAGCTTCATCAAAAGCTGATCTGAAAGATCTTGAAAACCCCATTTTCTGCGACCTGGCTAGTATCGACCTTTCCGAAAAATTTCTTCTTGCAGAAGAATCAGCTTGGGGTCCTCTTACAATTTGTGGACTTCTTATTGGCTTCTTCTGAAGCACGCAGACGATGTAGCTATTCACACACTAATTCCTGGAATTTATCGTCATCTTTCTTGGCTACTTTCATGTTCTTCAGTTAATCCCCAAACGTCATACTAAAGTTCTTTTAGACTTGAAAAAATTTCACAATTTTGCATTTTCATGATGCATTCTACCTTTTCTTTAGGCAATTTATAATCTCACGAATTCTGTTGAAATTGTTGCAATTACTAAATTTTCCTTCATATTCGGAAGTTTTTGTGGTTACTGATTACGAATCCAATATTTGAGAAACACGAGACCGACCGCGCGCTACAGCACGCATGTTTTGTACTTTTCTTACGCAAATATAAATTTGTAAAACATATTTATTTGATATATAAGATTCATTAGGCACTACTCTACTGTTAATTTCCTCCACATCAACATTTCGTGCAGACAATATTGCATCTTTTGCTAAATCATCGTATTTTCGTCTCGTTATTAATTCTTTGAAAATTGTATCAACTAAATAATTGTTTTGTACGCAATGTTCTGGAGCTACTAAATTATTATTACTATCATAAGTTGAGAAAAATTCGATCCTTGGAAGGAATAAAATAACATAAAAAATGTATGTTATTAATATTGATTATTGTCACAAAACAAGAAACGACGTTTCGATGACTTGGTTCGTCATCATCTTCAGGTTAAATCAATAATTAGTTGAACCGTTACATCTTAGCGTTAGAAAATTTTATTTTGCTCAGACTAAGCTGGCACGTCAGGTTTATAGACCAGTATCCTCAAGACTCAAGAGATAATTGTCAAGAGATATTATTACTATCATTTAAAGTACCGTATCCACTTGCTAATAAGTATTTTGCAAATTCAACTTCTTCAGGTAAAGTTCGCAAATTTTGTGAAAATGAAAAAGTTTTAAAATCATTTCATAAAGTAGTGAATTCAATGGATGAATTATGTAAATCACTTCTAGTAGCATTAACTTTAACAGGTAATAATTATCTGTAATCAGCACACAATAACATGGTGTTATCAGAGCTTCGTCCCAAATAAAAAACATCAATATCCCTTAACAATGCAGCTTCCTTGGATTGACTTTTAATGTTTGTTACAGAATCTTAAAATAATGGAAGAGACATTCTAAACATTTTATGAACAGGTTTCCCATGTGGAAGTAATATTGCTGCAATGCCTGTGAATGCCATACTACAAACATTTTTTTCTTACTTCTTAACAACTGTATAAAGTATGATTCTGGAATATCACCATCTACAGTTGTAGTAAAAATTGCAGCAACTTCATTTACATTTTGTACATTGTATCGTCTACTATCTATCCCAGGTTTCAATAAAAGTAAAAATTACATCTCTGGCTCAATGGTTATGTTATTTTCAGTCATTGTTTTTTTTAATTTGTCACGCATCATGCGGTAGGATTGGGCGAATATGTTACAATTCCGAAAAGAAATGTTTATACCGGTTTAATGTCTGAAATTGTTTACATCGAATGTCTGTGGATTCGTTTTGATCTACGATAAATAATTGTCCAAATGAATTTACAATCTGAGCTAGAATAATTTCACTTCCTATTTCGATAATTGCGTTGATAATAAGCTTTTTTTAAATGATATGATTGTCTTTCTTGAAAAGTGACATTAACATATTTGTTTTGTACTTCACTTCCTAAAATGGACACATAACTTTCAGTGCTTGATGAAGTTGAAGGCAAACTTTGAGAAAGAATCTTTACAAAATAATCTGTACGTAAATCACTGTTTGAATCCAATTTTTGATGTTTAAAATCACTCTTTTCATAAAGGAAAAGTTAACTCGAAGTTAGTTGATTACACTTCTCGTTTTTAAGATAGGAAAATTCAAAACGGCGGATGAATTTTTTCAAATTGATTAGATTTTCTTGAAACTGATTATGAGGGGTTTTTTGGGGTCGCAGATCATGAATTTGCAGTCAATTTTGCAAAATTCTAAATGTCGGCCCCATTCAAACAAAATAATTATTGTTAAAAACCATAATTCTATTACCATAATATTATAATTCGCAATCATTTTTATAATAAAACTAACAATATAAAAAATGTCAATAGCCTTTTAGGGAAATTAAAACATTCTGGTTTTAATATTATTTATTGTTTTAAGTAAAGAAAAAAAACCTTTCTAGAAAAGAGAATTTTTTTTCTAAGACGATATATAAAGTTATATATTAATTGTTCTATATATCATAATAATTTTATTAATTTTGAAAGTAATTAATTTTAATTTTCTAAATGCCTCTAATTATGTACATTGTTAAATGTTTTTTCCCATCATAAGAAAATATTGCTTTTTATTGCAGACATGGTTGGATGGCATTCGATCGATTACACATAACGTGAAAGCCAACAATGTCTGCCCACTGACGTGCCTAAAGAAACAGTAAGTTTTGCAAACAATATATATATATATAGGTATAGGTATTCTCAATCTATTTCCTCATGCCTCCTATCATATATCCGTTTTGTAAACTCCTAGAAGGCATCTATAGTATATATAAATATTTTGTTAACAGAAAAATATTCTCTTCATCATTTTGACTTCAATATATATTTACAATGTCAGTTTGCTTCATTTCTCTAGAAGAGTTTAAAATTCACTTCCTTTAGAATTATTTTTTATTTTTCTCAGCTTCTACATTATATTTTCATTTTATTCTTGAATTTTATGTATTTAAAATATATAGAATAAAGTTTGAAATAATTTTGGCCTAGTTACGATTTATAAATTTTTGATAGCATAATAAAACTCTTTTTTATATATTTTCACAAACAAAGGGAAGTAAAAAGAAATATTTTTACTTTATCTCGGAAACCAATAAGAAGTAGAAGTAAAAATTATAACTCTTTTTTCCTTGAGTAATTTTTAATATTCTGTTAGTAAATTTTTTTGATTTTTTTCTTTTTAATTTTAATATTGAAAAGAAAATCTTGAAAAGACATTTTTTTGATACTTCAAAGTCTTTGCAAGGTTAAATTTAATTTTCTCTCAAATTTTCTCAAGACATTTCTATTTTTATGAGAATATTTTTTAAATATGGTACTTTTTTCATTAAAATTTAATAAAGTAAATTTTATTAAATTTTTTAATTTATTTTTAAGTTGCTCTAATTTTTCATTCTTTTCTTTGATATTAATTTTTTTTAAATTGTTAATAACAATATTCGTAAACGTCTTTCAATGTTTAATAAATAATAATATAAAAATATATAATATAATAAAAGACCAATAAGGAAAATGACAAAAACCCAACTTTCAACGTTTCGAAGTTGATTCAACAATTGCTAATAATTTTTTGAATTTAAAAAAAATGAAGACAAATTTTTGCCCTTATAAAGGGTTACACCACTGTAGGAGGCTATTCTTCAAAAATGGTTTTAATTGGAGGGGCTCCAATGCACGCATCACACAGGTTGCAAAAGTTAATCTGGAACAAAATAAAATTTTTTTCTTAATTAACATTAGAATAGCTACAAAAATACGTGGCAGATTTTGAAAATATTAATTTTTATTAAATTGGCGAGTTTTTGAAAGTACAAGTCGATTTTTCGACCAAAAAATCGATACTTTTTCGTACCTAAAAAATAGGAATTTTATTATATCAAAAATCGGCCGCGTATTTCTGTAAGGAATGTTGTTTTAAAGATATGATAAAAATTTGTATTGAAAAAAATGAAAATTAATTGAGTTATACTGCGTGCGTTTGATATGTGTTTAATGCTTGAAAAAATAATACATTTAAGTATTAAAAATTTTTACCTTTAGACTGCTAACATATTTTATGTTTGTTGACTTCCAAGAAAAATTTGAGAGATTGCCAAGACCGAATTCGTAAAAATGCAACATATAATTGACCATGATTAAATACATCTTTGTTTAGATCAATTCAATCATCTCAAAAGTTTGCTTATCAAATTAGTAAACAGATAATTTCAATTAAATATCACAATAACAAAGAAAAAGAATACAATACATTTTTCTTGCCCAGTCCATAACTTCTTTAACACAAAAACTGAAATTACTGGAAAAATACAAAAAATCATTTTTAATAGTGAAATCAGTGTAATCACTGATAATTAGTTAAAAATGATCACTCAATTTTTTCTCACAAAAAAAATTATCATAAATACTGAAAACACTGTAATCACTAACAATTAATTATTACAAACTAAATTCTTCATTTTTTCTCGCCACAAAAAATTATCCTGAATACAGAAAACACTGTAATCACTCACAATGAATAACAAACTGACAAAAAAAATCAACAATCTACCGTCATCAAATGCACAGGCTCATCCCCTCTGTCATGTTTATTCTATTTATGCACCTTCATTTTTATAAATGTTTCAATTAAAAATAATTTTATTTAAATACAAATGACTTAAAAAAATATAATTTTTGTTGTATAAATTTATTGCTTTTTATCTTTCGTGATTATATAACGTGGAAATTATAATTGAATCAACATGATATGAATAAACAATGGTGAAAGCACACCTTAAAGAAAATATTTAAATCCAGGTAGCTACCCAACCTTGGCAAAAGCGAATTGCACCAATTTATAAGTTTATTTACATTTTTGATGGATTCACGTCTTTATTGGTAAAATATTTATTTGAAAAAATGTTAGCTTTATGTTATTTAATGCTTCATGCAAAATATTAAATTTTATTTTTTAAATTAAAAAAATTAAGAAGAATGTGCTAAATAACCAATAAAGATAGGTGTCTATACTTGAAATTAGCTGCAAGTATCTGATGAAAGTATGTCGTTAGTTTTAACCAATCACAATTTTTAATTTTGAATTCTATCAATAAGGATAGGTGTCTACACGTGAAGTTAGGCAATTACACGTCTTGTTTTTAAGATGGGATTAGAAAAGATCGAAGTTGAATTTAAAAGTATTATGTGGACCCGAGGAGCAGATAACAACTTACCGCAGGTAGTCAGTTTGGGAAGGAATGCGAAATTTCAAGGAAAAAATTTTCCGATCATTTTAAAACATTTTGTTCCTTATTCTAGAAGGTTCAAAGAATTTTTTAAACCAAAAAAAATTTCTTTTTTTTTTGCAAATTCTACAGTGGCAGTGGTGTAACTCCTTAATAATTTTTCTGCAAAATTTAGATAGTATCTTTTTGTTGCAATGGGAAAAGTAACCTGGTGCCATTAGGTAAGAAATATGTAATAAAATATTTCATGATAAATTCCAGCTGGATGAGACTCCGAATGCAGGTGGATCCTAATGGTAAAGTTCCTGTGAAGGTAGTGGCTAGAACTTTTGCTTCCGGAAAAACAGAGAAACTTGTCTATCAGTGCCTTTCTGACTTGGGCCTACCTAGTGGGAAGGTATCAATTATATTAAAAAATCTTTCTTTAATTTTTTTTTTATCTAAACAAAAAATAAAATTCCAAAATAAAATTTTTATTTTCAGAACGATGTCATCGAACCGGATGATTTTACCTTCGATACATTTTACGCACTATATCACAAAATTTGTCCGCGAAATGACATTGAAGAATTATTCCAATCCATGTAAGCATGTTAGCACAATCGATTTTAATATTATTTTCATCTTTTTTTGATAGATATGCTTTTATTAAAATTATATAACATATTTGCTAATATAATTTTCATTTTTTTAATGAAGAATTAATCTTATACATAACATTAGATAATTTATATAGTACATTTTTTTTAGCGTCGAACGAAAACATTTATTATTTAAGATCTTGTCAACATATTCTTTTATTTTATTTATCTGCTAGTTGAAAAAGAATTGTCTTCCTATTTTTAAATCATTTGATGATTCAACTTAATTTTTTCCTAGATACTTTATTATTATTATTATTATATTCTTCGTTTGAATTTATAACTTTAATGCTTGGATTTATTTTCTTTTTTATAATATAAATAAAAGATAATAGAAAATTTATAAATATGAGAAAGAATGTTACATTATCTTGAATATATCGATCTCATGTCACTGCTTTTGATCCTTGAAATTAAAATTTACAAAGTGGTCAGGTCATTTTATATTCTTATTACAGAACCCAAGGAAAAGCAGATACCATAAATTTGGATCAATTAATTACTTTCTTAAATGAAAAACAACGTGATCCAACGTTAAACGAGATCCTTTATCCACTGTACGATGAGAAAAGAGCTCTGGAGATTATCAACGACTATGAGCCAAACGAGTCTGCAAGAAATCAAAGTACGACCTTGTTTTCATTTCTCTCTGGCCACTATAACTATGTGTATTTTTTATTTGCACATTTCCTAATACAGATTTTACACACACACATACAGCTCGGTAAAGGATAGGATTTGAAATAAAAAAAAAAAAAAAAATAATACTATTCTTTATAAATTTTATTGGTTTACACGCCATCCTGTCAGAATCTATCACGTCCTTTCAGAAACGATGACGAAGGACGGCTTCATTCGGTACCTGATTTCCGATGAGAATGCTCCTGTTTTTTTGGACAGGCTTGACGTCTACATGGATATGGACCAATCGTTGGCTCACTATTACATAAATTCCAGTCACAATACTTATCTTAGTGGACGACAATTTGGTGGAAAGAGCAGCGTTGAAATGTATAGACAAGTTTTATTAGCTGGTTGCAGGTATTAAAATCACAAAGAAATTTTGATAGAATTTTTTTATCCTAAAAATACTTATTTCATAAATTCTGTCAGCTATAAATCGACAGGCGCTTTATGAAATTTTTTTTAATCACAAAATTGATCATTACTATATAAAAAATTATGCTTTTACCCCAAAAAGCTATTTCAGTAGTTACTGTTATAAATTATTTGGGAAAAGTGATTTAATCCATTGAGTCCAAAAAAAGGATGTAAAACAATAATTGATATAATAATAAATCGTTGTACTATCTTAAGGATAAATTTTTAAAAAGCTGTTTCATTTTTTATAAGATGTGTGGAATTGGATTGTTGGGATGGAAAAGGAGAGGACGAGGAGCCAATAATAACACATGGTAAAGCCATGTGTACAGATATTCTTTTCAAAGAAGTGATATATGCAGTTCGAGACACTGCCTTTGTTACTTCTGAGTATCCAGTAATTCTTAGTTTTGAAAATCATTGCGGAAAGGGACAACAATATAAATTGGCTAAATATTGCGACGAAATATTGGGAGATCTTTTACTAAAAGAACCACTTAAAGATTATCCTGTAAGTTCTTTATAAAGCATTTTTACTTTCATTAAAGAATATATTTTATAAAAAAAAAAAAATTCTCCATAAAAAAATTTATGATTTTTTCATTTTCCCACTCTGAAAAAAAGTAATAATACTTAATTTTACAGCTTGAGCCTGGAGCTCCTCTTCCACCGCCAAGTATGTTAAAACGAAAAATTCTCATAAAGAATAAACGTCTAAAACCAGAAGTTGAAAAGCAAGAATTAGAACTTTTTAAACAGGGACAATTTGTCATTGAGGATGAAATAAAAGAAGATGCTAGTGCTCCTCCACTAGCTGTTGTTGAACAACAATCGGTAAATCCAGCCAAGAACTACATAAAAAAATTAACCCTTAAAATACACACTGAATACAAATTTCCTATCGATTTAAAAAAAATTGACTGAATTTCATCAATTTGAGCCAAAAATATGTATAAGGTTTCAAAATATTGCGGCCTTTGTGTGTATCGAACGTAAATTTTTGAAGTGTGTACCTTAAGGATTAAAAATAACAAAAGTTAAACTTTATTGTTTATAAATAAACTTTTTTAAAAATTAATTAAAATAATTAATAATAATCATTTTTTTACAGGAGGAAGCTGTGGACGTAATAGCTGTTGTACAATCACATCAATCAAATCAATCTGGTCCTGGAGGTTTGGGAGAAAGTTTAGAGTTGGTTGTGCAACAACCTTATACCGGAAGTACTACCAATGTTCATCCATGGTTATCTTCAATGGTAAACTATGCACAGCCCATTAAATTTCAAGGATTTGATGTTGCAGAAGGTACAAATATTTTTTAACTGAAGTTGTTATTACTGGTCGATTCAATAAAAACCGTATCCTTTGGCTAAACTAATCCTCATCCTATTTTTTTTTTATTTTTGCGAAATTGCGACATAGTCTGATTTATGGTCAGATTTTTGGCATCTGAAATTAGTCCGATTAAGTTCAAAATTTACACGGTTTGTGTATAACCAGTGAATCCAGAATTAAACCGAATTAATTCTGTATTTACTAGTTGTGTGTGATCGGACTAACTTCGGATTAAACCGAAGTAATTCCATATAATTTACTGGTCACACAAATAGGACTAATTTCGGACTTAAAAAGACTAATTCTGGATGAGGAAAACCCGATTACAAACCAATTTGTTTTGCATTAATTTCATCGAGATAAATTACAGACTATTTTTGGATTTAACTTTTTGAGCTGACTAGATTCAGATTGTTGCACGAATACAGTCCAAGAATAAACTGCAATAGTTCAACATCAGTCCTTAATGAAAGATAAATCTGAGATCAATTCGAAATTACTATGAAATCAATCCATAACAATTCGAGTTTAGATCGGTCCAGAAACTTAATATGAAATAAATCCGAAGTAATCAAAAATTTATATGTAGACAATCCACAAATAGTATGTTACATTTCACGATTTACTCCGGTTAAAAAACTTAATCCTAAATTATTTAAAAATAATCTGAAATTTGTATGTATAAATTCCGAACAGTTTGCATTGTCTAAATGTGAAAATTGTTGCGGATTAATCCCAAATTTTTACATGTCATACATATTTCGGATTAAAATTTTCGAAAAAACGTAATGTTAAATTTCAGAAAAAAATGTTCATTATAACATGTCCTCATTTGCGGAGACAACTGGATTAAATTATTTGAAAACGTCAGCAATGGAGTTTGTCAATTACAATAAGCGTCAAATGAGTCGAATTTATCCAAAAGGAACTCGAGCTGATTCTTCTAATTATATGCCACAAGTTAGTGATAAAAAATTTTTAAATACTTTTTAGTTTAATTTTGAATTATATCTTTGAATTATAAATAATTGATGATTTGCAGGTTTTTTGGAACGCTGGATGTCAAATGGTTTCACTAAACTTTCAAACGGCAGATCTTCCAATGCAATTAAATCAGGGTAAATTTGAATACAATGGCTCATCAGGATACTTGCTGAAACCGGATTTCATGAGAAGAGCTGATCGAAGTTTTGATCCCTTCGCTGAAAGTCCAGTTGACGGTGTTATAGCTACTCAGTGCAGTGTTCAAGTGAGTGAAAAAATATGTCTCTTTGATAAAAGTAGTTAATAACAATTTAAATTTTATTAAACCTTAACATATATAAGCATACATTTTGATATTAAAAAATAAAAAAATATTTAACGGTAGGTCATAGCCGGTCAGTTTCTATCCGATAAGAAGGTAAATACCTATGTGGAGGTGGAGATGTACGGTCTGCCAACTGACACAATTAGGAAGGAATTTCGAACAAGAGTGGTGCCTGCGAATGGACTAAATCCTGTATACAACGAGGAACCATTCCTATTTAGGAAAGTTGTCCTGCCAGATTTGGCCGCATTACGATTTGCCGTTTATGACGAGTCAAATGGAAAACTTCTTGGTCAACGAATCGTCCCCTTGGACGGCCTTCAAGCTGGTTATCGACATATTGCACTTCGAACTGAAGCCAATTTTCCAATGTCTTTACCAATGCTTTTTTGTAATATTGAAATTAAAATCTATGTTCCTGATGGTTTTCAAGGTCTGTGCACAGTTTTAGTTGATTTTTTTAAAAATTTAATTTAAAAATTTTTCTGAGTCAAAAGTTTGAAACATACAAATTACATTTTTTTTTTCTAATATTTCCATGTACATAAAATATATATTGCGTCTTTTATTTAGAATTTATGGACGCTTTGACTGCGCCAAAAGAATTCCAAAATACTGAGAGCATGTCACAGACACGAATGCGTGGCCTTGGAATTGAAGAGAGCGATAGATCCACCCCAGGTGATTTGATGCAAGCACGTCAAAGGGAAACTGCTAAACCTAGGGGTACGAATTGTTTTCTTTTTTTAGATGGAATCTCAATTTTTCTGCATTAAATTTCATTTGACCTTCTAAAATTAATGTTGATAATGATTTTTCTTTAAAATTTAAAACTACAATTTTATCCATTGAAAATTACAGAGGAAATGAAATTTGAAGCTATCACTGTCGAAGCTCTGAGGCAAGAAAAAGGATACCAGAAAGTATTGAGGAAGCAACAAAAGGAACTTGATTCTCTTCGTAAAAGGCAGCAGAAAGAAAAATTATCAGTACAGAAACAACAGTGTGCAGCTATTGAGAAGCTCATTAAGGGAAAAAAGTAAATATCCTCTTTTTCTTCTAAGAGAAAAGATTTTTATTCGAATGATTACGAAAATAATAATAGTAGAAGAGTAAAATTTAGAATATATAGTAAAAGTTTTTTTCAATGAGAATATATATATATATATATATAATTTTTGTGTAATACTTTTTTGAAACATTTTCAAAATCAGCGCATCAAAATACATATTATCAAGCTTTATTTAAACTCTTCCGGTGAGCATTTTTGGAACTTTATTTCAAAAAAAAAAAAATTTAATATAATCTAAATTAATTTACAGTAAGGCGGAATTATCAAGAGATCCAATTGTTCGTCAAGCAGTTTCCGATCAAACAACGCAATGGTCACGTTTGGCAGAGAGGCAAAGACGCGAAGAACGTGAATTAATGCAAAATCATGTTGAAGAAAGACGAACGCAATTACGAAAACTTTGTTCAGCCGCTCAAGTTGTTCAACAAAAACAATTGGTTGCACGTCATGAGCGCGAGATAAAAGAAATGAATGCCAAACAGGCAAGGCTATCAGTTGAAAGTATGCGAGAGGTTATGAATGATAAGACCCTTAAATCTCGTGGCATCAAAGAGGGAAGACTTAGAGAAAAACAACAAAATAACACCAAAAAATTTATGGAAGAGCGAAAAATTGGACAAATGGTCCAAAATCGAGAGAAAGAGAAACTTCGCGACATTCATGAAAAACAACTCGATGAACTGCAGAAAGAAATGAATGGGGTTTGTATAAATTTTTCAATATATCAGACAAGTTTTTTTTTAAACAGATTTTTAAGGCCATCATTCTTTATAAATTTGTATAATGATAGTTTAATAGATTGTGTCTATTGAAAATTTAATCATTGTATTGTTTGAAGAAATCAAAACATTAAATTTTGTATTTAAATGTTGATAAAATGATGATTGAATTACAGTAAAATTACTGTAATATTACCATGAGGCGGACATTTTAATATTACGTGCTACTTGTGTCGATTTACCTAATTTTTTAATTCATCAAATTTTAAACGATCGAAATTTCAATTTACTCATATCTTGATCAAATTAATTTTCAATTCATCAAAATTTTAACGGATTCAAATTTTCATCTATTTAACTTTCAATTTATCTAAATTTTAAAAGTATACAAATATTTACCGTACACATTTCATTTTATGTAAATTTTCATCCACTTAATTTTCATTTCATTGAAATCTTCAATCGATACAAATTTTAAGCGTCTGAAACTTCAATTATTAATACAAATTTCAACTAATTAAACTTTTAGAACTTTTTTTTTAGTTACCTTTAACACCTTTTATAATTTTTGTCACCTTTTTCGTCTATTTCGTTAATTATACTTTCCTTATATATGAACAATTGTAAATTTTTTTTTTTAATTTAATTTTTAAATTTGAGCATCATTTTATCAACATTTAAATACAAAATTGCAAGTTTGGATTTCTTAAAACAATACATTGATTAAATTTTCAATCCACAGTAAATTTAATTCATACAAAATTTAAATGATTAAAATTTCAATTGACTCTACTTTTAATGAACCTCAAATTTAGATTTTATATATTTCAATTTATTATCTTTTTGGAGTAAGAGTGATATTGGGAGTGAAAAGTTTTTGAGTGAATGGAAAATCTCCAAAACGCTTCCGTCGTCTGCTTCCTATTTTTACGTAAACTTGTCCCACTTGGTGGGGCCACTATCTGGACTCACACAAAATAGGCGCTTAATTCAAAGGAAAGAGGCTCGTGACAAATCACTTCGTCACAATAATATAAAAAATTTATTAAGTAATTTTTCTTATAGCTTTTTAATCGCTCTTTGAGAGAATTGCGACTTTAAATTTAGCAAAAAAATAATATTCCCAAAAGTTGGGAAGACAAATTTTTCAAAATTCCAAATGGCCTTAAAAATTTTATAAAAACCTTGTCTTTCTTAGCGTTAAAGAATTATTTTTCCAATTTAAATCAAACATTATTTTTTAAATCAAATTCCTCATTTATTTTTTACAATATTAATATATTTAAACAAAAAAATTTTTTCAGATCCTTGATATGTATAAGAATGAAGAAATGGAATATGAGCTAGGATCGAAATCAGAATTCTGTGCGTAAATGCGTGTGAGATGTAGAGTATAAATGTCTTGTGCAAATATCCCCTTAAAAATAATTTATTACCGTTAATTAATTGGAATTGGGATCAAATCTCGACCGTTAGAATATACCAAAAAAAAAGAGGAAGAAAAAAATAATAAAAAAAAACTCGACTAAACGTTGGACCTAGTAATTCATCTGTTTCTTGATATTTTTTATAAACCTCATTCTTCATAATGATCGTCGTGCCAGTGATTAGATTTTAAGAAGAACGATTGAAGTGATCTAGTCAAGTGTTTTTACTCTTAGACAAAGAAAAAAAAACGAAACTAACGTGTAGAGATAATTAGAGGATTTATCTCTAAATAAAAAAAAGTATATAACGACTCTTCGTCGAGATATAAATTTTCTAATTTTTATCGCAAAACCTCGAATTCTCTGGTGGGGACTTGTACATTTCAATAATAATAATAATCTCGTCATTATTGCATATTATTTCAGCTCATTCACGTTATATATGTATAAAAAAAATGAAACTTCATTATATAGAGAAATGAAAAAAAGATCGATTTATTTTTAATCGAGAGTCTATATATAATATATAGCAAAAGTTCAATATGCAAATCTCTCTCTCTTTTTCTCCTTTTTGAAATCTATATTGTCTACTTAACAGAATGCCGAACAAATGGTCCAAAATGACATACACGTTAAGTATAAATGAAAAAAAAAAAACGTAAAAGCCAAAAATTATGTAAGTATTACTTCAGAAAATAAGTATATATATATAAATTGTATTAGTGAATAGTTTACGTCATTGTTTTTATTGTAATAATGTTATTAAAAGTATACATTATAATTTTATCTTCATTACTGGAGAAAAATCAGAAAAATTAAATAAAGAAACTTCGTTTTAGATGATTTGTGATTTTATCATTATATCTTTCTTATTTCTTTTTCAAACCTTTATAGAAATTAAGTCTTCTTAAAAAAATTATCTCTAAATCACACCGAAATTTCATAATGTAAACTTAATTTAGAAAAAAAGAGATTTAAAATTTTTATTATATTTTTTTGGCATTGAAAAGTAAATAAATAAAACTTTAAAATTCACTATGTACAAATTAATATCTGTAAAGTTTGTTATAGATTTTTTCTTCAATTTTCTTCAATTTACTCGATTTTCAAATTTAAATCAATCATTTTTGTATTTAAATATAGAATTTATATGGGTAATTCTACAAACGAAGGTCGAAAATGAAGAAAATATGGACACAATATTTTTTTATCATTTATGGTCTAAAAAGTACTTTAACTTCAAGTTAATGACACTAACAAAGATACCTGAAAGTGGCCAGACAAAATATTAAAAATTACAAATGTTATGGTTATTTATTTATAAACAATCTATCCAGAAAATTAAGAATCGTGTATAAAAAATTCATATTACCACAAAAAATAATGAATGGATTTTTGTAAAACTTATTACTTCGGGGTTTTCGAGATAGCAGAATACAAATCTAATGTTAGTTTGTCAAAATTCAAAATGGCGGATCCAATATGGTGCACGACTTTTGAAAAAACTTAATGTATTCGTCTGAAAATACTTACCCTGGGATTTTCTGGGTCGCTGATTACAAATCTGATGTCAGCTTTTCAAAATTCAAAATGGCGGATCAAATTTGGCCGACGAATTTTAAAAAAACTTAATGTATTCATCTGAAAATAGTTACTTGGGGGTTTTTGGGGTCTCTAATTATGAATTCGATGTTAATTTTTCAAAATTCAAAATGGCATCCCAGATGAATGAGAATTTAGCACTTTGATGTGTATTTTTTTTGCAAAAAATATTTTTTTTTCATCGGCTTCTTTTTAGCGCCACAATAGAAACCATTAAGATTTACAATTTTCATTAAAAATAAAATTATATTTTTCAAAATTATTAAAGAAAATAAGCCTTATTGATCAAAATTCCCTCGTTTGTAGAATTACAATTATTTTGTTTAAATATAAATGCTTATTTAACAAATTTTTGAAGTAAAGAATTATTTAAAACAAATGCTGCATTTTTAAATGAAAAACTTTCTCTATATCAAAAGAAATAATTTGGAAAATATAATTATTTGCTTAGATTTAGCAATATTTTTCTTTATGACGAGTAAACTTTTGTATCTCAAAATAATATTTTTAAATTTATCTAATTTTTATTAATCCTAATGATATTCATTATCATGTTGATGACTGTATAAATAATAAGCTGAAGATTCTGGTTCTTCATATTCGTAATAATGTCGATGATGTTGATGATGATGATCGTGTTCTAAATAAGGAGCTGAAAACCGTAAAAATTAAGTTTAGAAATTTCGAGAAATTTATAATTATTGTAAATAAGTACTTTTTGACATTAATAATAATTCAATTTTTATAAGTAAATTTTTTTTTAAATTTAAAATTTACAAAAGTTTTTTTTTTCCTAAAAATATTTTTTTAAAATAAATTTAAATGAATTCTACTTGCCAATTGTTGAGAGAATATTATGTTCTGCATTGTGGTGTTCCAAAGGTACTTCAACTACTAATTGAACTTCATGTAACGCTGCATAATGAAACAATTGATTTGTTATATTTTAATTATCAATTAATTTAATTACTTAAATACTGAAAGACTAAAACTAATTTTATTAATTCATCTAGCCAAATACTAAAATAGTTTCAAATTAATTCTTTTAAAATTATTTTCCTGAGGTATAATTTCATTTTGATTTCCACTTCGACTGTGAATTTTATTTTCACATTCATTTACACTTTCACTTTCTTTTTTCAATGAAAATTTTCAATAAAAATAAAAGTGAAAGTGAAAATGAAAGTCAAAGTGAAAGTTAAAATGAAATTACACAAAGCACCCATTTATTTGAATAAAATTAAAATTATGTTAATTTACCATCATTGTGCAAATGATCCGACAAATGATGATCATGAACATGATCAACGTAATTATTTACAACATGATCCAAATGATCGGATGAATGATGATGATGATCATCTATGTGTTCTTCATAATTATTTGCAATAGGAACGGAACCGTGATTTTGAATTTGAACATTTTGATAACTTGTGGCACCATGTCCATGATATATCGCCTTAAAATGAGGAATATGATGACTTATGCCTCGAGGTAATCTTGCTCCTTCACAAATTACTATTGCCACAAGATATAACTAAAAAAAATGTATTTGATTTTAATAATCAATTTTTCATTAATTTTTGCAATACCTATAATTACCACAATGCAATTTTTAATTTTTTAACATTTTTCTTTAATTCTTAAATTATTCTGACAGTTTACAAAGAAGGACTCGATTAAAAAAAGTGAAGTCTATTTTCTACACCAAATATAATTTTTTTTAAATATTTAGTTCTTTAGTCAGCGAAAAATAATTATAAAAAAAAATTGCTTATTTCCACATTTTCTAATTCTCCATAAATAAAAACAACATAATTTTTTGGTATCATTACAAAAAATTTATTTCACACATACACACACACACAAATATGTATGTCACTAAAAGAAAAAAAAAACACATATTATTTGACACTAATACACAATTAATAAAGATGACACTCACTAAGGGCTTCATAATGCCTAAAAATATCCGTTATTCTTTTGTAAATTGAACTGAAAGAAATTGTGTCCTGATCTTGTGTCTTATATGCCTTACACGGGATAATGTCGACATTCTATGTGAATTCTCTATACATCATGGGCGGATGTTTATAATCTTTTATTATGACGAATATATCTGCCGACTTATAGCCACCCATAAGATATACATATAGAACACAGTATGGGTATGGGAAAATAATTCGAAGGCGCCCTTATGCAATATACATACATATGAATATACATATATATATATTCTAACGATGTAGCTTTGTGTTTCATTGCCGACTTATGCAATATTTCAAGTTGCTCTCATCTGACGAAACAAGAGGGATTTCTTTGAAAACTCCTTATGCTACTTGATAATTAGTTCTCAGAATTTTCTTCTTCTTCTTCTTCTTTCTTTCTTTCTTTCTTTTTCATTACAACCTCGATATATACTATTACAAAGTCTAATTTATGCAGATACTTTTAGACTGCAATTTCTTTCATTGCTGAAAATATTGTGAGAAACTAGAACAGACACACATATATATATCTACTTTAATTAAACAATATAATTGAATTCTATTTTTTTATGTTATGTCCTCAATACAACTAAATATTGTTAGTTATATTATTCCCAATGTGGGGGGTGGACACCTCCTTTATTTTGACCCCTTTTAACCCCTAGACTGTCAACAAGATTTTCACTGTTTGGGCGAAAAGTGTGTTGAAAAAAATTCTAATGGATTTTTATGAAACTTGTCATCTTAAGGTTTTCGGGGTTGGTGATCACAAATCCGATGTCTGTTTTTAAAAATTTTCAAAATTCAAAATGTCGAATTCAATATGGCAAACAGCTTTTTGAAAATTCATCATATTCGCCTGAAACTCATTACTCAGGGATTTACAAATTTGACTTCAGTTTTTCAAAATTCAAATTGGCGGATTGAAATTATAAAAATTTGAATCCACCATTTTGAATTTTGAAAAACTGATGTCAGATTCACAATTAGCGACTCTGAAAACCCCCAAGTTACCAGTTTCACGAGAATCCGACCAATTTTTAATTTTATCTTCCGCCATATTGGATCCGCCATTTTGAATTTTGAAAAACTGATGTTAGATTCGTTATCAGCGACCCCAAAAACCCCTGAATAACAATTTTCAGGCGATTCCGATCAATTTTGAACAATTTTCCGCCATATTGGATACGCCATTTTGAATTTTGAAAAACTGACATTGGATTCGTAATGAAGGACCCCGAAAATCCCTGAGTAACAAATTTCAGGCAAATCTGCTCGTTTTTAGTAGCTTTGGTTCGCCATATTGAATCCTCCATTTTAAATTTTGAAAAACTGATGTCAGATTCGTAATCAGCGACTCCGAAAACCCCTTAGTAACCACTTTCAATGTGGAACTACTTTCTAATTTTTAGATTTGCAAAATTCAAAATGGTGGATCCAATATAGCGGATTTTTTTTAAGTCCATCTGATTCTATTGAAACTCATTTCTTAGGGATCTTCAAGGTCACTGATTACGAATGTGACGTCACGAATTTTAAATTTTGAAAACATTCAAGCGAATTTAATCAATTTTTTCAAAATCTGCTGACATATTGGATCTGCCATTTTGAATTTTGCAATTCTACCTACAATTCAAACTCAGTAATTTCAACAAACAATTTCTCAGAGATGAATAAATAGTTTTTCAACTTTCAAAATAGATTTTGAAGGGATATTTCAGTACTTTCAAATAAGATGATAAACTTTTTGAAAAAAATCCCCCCAAAAGTTACCAGCTTCTGGAGAATTACACATTTATGCTTAAAATTATTTTTTTTTCCAAGGAGAAGGTTTAAAATAAATAAAACCCTGTAATTATTTCTTTATTTAGAAAACAAAAGACTTTCTAATGTTGGGATATCTCTTTATTCGTTGCATGATCATCTGCATCAGGATCGTGTAAATAAATATAAAATTATGACTAAATCGTACATATCAATGTATGTATGTGTGTATGTAAAAAATACATTTCAATAGAAAATAAATAAGCGTTTTGTGTGATGCATTAGAATCAAAACGATAAAAAAAACAATTTTTATTCTGATGATAATACAAGATTCTTTTTCAATAGACCTTGATTGATGATGCAAAAAAAAGCCAGTGAAAAAACAGCCATCATTTGAGTAACATCTCAATCACAAGGTTCCTCCCAAACTTTATTCTGTACAGGTGGTATATGAACAGGAGGATGAATTTGTGGTTTAATATAATTTATTTGAGGTATTTTAATATGATGCATTGGTGGCAATGGAGCATAATGAATTGATGCACCATGTGATGATGGTTTACATGGATCAGGACATGGTATTTTTACACTTGGAGTCCAGGGTTTATGAATCATTGGTTGATGATACATTGGTGCATATTCAAACATTGGTTTGTGTATATTGACTTTTGATTGTTGCCAACCTGATGATTGAGATTGCCAACCAGATGATTTTGATTGCCATCCAGATGACATTGGTTGCCATTTAGGTTGTTGCCATCCTGAGGATTTTGGTTGCCAACCAGTGGATGCTGGCTGCCATTTTTGTTGTTCCCATCCTGATGATTTTGGTTGCCATCCAGATGATTTTGGCTGCCATCCGCTAGATGCTGGTTGCCATTTTTGTTGATCCCAACCTGATGATTTTGGTTGCCATCCACTAGACGCTGGTTGCCATTTTTGTTGTTCCCATCCTGATGATTTTGGTTGCCATCCACTTGTTGCTGGTTGCCATTTTTGTTGTTCCCATCCCGATGATTTTGGTTGCCATCCTGATGATTTTGGCTGCCATCCGCTAGTTGCTGGTTGCCATTTTTGTTGATCCCATCCAGATGATTTAGGTTGCCATCCAGATGAAGCTGGTTGCCATTTGGGTTGTTGCCATCCAGTTAGCATTGGTTGCCACTTTTGTTGATCCCATCCTGATGATTTTGGTTGCCATCCCAATGAAGGTGGTTGCCACTTTTGTTGATCCCATCCACTTGATTTTGGTTGCCATCCAGTTGACAATGGTTTCACGTAACTGATGTCTTGCTTTGAACCAAAAAAAGAAAATATTTATAATATATTTTAGTCTAAAATTTGATAACTATGAATGAAGAATAACCAAATTTTGTTTTTTAAACTAACTTTAATTTCCGGTTTCCATATTTGAGAATTATGTTCTTCTGGTGGACAGGGTTCTTGATGAGTAGCGTGTCTTTTCGATTTCTCTGCATCTGTCTCTTTTTCTATAGGGTCCTTTTCCACGGTCCCTGAATAGACACTCGAGAGACACAGTAGTAATAAAATCTAAAATAAAAATATTTATGACAGTAGAAAAATAAAAAAAAAAAAAAGAAAAATAAACTTTATAGGTATCATGAGATTCACTTTCATAACGGAAAGAGTGTAATATTATATACTTAAATGAGTTATTGTTTTAAAGAACTTCACAAGAATAATATTACTGGGTGTATATAATTAGAGAGTGTTAATTAATTCTCACACTCTTAGTTGATTCAAATCCAGGTTGGAAAAATTGAAAGCAATTTACAAAGACAAGAATCTCACATATAAAGACATTTTATATATATATAGAATAATATACAAAATTTGTTAATTTTATAGTAAAAAACTATTTTTCGAATAAGAAAAAGTTTTTCCACAACTCTTTGCAATAAATAATGATTTCTCTCTAACAAAAAAATTAAAGGAGCATGAAATTGTAAATTTTAACTCTTGGAAGATTTGGGTCATTAATCATTTACTTCAATAAATTTTATATTGATGGAAAATATTTTCTAATAATTCTTAATAGTTCACTCTCCGGATTGGTATTAAACCCCATGAAGCACTATTAAACAAATAAAACAAAATCGATTGGGAAAAATTAATTTCACTCACCGAAATTTTAAGCATGATTATTAATGAACTAAATTAAGATGGATCATCCAATAAATGTTAGGACCCGCCGCTCGTGTGAAACTAAAAGTATTTCATGATTGCTTCTCAATTTATAAACTTTTGCTCCATTTGGATAGAGCAAGTTTCTCATTAAGTTGAGTCCAACGATGCCAAATGAAATTCCCTTAAGAAGTATAAAAAGTGGTTGGTACAAATGATGCAATGGTCGCGCCCAGATATTTCCTGAATAAATCTCCTTTATATGCCGTAAGAGTTTAAGCGCGCATACACAGAGGGTTAGTGAGGATAATTCATGTGTTTTCCTATTTTTATAATTCTTTATAGAACTTTTATCAAGATATGCTGAGAGATATATTTTTTTTTTGCCCCTTTCGTTGTGTCACATAATCATGTTGAATAACTATTTTTTTTTTAAATTCAATAACAATTTACAACATAAATCGAGAAACGATTTACACTTCTAATGATTTTTCTTTTTTAATTTTATTCACAAGTTGTTAAATAATGGAAATAATTGATTTCTTCAGCAGTTGATGATAAATAAAGGAATTTATTTTTTGTCTAAAAGAAGAATTTAATTTTTCCAATAAATTTATTGTGTGTTGGTAATTTAAAATTTTTTCATATTTATAATGTTAAATCGTATAATTCCAATGGATTTGTCCATATATATAATTATGAAAAGGATAAGGAGAGCAATTAATGACATTTTTGCTATTACGAATGAACTAATTGCTTCGATTTGTAAATAAAATACACTGGTAAAAGTAGGGTAATCCTGACTTCGATTGATCCGCTCTAAGATCAACACTAGACTCTTTCAAAATACTTAACCATCCAGTTCACCTCCTTCCACATATATTGTACGTGACAAACAAAAATATAAAGGACTATTTATAAATGTAGTATATTGAAAAAAAAAAAATATTTTTTCTATTCCAAATAATTGAAATATAAATAAATATTTATTTGACTCAAAGAAACAGAATTCGTAAAAATATTTACCGTATTTATAACAAATACTAATTATTTATTTCAATATCTTCCCGCATTCCATTATGGTTAACAAAACTCGTCAAATTGGTAACTCACGATCTTTATTTTATATAATTATGCTGGTTTTCGTTAACGATATACAGTAATACTTTAATTAAATAATTAAAAATTGTGAATTGATACACTTTTTTTTCTTAACCTCAAAATACATATTGAATTTTATGTCACCTGATTACGAATTTGAATTCAAACTTTAAAAATCTAAAATGTCGGATCCAATATGGCGGTCAAATTTTTAAAAAATTATTGAATTTTTATAAAACTTGTTATCTAGAGATTTTTGGGGTCACTGATTACGAATCCGAGGTCATATTTAAAAATCCAAAATGGCGATTCCAATATGGTGGAAAAATTTGAAATAATTGTTGAATTTCAATTTCAAAAATTTGTCATTAGACTCGTAATCAGCGAGCACAGAAACTTCTAGAGACGAAAAATTAAATTAAACGTGATGATCAAAGAAAATAATTAGAATTATTATCTAATTTTAAAAATAGTTTATTTAGATAAATTATAGTAACGCATTTTGCGATATAACAAATTATATATCTATGTACAATAAATGCGTGTGCTTAATCCGAAGAGTACACACTAGTCACTTGTGGATTTTTGGCAAAAAATTTTCCAACAAATATACTACTAAGTTTAGAGTTTCCCTTTTCTTAGTGTTTCCAGCCGTGTCCTTTACTCTGGTGATGAAAAACATGTTTATAAACGGGTACATGCACCGGATATGGTTTTGGAATTGGTACCGGAAAATGTTTCTCCACTGTTACTGCATACGGCTTTTCCACAATGTAAGGTACCTGAATAATAATAAATTATTTTTTTTTTTATTTAAAAAATTGTCAATCCAGAAATTATTAAATAAATAATAACCTTAAGTAAATTGGGAAATTTGTATTATAATCTAAAAAGTGATTAAAATGTTATGTGAAATAAATAAAAAATGATAGTGTACATTTTTTTTTTAATTGCAAAAAACCATTTTTTTAATAGAAAATCTGAACTTAGTTTTCAAAAATTCAAAATGGTGGTTCAAATATGGCGGACGATTTTTTTTTATTGGATTCGTTTGAAAGTATTTAGTGGAAGGTTTTTAAGAACGCTGATTATGAATCCCATGTCAGCTTTTAAAAATTCAAAATGGCGGATCCAAAATGGTGGGTGTTTTTTTAAAAATTGCGAATTTAAGGTCAGATTTATAATCAGCGATAACAAAAACGCTCTTGTAAAAAAAATTTTGTTAAATCTGATAATTTTTTGTGAAAATAGTTCGCCATATTGGATCCAACATTTTGAATTTATAAAAATTTATAAATTTATATTTATAACATTTATAACAATTTTCAGATATAGTAGATAAATTTAAAAAATTTCTTACGCTTAATTGTGATTTGATAAAAATGAATGTTCAATTAGTTTTGACAATTATTATTCTCAGGCATATTGAATAAATTCAAAAAATAAATTTCTAATTTTAAATAAAAGAAAATATAATATATATAAATTAGGGAAATATTACACAATTAATAATTTAACTTTAGAAAAATAAACGATTAATTAAATTTGAAGACATTACCTTCTTTTCGACAATATAAGGCTCTGGCTTCTCAATGGGGATTTCAATGTGTTTCACGACTTCTACTGGAACCGGATGTGGAACGGGCACTTGAACTTGATAAGGTTGCGGAATCGGAACTTTAATTTGCTGTGGGACCGCTACTGGAACCGGATGTGGAATGGGAATAGCGTATTTTTTATAGATTGGTATCTCAACAGGTTTCTGCGTCTCATGATAAGTCGTTGTTCCATGTTCTCCCTCGTAACTTGCAAATACACCCACAACTAAAGTTGCAAATATCTGAAATTATTATCATTATTAGTTAATAATTAGCAATTAACTAATTTAATACTATTTCAGTTTTTTTTCGTCTCAATTGAAATTATTGACATTTAAGTCTTTATTAATTCAATAGAACTGATTTTTATTTTATATATTAAAAATAAAGAACTTTTAATCAAGGTAAAATTATCATAAGAATAATCTATAATTTTTTTATGTCCATTTCTTCAAAGCATGTCACATAAATAATTGGTATGAACTATCCTTTCACGGTTTAATAACAATAGTAGAAAGTGCAAATGATCTTGAGATAGAAATTGAAACAAATATTGAAGTGAATTGAACAATTTTGTTTGTATCAGTTATCAAAATTTGGCAAATTTTTCCGAAGAACAACACTATTGTTTTGACTCAATCAAACATTTGGGTTAGTCAAACCAAATTCATTCTTCAATCCAATAGTTTTAAATCTTTTTTTTTTTTATCCGATATTGTATTAAATCAAACATTTTTTACAATTAAATACATATTTATTACAGTAATACAGATTTTGTTTCAAATAATTAAAAAAATTGTTCCCTAATTATAAATACGAAATAATAAATTGATTATAAATGTAAATTTTTTTTTTCTGTAAAACTAACTATTTTTTGTTTTGTTAATTTAAACTTTAAAAAATTGATGACTTACGAGAATCTTCATGATTTTGGCAAAAATAGTGACAATGTGATAGGTTCAAAAGAACCTGTTGTCGCAGTGACTTTGAATCGACAAGATGTATCTTTAATGCTTTCAAAGTCACGGTCAAGTATTTATATAGTGATGCCACTTTCTCCCTTCTCTTTATTATACAAATCTAGATGCTTCAATATATATTGAATATACGTACACAGAAATTGTATCAATATATATAAGAACATAATAATAGTTTAAGAGTAGATCAGTTCTCTTTCTGCACATTCACTAAATGTGTATAGGTATAAGTCCCTTGTGGCACATATTTAGAGACAAAATTGTCTACACTCGACAACTTGATCATTTGTTGAGAATACTATTCTTTTAGTCTTCATAAACATTATATTATAACGATCATTGAACCTGACAATTTCTCCATCCAATTTTTCTTTTTATCTATTGTTTTCTTTATTGTATTTATAGATTTCAGTAAGAAAAACTAGGAACAAAATTAAAAAAAAAAAACTTTTCTTTATTAATTTGAAATTAAACTAATTGTATATTCATAATTAATAATTATATTTTAATATAATTAAAAATAATAAATTATGAATAGTTTAATTATAATATAAATAGATAACAAAATTTATAATAGTTTTTTGTGCAAAAACATTTTATTATGTAAATACGATTAATCATTATTTTATTACTTTCTTGAAAAGATATAAAATAAGTGTGAGAAATTATATTTATGATTTTCATTTATTTCCGCATCATAATAATTATTAAGCATTATAAACAGGAAATAGAGAAATAGTATAGTTTGATTCATATTATCAAAAATTTTCAAAGTCGGAAACTTAATTTTTGTAATTTGATTAGTTTTTTTGATTTATAATTTGTTTTTGTCTTAAAAAATCCCTAATTTCAAACTTTACGAATTTATTTAAGACTTACTGTATATAATATTAATTTACGAAATATATTAACATATTATAGGCATATCAAGTTCTCTATATTTATATACGAAGATTAGAAACAGAAATTATCAGTTTATCGTAAAAAAAATTTATTTTACAACGTCAACTAATATTAACCCAATTTCTTCTCGATTTCTTGAAGTACCTACTGATGCATTCGTGACTAGTTTCAGTTGCTTTGGATGATTAGAACTTTTTACTTTTCTCTCTTAATCTTCATAGAGTTAGTGATTGCTGTACAAAAATGTAAAAAATAAATATTGTCCTACAATAAATTTTCACTATCTTAACGAGAAAAGGGTAAAAAAATTATAATTCTTTTAATAATCTATAAATATTCTGAGGTTCAATTTTTTTTATTATTAATTTTCTGATTATATTTAAAAAAAAAATTTTATTATTGTGAAAATAATAAAAAAATATATTTGTGCAAACATAAAGAAAATTGAAAATAATTAATTTTTAAAATTTATTTTTCATTCTTTAAAGTACATAATTTTTTAATCATGTAATTTATTTATTTATAATTTCTTGTAGACTATAATAGTCAACATAAACTACGTATACGTTATAGTATTATAAACCAATGTTTAGGTGAAATTTTTTCCTGTTTCATTTACAGAACAGAAGGCTTTGAGCTAAGGGTACAGGGAAGAAAGAGAATATTGATTTTTAATGACAAGGTTACAAGTTTATTTAGACAAACATTTAGAGTTATAAAATTAATCGTTAAAAGAGAGAGAGAGTATCCTGAAGCAACCATTCTTGAAAATAAAGGAAATCAGCATTCCACTGCAACAAAGAATGTAAAGGTTACTACAAATTTGTATAAGGAGTTAGGAAGGATTTAGATAAAAAGTATTACGACTTATCTTAAAATTTTAGAAATAAGATGTATGAAAAAGGATCACTGCTATCCTTAAATATGGATAGGAACGGCTGGTACAAGATGTAGCTTATGAACTCACAGAAAGGTTGATAGACCTTGGTGATGATCACAAGTCATCGGAGTTTAGTTGACCGTAATGAAAACCCAAACAATGTAATTCTTTTAAAAAAGGAAGAAAAGATGATATTATGGTAAAATCAAAATCTTGAATACTTGGATGAGTACTTCTTGACGTAGAAACTTTTAACATTTGACACAGAGATTCATCTAAGTTCAACTTTACTATAAAATTGGTCAGAGTAACAGTTTTCTTTAAACGTGATAAATTAAAATAATATATTCTCACCATAAAATAATTGCATCAGTAATTGTTGATAATTTTTCTAGATGAAATTTCTAATCATATAGTATAATATGCATACATCTTGTTTTCAAATTTCGCTGTTAATATTTCAAATAGAAAAACGATCATAAAAAGTGTATATCCAATTCCCAATACATAAAATAATATGAGTAAAAGTAATTCCTTTTTAATCATTGTTGGTGGCGTGTCTTTATGGATATGTGTATCAGATTCAAAGTAATCTTTTAGAAACCCATGCTCTGTTACTCTTAGGACCATTTCATTAAAGCGATCGATGTAAGGTATGTCATTTAAATTGTAAAGAATGCTGAGTATTTCAGACAAAGAAAAATAGTGTATTAAACTTTCCGACAATATTTTTACGTTCAACTCTCCATTTTTAGATATAAATTTATTTACAAAATATTCTGCATCAGGATTGAGACAAGAATATATATATGTCTTGATGTTCAGACAAGTATTTCAAGCAAAATAATTCCGATTTATTATCTAAAATTCCAATAGTCTTGTGTCCTAATTTTTTAAAAACAGGATTATTTTCGAAAAGGAATACAGTTTTAAGGAAATAAGATGCCATCGGTAACAATGAATAATCAGCCATTTCTGCAAGATTTGAAATTGCAGGTTCCGATCGCCTTGAGATGTCTAATATTACTAAGTACATATATGAGGCAAAATTCCTGAAATGTCCGAACAAAAAATTAAAAGTTCTCGAATTTAATCCATACTTTTCTAAAATGTTGTTATTGTTGGTGAAAGTCTAAAAATCAATTATTATTGAATTTAATAAAATAGTTTTTGAATTACAACGTTTTTAATTTTTGACTTTTGAAAAAAAAAAATTTTTTCAATGTACAATATTTATAAGTAGAATGCATAAAAGTTAACATATATATAATGATTTTTAAAGCTTTTTTGACGAGCTACACGCTGTTAATAAAATTTTTTTTTTTTAAATAACATTTGACCTTGAAATTCAAGGTCAAAATGTTAATTTACGTTTATCTCAAAATCGGATTTTTTAAAATTATTTTTAACTATCTCAATGGAAAGCTTGACTAATTTCCTACAAAATATGTAATTTTCAGAGTGGGATCTTTTAAAGTTTTTGAGATATTAATTAATTAATTAATTAATGTTTATAACAAATGAAATATTTTACAAACGAATAAAGTTACCGTAATTCTGAAGTTAGTAATTGAAAGTTAACGTAATTCCGCATCCAACGAGCCCTATATGAAGTATTTTGGATAAGTAGATTGTTAATAAACAATTACTTAACATTGCAATTGTTTATTAACAATCAACTTATCCAAAATGCCTCATATAGGGCTCGTTGGATGCGGAATTAGCTTAACTTTCAATTGGTTAGTTTAGATTTACGATAACTTTATTTGTTTGTAAGATATTTCATTTTTTATTGTTATTTAACTAAAATTTAACAAAAATACTTCATATAGGGCTTTTGGATGCTTGTTGTTAGTAAAAAATAAAATATTTTACAAACAAATAAAGTTATGGTAATTATGAACTTACCAATTGAAAGTTAAGGTTATTCCGCATCCAACGAGCCCTATATGAAGTATTTTGGATAAGTAGATTGTTAATAAACAATTGCAATGTTAACTAATTGTTTATTAACAATCTACTTATCCAAAATACTTCATATAGGGATCGTTGGATGCGGAATTACCTTAACTTTCAATTGGTAAGTTCATAATTACCATAACTTTATTTGTTTGTAAAATATTTGATTTGTTATAAACATTAATTAATTAATTAATTAATATCTCAAAAACTTTAAAAGATCCCACTCTGAAAATTACATATTTTGTAGGAAATTAGTCAAGCTTTCCATTGAGATAGTTAAAAATAATTTTAAAAAATCCGATTTTGAGATAAACGTAAATTAACATTTTGACCTTGAATTTCAAGGTCAAATGTTATTTAAAAAAAAAAAATTTTATTAACAGCGTGTAGCTCGTCAAAAAAGCTTTAAAAATCATTATATATATGTTAACTTTTATGCATTCTACTTATAAATATTGTACATTGAAAAAATTTTTTTTTTTCAAAAGTCAAAAATTAAAAACGTTGTAATTCAAAAACTATTTTATTAAATTCAATAATAATTGATTTTTAGACTTTCACCAACAATAACAACATTTTAGAAAAGTATGGATTAAATTCGAGAACTTTTAATTTTTTGTTCGGACATTTCAGGAATTTTGCCTCATATCCTGAATAAACGATAGACGAAACTAGTAGTGAGACATAAAAAATTCTTTCCAACAGTTTTTTTTTGGTTCTTGAGTAGTGGACATTTCCATTATGAGTCGACAGATATTAAACGTCTTCCATTCACTACCCTTGAATCTCATAACAATAGCTGAGAATCGGATAATGGCAATCATAACAATTGTTTTCAATATTATTTGGAAAAGTTCCGATGATAGAAATATCACTTTATCACGCTTTAACGTATTGAGAATCACAGCTTTAACACTACCTAAGTTTAAAATTCGTGTCTCCTTAGCCATTAAATAAGGAGAGGAATTAAATGTTTTTATTAAAGGCCAGCGGTATGTCGGTTTACCAGTTTCATTATGACGAAAGATTAGATTGTATCCATTCAGATCGCGTAATTTATTTGGAAACCAAAGACTTTCAGATGATACAATTTGTTTAGAATAATTCTTAGTAAAAGGATTTAATTGGCTCAAATGAAGATTATCATATCTGGATATTTTTTTAGCACTATTTGGCAATGGTTACTGCATGTCAAGAAAGTCATGTAAACTTTCATAAAGATCCTCGTTAGCTGAACAAAAAGAATTGACGACTAAAACTTTTGGATGTGATAACGATTGACTGATATATTGGAAGTGCATCACAATATTTTCAATTTCCTCTATTGAACTTTCGTTTGTTCGTTGACTTCTTTCATAAGAGAATTCATAATTGGATTGTTCTGTTTATCTTTAAGAATGAATATTACTTGATGCAGTTTAGAGTCATCTTTCAGATACTTTATCAATCCATCATAGTGATTATTTTCTGAAGACAATTCTAAGATTTCTTTGGAGAATATATAACTAATAAAAAACACGCTCACAAACTTTATTGTGCAAAATCACTTTCTTCAAGTGACAAAAAAAAGACTAGTTATTCTGAGGCAAAACTATTGTTATAGCCATAAATGCTACGTATTAGTTTCTAGTATTGTATTTTTGTTTTAGATATTTATTGCTATGGTTATGAAATTAAATCCATCCATTTTATAAAGATCACAACTTTGTTACTATTAATATTACTCAAGCTTAAAGATGAAAAATGTGCATTGACTTCTTTCATAAGAGAATTCATAATTGGATTGTTCTGTTTATCTTTAAGAATGAATATTACTTGATGCAGTTTAGAGTCATCTTTCAGATACTTTATCAATCCATCATAGTGATTATTTTCTGAAGACAATTCTAAGATTTCTTTGGAGAATATATAACTAATAAAAAACACGCTCACAAACTTTATTGTGCAAAATCACTTTCTTCAAGTGACAAAAAAAAGACTAGTTATTCTGAGGCAAAACTATTGTTATAGCCATAAATGCTACGTATTAGTTTCTAGTATTGTATTTTTGTTTTAGATATTTATTGCTATGGTTATGAAATTAAATTAAATTGGTTAACACACCTTTTTAAATGTCATTAAGGCAGGTAATTTTTGTGAAACATAATAATGTAATGAAATGAAGACTTAACCTGTTGTTTAATAAATTGAATCCATATAGGGAAATTCTACAAATTGGTCATTAAGTAGTTTGGTATTCGAACAAGTGATATATTTTGATTTCAATTATTAGGGGGAAGTGCTCCGGTTGTGGGCACCCTTTTATTTATATGGCTCATAATTTTTGATCGAATGCATATTATGAGACTTGTACGTATCAGTGGCAATCTAGAGGTCTTAGGTAACTGTCAAAAAAGAAACTAAATTGATTCCTCCTTGATTTTTAATGAAAAAAAAAGTTGTACCCCTTTGTGGGCACACTTGTAGAATCCAACAATTTATGTAGTGAACCTTTTATTTGAACCTAAAAGTCTTCTTTTTTAAAATAAAAAAAAACTAAAGTGAATATTTATGTAATTTATTTTTCTTTCTTAATATGGGAAGTAATTTAACAATATATATATATGTCTTGCGTTGAATCGTCTTTGATTCATTCTTCTATGTTAGAGCGGAACAGTGAAAGTATATAATATAAGTCAAAGTAAAAGTAGAATTACACCCAGTGACACAAAATAGATGCATATTATATTTTTTAAAGAAAAGCTTTATTATTATGCTAAATTGAAAATATTGAATTCCATTTTTATTATAATCGACAAGAAAATTAATCAGTGAATTACACGCTTGTCAGTGACAATTTTTTTCTCTCTCATTATTTTCATAGAGAATATATGTAACAATTTTATTCTCATATTACGTGATATGTCTTTTTCCTCCATTAAATCACTTTATACGATTCAATTTATTTTTTCTAAAAAATTTTCAAAAATAAGAAAATTAGAAGTTTTATAAAAATTTCAATAATATTGTAATGTCGTTTGTCTCCGTCATTTAAAATTTTGTCTTTTATTTCATTATAAATATTTAATTAGATTTTCATTCATCTATTTTTTTGATTTTGTAGAATTTATGGATGGTAAACTTAAAAATCTGAATTACAAAAATCAATATTTTATATTTTCAAATAATCATAAATTTAAAAATTTTAAGAGCAAAAATCAATACAATTTTACAAATATTCATAAATTTAGCAAATTCCAAAAATCAACATTCCTTTGTAACATCATAAGATAATATCTTTTTCTTCTCAAATTTAAGACGCCACATATTTAAAAACTCATTAAGTGTCCACATATATCTATGGATGTATGTATTTATATTTTCATTATATAATTTTTAAAACATTTTCGAATAATAATTTTTTTTATTTATAAATATTTATAATAATTATAAACAATATTCATTTTTTATTTATTTTTAATGAATTATATGAAGTTTTTACAAATGAATTTATTCTTTAAAAAGTTTATAATAATTATAAATAATTATGAAAATATGTATATATTTGTGTGAATGTATAAAATTTAGATTATTATAAATAAGATATAATTTTTATTATTAACATTATAAAATTGTTAATTTATTTTTTATTAAAAACAAAACCATTTTCAATAATATTAATATGTGAAAAAGAGGAAAATTATGTATTCAGAAAATGGAATTTGGAAGAGGGGAAACGAAATCAAGGAAGAAAACTATCAATCCCCTTTTTAAGGCGCTCCTACGCGTTAAACCCTTAAAAATGAGACTGGCCCAAATTTGCCAATAGGGCCCTTTTTCTAAATAAGTTTTCTCATCATCTTCTTTTCTTTAAACCAATCCAAATTTTCCCAATCTACTTTTTCTTTTCTGCAAAATTTTTTCCCTTTCTCCAAGAATTTCCCTTCAAATCTATTTCCCCTAGAAAATCTGATGGTGGGAATTTTAACATAAAAACTTATGTTTCTATAGAAAAAATATATATTCTAATATTCAATTTTAAATTTATATTCTATTTAATTTTGCATTCAATACATTCTTCTCAACAAAAAAAAAAGATTTTCTTTCTTTCAACTAAGTTTTAAAATAATTTTTAAATTCAAGATTAATTTTAAGTTTTTATTCTAAATTCAAGTTAAATTTTTTAAATTCAAAGTATTTTATTTAAAATTTTTAAAAGTGAGTTTCATTTTATTTCACATTTTTCAAAGAAAAAGGAAGTTTCAACAAATTCCTAATTACCAAGGATTTTTGCTCTCTCTTACTTTTCAATTTCCATCATCTTTAATAATAACAATTATAAATAAAAAGTAAGTAATTTTTAATTTGCTGTCGAAATATTTTCTTAAAATCTTTTTACAAATTTTCTAATTCCGAAGAATGGACTATTGTTTAGCATTAGACTATTTCTTCAAAATCCAAATTGAATCCTTTTATATTAAACCTTTTTATCCAAGAGAATCTTATTCCTGTAGAGCAGTTACCATGATTCTCTGATCCATTAAATTCAAAATTATTCCTTTAAAAATAATAAAAAAATAGAACTCATTTTAAAAAAATTCTGAATTATTAGATGAAAATCTAGACTCAAAAATATCATTAAATTTAATAAAATATTTATTAATGTAACAATATATATTCATGAACATATAACATGTATTTATATTAGTAATTAATTGGTACGATTAATTATTACGAATTATATAACATTTTTTTTAAAGTAAATTAAAAATTAATTTAAATTCAATATTAGATAATAATTTCTTTTTTAGGAAATTTTGATTTTACTATTTGATCAAATGGGCATAAAAATTAATAAACTTCATATTTGTAACAAATTTTTAATAGTTTTCTGTACAAAACTTCGATGACAAATTTAGCTTGAAGATATAATAAAAAATATTTAGAAAAATATATTTACAAAATCATGCGATGTTCATTAAAAACTAACTGTAATTGCTCTACATTCGTAAAAGAAAAATTATATCGTCGTTTATTTCAGACACTTTCAATGATTTCGTATTTTTTATTTAGTCCAAATTTGGTAAATGTTCTCCTTTTATGGTAATAAAATCAATTCTAGAAAGGTGAGACTATGGAATTGCGTTGCATTTAATCATTTAATTCATCGCGAAGAAATGCATGTACTTTTTTTCTTTACTTTAGATGTAATTTACGTCTCTCTGGAATTTTATTAGTTTGACCAACAATTTGATCAATTTTTATATTCAATGGAAACAATTATAAAATATTATTTAAATTAAAAATTTAATTACCTTGACCAATAATTTTATTTATCTAAATGAAATATCAAATTACCTGCGGGGGTCAAATATATTGTATTACCTGAGTCAAGAATTTTATAATCCTCCTATCAAGATTTTTTTTAGTTAGATTAACAATTTTATTATAGATAAAGAAAAAAATTATTAATTGATATAATTATTAAAGATCCATTGAGAAGTAAATTATATACTTCAATCAATAAAATATTTAGATAATAATAATAAACCAGTTATTTCTTTCATGAGAGTGAAAGTATAATTTTCTTAGAATAAGTTTCAATTATTTTTCCAATTGAAGCAATAATACTTCAATAATTGTCAATTATTAAAACAATTCTTTTCGTTTAAATTGAAAAAAAATAATTTTTTTTTTTACAAAGAGTTGCACACAATTCTTATTGATTAATTTGACAATTTTTCTATACTGTAGATACATATATTATTTTCTACAGAGTCAAAATTATTCATGATTTTATTCAACAATCAACATTTCAATTCATGAATAAAAACTATATATATATATATATATTTCAACAACATATCTTTTTAGATTGCCTTACTGAAAGAAATACTTTACGCAACACTTATATTATTGAAAAATAATTTTATTTTTTTAATTTGTTTGGAGGAAGAATTTTTTCTCTCGTTCGTAAAATCGTGAGACATTTTTAATGGAAAAGAAATAAACTATTTCTTTCGTAGTGCTCATTTCTAAATTTAGTGTCGATGAAAATGAAGAAGCCTCTTTTCACAGCAGAAGATGGCAGATTGATTAGACCTTCAAATATTCTAACTTGTTAAGTTTTAGTGCCAATGCTTTCCTTTTGATGAGTGGTGGTACACATGTTTATAAATGGGCACATGAACGGCATAAGGCTTTGCCACGGGATAAGGAAATTTTTTCTCTACATAAACTGGATAAGGCTTTTCCACGACGTATGGTACCTAAAAAGATTGTATTCTTATTTAAAAATCTATTAACAAATTCAAACTGAAATATATAATTACATCTATATTTACAGTATGAAAGATAAAAAAAGAGTTAACTAAATATTTCTAAATAAATATTTGAAGTTTATTTGAGACAAATAAAAATTTTCTTTACACCAAAATAAAATGTATTTTTACTACTGATAATAAAAGATGTCGAGTTTCAAGGAGATCAAAAGTTGGAAATTCGTGTCTCTTAATTATATCAGTAGTAAAGATAAATTTTAGTCCGACATGTGCCTAATATGCCTGTAATTTTAACATCAGTAGTAGAAGTGAATATTAAGCCAGACATCCCAAATTCTTGCAATTTCTTTATCAGTAATATTATTATTATTATTATATTTATCACTTTTTTAATTTTTTTATTGTTTAATAGCAGTAGTAAAAGTGATTTACTGTTCTTATAATTTTGGAATTACTAGTAAATGTCAGTTTAAATTTATTTAAATTTTGGTATCAGTAGTAAAAGACAATAATAGTCAAACTGAATTTTTCTAAATTTTTTACAATTACAGTTACACCCAGAGAAATGTTTTATATGAACCAAATAAAACATATTTGATTTAAATAAACTTATATTTGTCTAATAGCCTACTAGTCTATTTATTTGGCGTATATAAATTTTTTATTTAAATCAAATAAAAATTTATTTTAATCAAATAAATATTTATTAGGCTCTAAGACAAATATATCATTTCTCTGGGTGTAGTTGCCCGAACATCATTAAAGTGATATTGGTTGCTCATTTCAGGCGCTCTTTTATTTATGTCTAGGATTTATAGAAGAATCTGTAATTTTCTAATTTTCTACTATTTTTGCTAACATTTTTTTTTTTTTGTTTATTTTTTCTTTTTTACTTACGTGCTTTTCTACTACATAAGGCTCAGGTTTTTCAACGGGAATTTCTATATGTTTGATAACCTCAACTGGATATGGATGTGGAATCTCCACTGGTACTTGATACGGTTGTGGAATTGGAATCCTTATTTCTTGGGGAATTTTTACTATTACAGGATGTGGAATGGGTATAGCTGAAATTAAAATTTTCCTTAATAAATTTATAATTATAATAAAAATTTTAATTTAGTTAATATGAAAAAATAATTGAAACCTTACGCCACACTTTTTCCCGTCGGTTACAATTACAATAATTATTTATTCAGACATTATTCGCCATCATTATAATTCGCCTTGGTTGTCAAAGGAGTTAGAAAACATAACCGGAAGTATAAATAGTACAATATACTAATACTTTCGGGGAAGTCAAGACAAAACAAAAATATATCCCTCCAAATGTCCTTAAAATGGCATCCACCAGAAAGCAAAAAAAAATGCAGTAAAATAAAAAATAATATTTACATTACATTTTTTTAATTTTGACATTTTATTATTCTTCTATTCTAGTTCCTAGAAATGATACGTGATAAAATAAAATTGATACGTGATTGTATGAAAAATTTAAAATGAAGTTATTTTAACACATAAATTATTATAGTTTGTAGTTAGGATGAAGGAAGTGTCTTATTTGCACTTGGAGGGATATAACATTTTTGTTTTGTCCAAATTTTCTCGAAGACGTCGTTTTTTACCTAGAGCACTACAAAAAGTGGTCCAGATAACGGAAACCCGTAATCTGCACTTGGAAGGATATATTTTTGTTTTGTCTAAACTTCCCCGTAAATGACGTTAATTTTTTACCTAGACCACTTCAGGAAGTGGCCCACATGAAGGAAACCCTATATTTGCACTTGGAAGAATTTAATATTTTTGTTTTGTTCAAACTTCCTCGAAGATGTTAATTTCATACCTAGAGCACTATATATATAGGGAGACATCCGGATGGCCCTTGGATTAGTATATTGCACAATTTATACTTCCGGTTATGTTTTCTAACTCCTAGATAAGCAGGGCGTATTATAATGGTGACGAATAATGTCTTGATAAATAATTATTAAAATTGTAATCGTCGGAAAAAAGTACGGCGTAAGGTTTCAAAACTTGGATGAGCCATGGATGGATCCAGGCATACATTTTCCACTTGGTATAAAATGAACTAACATATTTTTTTAATTTTTAATATTTACCTTGTTGACTATCATAAATAAATAATTTAAATAAATTTATTTTTATGTACATATTTTGGTCCACTACAATATAAAATGAAAAAATACAATGAATTAAAAATTATGATTAAAAAATAAAACTAAAAAAAAAATGAATATGAAATTTAAAAAACTTACCGTATTTTTTATATATTGGAATGTGTACAGGTTTAGTTTTTTCCTCATATGTTGTACTGACATGATCATCACTTTCAGGATAACCGGCAGACACCAAGTAAATACAAGCGAAGAAAAAAATCTGCAAGTGAAATCTCCGATATTTAATTTACTCGCACATCACGTATTGCACACTTGGGAACAATTATTATTATCTTTGTTCACAAATAACATACATCCCACAGTTTATGAATAAAGAGAGAGCAACAAACTAATAATGTACTTTATAATTACAGTACTATTTTGCCTCAATATTAACATTTGCTTCCTCAATCATATATGATACTGATTACATTTAAAATAATAGTCATTTGAAATTACTCCAATTATCTTTAATGACTTTATAAGTTTTGTATGTTTAGCAATTAAAACTATATATATGTATGTAATATTAAATTAAATTTACTCCTAACAATTTTTTAACTCAACAAAGTTTTCATTTTAATTTAAGAAGAAAAATTCAAAAACATTTTCAAAATATAATGCAATTTAATTTATACAACTGTTTATTTTCTCATTTTTAATTTTCATTTTTTAAAAAAATGTCTCTTTTTTTAAATTTGATTATTATTCATTCGTCCGTTTTTAGTTTATATTTGATAATTTATAATATTTATTTCTGATTTTAGTATGGCCATGAGGATAAGGAAGAAACGTAAAATTTTTAATTCATTCACATTTATAAAGATGTTTTATTTCTTTTTTTTTCGTTTATTTTTGAGTAATAGTTGCTTACAATTTGATTCATGACGGAACTTTTTGGAGGAAGTTGAATATTGACACAGAGGAAGTCGAGTTGAAGGAACGAGGTTTATATACCGTTTATATTCCACCACCTTTCACTTAAATCTTCTTCTACTAGTACACTATATCCCTCCCGCTAGAAAATTATTACGAAATTTGTTTTACAAATGTTTTAACTTCAATAAAAAGTCTTTTAAGTAATTTGAATACAAAGTGAAGGAACAATTAACCGGCGTACAAAACATCTTTAATTATATTCACACGATCGTTATAATTGTTCCGGAAGTTATTTTAAAGTGCTAAAGAATTAAGATAACAATATTGATAAATTAGAATTCATATTTTTTTATAAAATTTTTTATACATGATAAAAGAAATAAAAGATCAATAAATAAATGGAATATGTGATTTTATTATTTAAATAATAAATTGACAAAAATTACTGCAAAATAGAACGAAATTTCAATGAAATTAAAATGTTAGAAATAAAAATGTTATAATATATTTTCAAAAATAATAAAAAGAATAGAGTATAATATATAATAAACAAATTATAATCAATTTTTTTATATAATTAATATTAATTTATAAAAACAAATTTTAATTATGTTTATAAAAATAATTCAATACTTTCAGGAAAATAAACTTAAACAAGAAAAATAGATTTTGTGAAAAATTTAAAGAATGTGGAATTATCAAAATAAAAATTACTTTAAAATAACTATATAATAACTTCGTAAATAGCTATAATTCACCATTTGCAAATATCTCTATTAAATAATTAATCTTTATGAGACTTTTTGCAACACTTATTAATTTTCTTTCGGGATTGGTTTAAAATTTATAGTCAGTTCCTCTATAGCAAATATATTTATGAATAATAAAATATTGTGAATATATATATATTTTTTTTTGTTTATGTACAAAAAGAAATATAATTTGTTTATTGTATCTTGAAAAACGTTCATTGACCTAAATAAGAAATTAATTAAGTGTTAGTGACTAATTTCCTATTGCCTTCCGGACTCGTTCAATATTTTTCTTTTTTTTTTTTCATTCAGAAAATAGAAGGAAGTGATCGATGCATTTACTTTCGCTTGGGGATTTTTTTATATTTCTCTTCTTTTTCTTCATTGGCCACTGGAGGTGCAACTTATATTCACATACCGCACACAGTCAATATAGAGTATTACTTTGCTCGAGACCTCTCAAAGAAATTTTGCTCGATTTCAATCGACGAATTTTTTTTCTATGCCCAGAAGATTAAATCCTAAGATAAACGAGATGAATGTGTTCATTTGTAACAATGAATACTCTCCCTTCCGCGTTTGAGGTTTCTATTACACTCGTTTCTCAATATATGTATATATCTAAGAAAGACATAAAATAAACATGCTAAATCTCTATCATATTCTTTCTTTGTTCCCTTCAAGAGGCAATGGATTTTTTAAATATAGATCTTTTTACTTCACGGAAGGTAAAATACAGTTACGAAGATTAATTATCTTTCATTTGAAACTTAATAATAACAAAATAAATCAATTGATGGTGACAAATCTTAAATCTAATTATTTATAAGTTCCGCTATTATAATAAAGTTTGTTACCGCATTGATTAATGTTAAAATTATTTTTAAATATATAAAAAATTTACACACAATTACAATAACATAAAAAAAGTACAGCTAATTATAGTCAGTAAGAATTTTTACCCATTTTAATAGGTTAGTTTTCATTAATTCTATTAAACTTGTCACAAGACGCGGAGATAGCGCGCTCCTAGTGTTCACTATCGACAATTCTAAACGTTGCATACAGCGTTTAATGGCTGCTTTTTCGTCGAATATTTTTATAAGTGTCAAAGGCTTCGGTCTGAGAAGATGTGGTCTCCTCTCAGTCACATCGACGACACCAATCGATCATTATTATTTGATTATATGTAACACATAAAACCAATTTTTATACGTTTCAATTCTTCCATTCTGTCTGCTTCAACGGTGTCGGTGGATAAAATAGCAAGTTTCAATTCCCGACAGTTGGGTCAGTCACCTTCCTGCTTCCTCATTTTTCGAATACATATATGCCAATGCTTGTTGAACCTCTTCTACCTGTATAAGGCGTTCCAAGTCGTGGATCTCAAGTGTGACCTTTCTATCCACCGACTACACTTTCCCTATATGCATCCGACCGTATTGGTAATTTCCGTGGTAAATGCCTCTTCGTTGTAGTCGCCTTTGATTTTGATCAGGAGGTCTCCCTTTATTCGTAGCTCTAACAATAACCGTTTTTGTATGACTGATGTCCGGATGGATCTTTTTGCGAAGCTTACCCAAAACGTCATCATACGAATACCTTTAATACACTTTGGATGACCATCGTCGATCTTGTTCTCAAATTTTATCGTTTGGTCCACATTCTTCTGAACGTCTAAATATTTCTTCCAATCTCGACCAACATTGCTACCACATCTGCTCTTAAGTTTATGCAGCTTTCGATAGTTTCGTTGATAGCTTCCGTATTTATTTCTGAAGTCATCAGGCTGTCAGTACTAAAGCTGCTGCTTACACTCAAGAGGTCGATTTTTATATGATAGAAGAGCCTTGTACCTCCTACGACAAATATAGATTTTTCTTCGAATTCAGAAAATAAAATCTGTCAGACCGTTTTTCGTACATTGGTCAACTGAGAGAATCTACCTATGATTCTTTTTTTATTACCAGAATTCTTGTCACTTCAAAGGGAAGTCACCCTAATTTGCAATGATTAGATGGTCACAGCTTGAGCAAGAGGGTGGAAAAAGCAACCCACTATAATAAAATTTTATCTATTCTCTTTGTGAAAATTCTGTATAAAAGGACCACATTTGCTAGGAGAGTTCAGTTCAGATTTTGGTACCAGCACGTCAACTTCATATACGAAATCTTGTAGAAGTAGTTACTCTGCTTAATTTTCTACTTAAATTGAACTTAGAAGAATCTCTGTGACAAGTGTTAAAAGTTTCTACGTCAAGAAGAACTCATCCAAGTATTCAAGGCTTTAACTTTCCCATAATATTTGGAAATCATTTCTTCTTTCTTTTCTAGAAGAAATTAATTATTTGGATTTTCATCACGGTCAACTGAACTCCGGACCTGTGGTCATCACCATGGCCCGTCAACTTTCCTGTGAGCGCTTAAGTGATATCTGGTACCAGCTGTTCCTCCCCATATTTAAGGACACAGCAGTGGTCCTTTTTGATACATCTTACATCTAAATTTTTGAGGTAAGTCGTAATACTTTTTATCTAAATCCTTCCTAACTCCTTATAAAAATTTGTAGTAACCTTTACATTCCTTGTTGCAGTGGAATGCTGACTTCCTTTATTTTCAAGAATGGTTGCTTCAGGATTCTGTCTCTCAAAGATCAATTTTATAACTCTAAATATTTGTCTGAATAAACTTATCATTAAAAATCAATTTTCTCTATCTTCCCTGTACCCCTAGCTCAGAGTCTTCTGCTTTGTAAATGAAACAGGAAAAATTCACTAAATCACCGAGCGTATATAAATAAATATATTTTTCTAAAATCTTGACTGCCAATATTCAGCGAATATTCGACCAATATTAAACAGCCAAGTTCTTTCTGTACTTCTAATGAGCTTTATTCACAAAGAAAATAAATTCGTACTTGGGAGTAATAAACTAATCATGTTAAAGAGAGACGTATAATTATTTAAACCAGAAGGGCACTTTAAAAATTACGCTAGTCCGGACTGTATGATAAATTAAAAAAGTTTGCAACTAAAAATGTAAATTTTGTAATTTTTTAAAATTGTATGTGCATTTTAAAAATTTTCAAAAAAAAATAACGTGCAAAAGTAGAATAATATTGAGACTAAAGAAAAAGGAAATAAAATTACGAGCATTCACATTAGATTTTCTTGCGTGTCATAATCTATTCTAGTCTGTAATAAATCATAAAATGTTGCGTGAACGAATTCTAATAGCCATTTAAGTTCAATGTTGTGACAGTAATAATCTTCGATCATAAAGTAACAAGTCATATGTTCACATATGTATATGATATAATTTATATTAAACGGATACAATTAATAATTAAAAGTAGTAGTACGGATACAATGAATAAAAAAACCGCTTTATTTTATTTAAAATTTAATTTTTTATTTCTTTATACATTTTGCTATAGTTTAATTAATTTTTTTAAATTTTTAACATAATATTTTAATACTTTTAACTTGAATATATATATATATATATATATATATATATGTACTACATAATTTAACAAAAGTAGATAATATGATATTCGCACAAAAAGCTATAATGTTACTTCTTCTATAGGCACTTTTACTTTCTTTAATCCAAGGTCTCTAAAATAGAAGCATCTTAAAAATAAAATAAAAATGTAACTGAAACTACTTTCTCCATGTAATTGATATATGAAAGCACTTCTGAATTACGTCAAGTACAAATTTTAACACTAAAACTAGTTAAAAAGTAATTTAATCCTAATAACTTTTCTTACAAATATAAAAATATTATTACCGGATATTTATACACATATATATAGCTAAGTTTAATTACTATACTTTGTATTCATTGTATTTTTGTCTTTGGCAATAAGCATCTTTATTCCATCAATAATATAGTACTTTCACTCTAAAGTCAATCATCAACGAATTTATAGCAAAAAATTTTTTAGGGTAGTTTTTAAAGGTGTTTGGTTAAAAATTTTATATTAGAAATCTAAATAACTGAATAGAGAGAGTTGACATAAAATATATAGACGAAAAAAATAAAACGTTTTAAAATCCTTCCTGTTCGAATACATTATTTTATTGCGCTTAAAAGTTACAGAGATGATATTATGCAATTTAATATTTACTTTTTATGATGTTTATGAACAATTGTTTTATATACGGGAATTTTAATTGGAAAAGGCTTTTCCACTGGGACAGGTACTGATTTTATAATTGTAAATGGTACCGGCTTTTCCACTTTGTATGGAATAATTTTTTCCACTTTTACTGGAACTTTGTTCTCCACTTTTTTCACCTCGTGTTTGATGACCTTAAAAATTTATTTTTATTTAGTAAAATAAATCATTTTCATTTAAATTAATTGAAAAATTAATATCAAAATTTTTTTAAATTTCTAAAATATCTTACCTCGTAAGGAACGGGTTTTGATACAAAAATAGGCACTGGATATGGTTGAGGAATTGATTGTATTTCTGGTTGAGGAACTTTAAATTCAACTTGCTTGACTATTGGAACGCCTTCAAAATAAAAATTATATTTATTAATAAAAAAAAATGTATTTTTCTTATAAAAATAGTTTTTTTTTTATTAATCTTGCATTTTATCATTTCAAATATTTCTTCTAAACTAACAAGAAGGAAAGTAATTTTATTCTTCTTTATAAATTTTTGAGAAATTGTAAAAAAGAAAATTTTTTTTTTTTACCAATTTCCTTGACTACAGGTATTACGTGTTGACCATGGTGACCAATAGAGATACTTGAATCCCAACCATTGCTATTAAAACCCAGACTGTCGTGTCCTGATCCTTTCGAAAAATTACATTACTTTTTTCCCACGTTTAAATATAAGAAAAAAAAATTACATTTGGTGAAAAAAAATTTTAAAACGAGAGCAAACCTAGAGTTATTGCTGGTAATTCATGATCAAGGCCATCTAATGAAATTTCTCCTAAGGTCAAACCACTTCCATGTCCATTTAACTGCCATTCTGAACCCCAACAAGTACTAGTAACAGCAGCAATTATTAGTATCTAAAAGAAAATAGTTTCACTTTTAAAAAAATAGTTTTTTTCTCATTCAGTTATAATTATAATAAAAATTTAATAATTAATTTTCATAGAAATTAAAAAATAAATTTTTTCATTTTAATTAGTTTTCAAAATATTTTATCAAAAAGAAATTAATTAATTTTAATCAGGTATATATTAATCAGTTGATTTATTATTAGAAAAAAAATTTTTTAGGTTAAAATTAAAAAATAAATTAAAAAAATTGTTTTATAAATAACACACTATTTTACTCATCATAATTTTGACAATGTCAACGAATGGCAAATATACTGAAATGTTTCAGTAATTTTCCAGCTTCTGTGTTTATATACCTAAGACAAATCCTATAAATATATTTTACCCTCCCTTCCTACTAGAATACATAAAACAGAGAGTTTGAAACCTTCACTAATTTTTGTGTCGCCTTATTATTTTATTATACACTCTTTTCATGCTTGGCATATAATAATAAAATACTTATGTAATTTCATCAAAATAATATTTCCGCCTTTTCCTTTATTCTTCGTCTATAAACGCGTTTTCGTATTAATTTTTCGAATGATGGAAGAAAATTCACACATACACAAACATATATATATATATATATATATATATATATATATATATATATATATATATATATATATATATATATATGTTTATTTGCATAAATATGAATTGTATTTTTGACGAATTGATAATAGTTTATATATGTAAAATGATGAAATAATATTGTGTAATGAAGACGAAATTACGAAAATTGAGATTTCGATATTCACCACTGGGATAATAATAATAATATTAATGATACTAAAAAAGTGAAATTGAGTTAGATTTTCAATTAAGAACTTGATAAAAATTCTAATACACAATCTTTGATAATTTGATTTGCTAGGGTAAACAAGATCAAATCAAAATCTAAAATATTTAATTTTATGTACATGCTGAAATTGTATTATGTATAGAATCGTTTCGTAAATAACTCTTGCTCATTTTAATCAATAAATAAAGAGCGGAAGTAGCAAATTAGTAAAGGAAGTATATATTTATTAAAAAAAAGAACAGCCAAGATGTTTTTTATGAAAAAATTAAAACAGCTTTCTATTATAATTATTTATATGAAGATTTGTTTTTGTTACTTTTTGTTGTGTAACTCCGTTCATTTTTACATTTGTTGATTTTTTAAAATAATAATTAACATTTTTTAAAAATTAATAAAATTCCCTTAAAACTTGTTACTTGGAAGTATTTAAGATTTCTGATTATCCTAATCAGAGATTTCGAAAATACTCGGAGAAAAATACGAATTTTTTGTTGTCAGTTTTGTTCAGTTTGCAATTCCATAATACAGTTGCAGAAGCAACTTTATCGATTTGCTGCTGGAACAATCCGAATTTGTTCAACTGACAGGTTTATTGTTCCATGTCACGTGGTCATCTTAAATTCTCGCAAACTGGCGTGCAGATCGTCGCGTCGTTTGCTTTTGGCACATGTGCACTTTTGCTTTTATTATTAGTTTTTTTTTTAAATGACAAAGTGCTGTTAAATAATGAATCCAGTTAAAGTGAGAAATCTATTGCAAGTGTAGTGAATGGACGAAGAGACAATTTCATTGTTTATCGGTAAATTATACTCGGTTACTATTGAACATAACCTCACCTTCAAAAATGCAAAATGTATATTAAATATTATTTAACAACAAATTTAAAATAATTTGTAGTTTCTGGCCAAAGAATTTGATTCAGAAGCTGAATGTTCCACAGATTTTAATGCAAATGAAACTGGTGATATGACCTACGGAAATCTGCTATCGATTATTTTAGAAGGCTAAAAAACTGAACAAATTGTATTAGACGGATCAAAGCTTTGTTAATACAACAAATTGTATTGTCGATTTAACAATTTAGTTTTGTTATTTCAACTGTTCCATAACAATTTTCTTTGTTCATCAAACAATTCTGTTTGTTCACCGAATAATCCGAATAGTTTTAATAACAATCCCATTTTAACAATTTTTTTTGTCCCGAAAACAAATAGAACTGCTGGTTCTATATTGACAATCTGGAATTGTTGTGTGGACTTAATTTTTAGTAACCACAACAATTCTTTTTTCTCCATGTATCTGAGTAACGAGTTTTATGCTAATTTGATAAATTAAAAACAATTTTCCCCAAATCTAATTTTTGAAATACTGACATCGAATTCGTAAATAGCAACTCCAAAAATGTCTTAGAAACAAATTTCAATATGAATTTAATGATATAAAATTTCGTCCGCCATCTTGGACCCGCCATTTTGAATTTTTAAAGTCATATTACATTCGCAAGTATTATGCAACATTTTCTGTTAAAAAAATTGATTTTGATCAAACTAATGTTCAAGTTGAATTAAATTATTTTTAAATTTCAAAAAATTAATAAATTTTGATAATGCTATAGATGTATGTTATTTATAATTATTTTGTACTTCCTGGGAAAACATACAAATATAGATACAACAAATATATATATTTAAATTGGAAGTATAATTATTTGTGAATTTAAACAAATAGGTTTCATATTCTGATTTGTTTCACTATTTGTTGAAACTTAAGAATATGATTAGACACGATTTTCAACTATACAAAATTCTTTAATAATTTGACTTTCCATATGAGATGCATGAAAACGAAAAAGAAACAGTGAAAGGTGAACTACAAAAAGATGATCTTATTTCAAATATAGTTTCTGCAAATATTAATATGTCAAAATACGAAAATACATGTTTCAGTATATTCATAAGAAAGGCTCAAATAAAAAAATTAAATAAAATATACAAAAAAAAAACTAAAAATCTATCTCAAAACGTACTTTATGCCCAAGTGAGCATTTCACAAGAAAGATGAAATAGCTCTTCTTATCTTATTATTTTCTTGAGATAATTAAATATCAACGTTTTCTTTGATCTACTAATAATTAATTAATGATTTTGTCTCCGTCTTTTATAAATATATGCTTTCACTAAATAAAGAACATGTTTTTTTTATTGATTTTTATTGTAAAATGTTTAACGATACAAAAATAGAAACTTAACAAATAAAAAAACGCTGATCAACACTATGTACAACAACAACAACAATAATAACAACAACAAAAAACATTGGTGTAAGAGAAGACAAGACAGTTTTTTTTTTCTTGTAAACTTTCTCAAAGTATAGTCAGATATCGGACACATACTTTACTGTACACACGTTTAATTACAAAAAAAAATGCATTTCTCTTATCACCTTTAGTATCGTCTTGGTAACTTTTATGAACAATGGTTTCGTTACAAAAAATCACTTTTACAAAGTATGACGTACAAAAAGAATTAAATGTTTAATGTAAATTATTTTTACGAAAAAATTTGATTTCATTTTTAGAGAGGACATCAAAATTTTCACCTAAAAATTTACATCAATTTTAGTGTTTTTATAATTATCATTAAAAAAAATTCATTTTTCTTTTTGTATTTTTAGTGACTGTGAACGTGACTATGGCCCTTGGCATGATGATAAATAGTTTTGTAAATGGGAATTTTGATTGGATAAGGTTTCACAAGTGGTACAGGAATATGTTTTTCAATTGTTATTGGTACAGGTTTCTCAACAGGAACAGGGATATGTTTTTCTACAGGATATGGAACTTTTTTCTCCACAGGTACAGCTATAGTTTTTATAATTTGAATGGGAACTGGCCTCGCAACAGGAACTGCAACTGGATAAGGTTGATTAACACCAACTGCCACTGGATGAGGAACATTGATCTTCACTGGCTGAGGAACTGGTATTCCTGTTGAAAATTAATTACTCATTTATTATTTTTACATTATATTATTGTTGTGGGATGTTTTTCAAAAATTTGTGTAAGACTTATTTTAAAATTTTGATTTTTAAATTCACATTCATTCATTCATAATTTAACTTTTAGAAGGAAAATAATTTTAAAAATTCAAATTATTCTATTTTGTTTTTTTTTCCCAATTTTTCAGATTTTTATTTATATTTAAAATTAAATATATATGAAAAAATAAAAATGATTTTTTCAACTTACCAATATCTTTATAAACAGGAATGGCAATTGGTTTTGTCACCTCAACATGTTCAGACACAGGAACACTGTGAACATAATTATTCCCATGATCTTCGAATCCATGAGAAGAATCATCATTTCCTCCATGATAATTGCCAAAATCAGAATATGAAGAATAATCCTGTTGTCCTTCATAACCACTTGGTTCCACATGTACTCCAGTATTGTCACCAGAAAGATAGTGCGCTTCTGTTCCTGTTACATCACCACCACCATAATCTCCATTTTCAGTAGCAGCCGCATAACTATCGGATCTTTCAATTTTTTGATAATTATTGAAAAATGGTAGATAATATCTTCCCGCAAATTCAGTTATTGTAATTGGATACGCTGCTGCCAAACTCAGACAGCAGAGAAAAATCTATAATAATCAAAAAAACAATTATTATTTTTCAATTTGTAAATTTGAATTGAAATAGATAATTTAAATTCTATAATTGAAATAAATTTTAAAATTAATTAATTTTATTCTAAGTTGGTTCTTATGTATAAAAATCCAAACTGTTTTTTTTTTTTTTATAAATAATACCTGACTAAACTTATTTATTTCGTTTCACTTATTTTTGAGATTTCTAATTTTTATTGTTTCACGAATTAATTTATTTGTACACTGGAAAAAAAATAGTATTTAATCAAGAAAATCCATTTAATTATCTGTATTTGATTCAATATTTTCTTGATGCAAGGAAATTTAACTAGTTTAAAAAAATAATTTTCAGTTAAAAAAAATATTGGAACAAATAGGGACAAGTAAATGATTTTCTTGAGTCAATGATAATTTTTTTTCAGTGTAGTATAAACGGGTTTATAAAAGAGAAAAATAAAAAAGCCCATTATTAATTGAGACATTAAATTATAAATTTTATCACTTTAAATGTATTTGTTGTATTTTTTGTCACAAAAATAATATTGTGAATCTTTTTATTATTTACTCACAAATTTTATCATGATTATAATCACGTGTCAATGGAAATGGGCAAAGGAAGTCTTGTTACTGAGAGATGTCTTCAGGGACTGATATATCTTTGAGCATTTCTCATCTTAATATAGTAGGAAACCTTTCACTGTCGACGACCTGATATTATTGAACGAGATCTTCCCTCGGAAATTCTCCTTTGAGCAGCGCGCGCTATACTATTCTCTTTGGTGCAATTGTTTCTCCAGCAAAAGGAAGTGACCATGGCATTACTATAACTATCTCTCTATATTTCAACGCAAAAAAAACGGTAAAGTGATATACATTAGTTTTAAATTTATCATTATTATTATACTTTATTATTTTGCTATTCTGCGCACAAAAGCAATATTATTTTATTTGACCAAAAAATTTTCAAATGTTTCAATTTTTAAATGTTTTGTTAATTTAAGAAAGTTGATTCTTTATAAAGTATTTATAACGATGTTAAAACTTTTTTTTTTGTATATATTTTTCTTCGACATTTAGAGTTTTATTGAAATAATTATAAACTTTAGGATTAAAAAAAAATAAGTCTTCACGAGTGATTGCACTACTTTTAAGTGGAATGTATGTTGTTATTATTAAACGAAACATTTATCACTCTTTTACGCCATAAATGTAAATAAAAATAAATTTATATAGTGTTTCCTATTAATAAAGTTTCGCGTTTATTCGTTTAATAGTGTAATTTTAACTTTGCAAGAGGAATTTAGGTCTTTTATGTTTTATTCCGAGACATTTGAAAATTTGTTTCTGTGTCAATCAATTTTTATCCAAATCTAAATTTCTACGTAACTCAAAAAAAAAATTTTTTTTCGTATAATTATGAATCAATTCGTTTCATTATGAAGCTGAATTTTAATTCTTTTCAACTGTGTTTTCTTTCTGAATCAATTAGTTTCATTATGAAGCTGAATTTGAATTCTTTTTAAATGTTTTCTCCTTCTGAATCAACTTGTTTCCCCCGTAAAAAATATCCCCGTGGAAATTCTCGAGGATTTCCTCGTGTCAAATTTGGACGGAATTCCTCGAGGATTTCCACGAGGATTTTGTACTCTAATTTTTTGTGTCTGTATTTCAAAAATCCGCAAGGAATTCCTCGAGGATTTTGAACTTTTAATTAATTTCCCTGCACCTATAAATTCACGAGGATTTTTATCTTAAAAATGTCTTATCTGTGTTTCACTGTCGTCAAAAAAATCCATAATGATTTTAACTTAAAGTTAAATATTTTTATTTCCTGATCGTTGAAAATATCCACGAGGACTTTTCAGTAAATATTTTTTGTCGGCATTTAATTACAAATTTCCTCGAGGTTTTCGAACTTTGAAATTCAATTTTTTCTCTTTGTACAAATCCTCGTGGATTCCTTGCGGATTTTTGAAATACAGACAAAAAAAATTATAGTACAAAATCCACGTGGAATCTGTGAAGATTTTTAATAACAGACGAAAAAATTAAAGTACAAAATCCTCGTGGATTCCTTGCGGATTTTTAAAATACAGACAAAAAAATTAGAGTACAAAATCCTCGTGGAAATCCTCGAGGAATTCCGTCCAAATTTGACACGAGGAAATCCTCGAGGATTTCCACGCCTTCCGAAATTAAATTCTAATTCTTTTAAATTCTGAATTAATCCTATTGTCTTGAAAACCAATTGATTCGAAATAAAATTTCGTAATTTAAAAGGATTAAAATTAGCTTCGGATTGATTCAAAATGAAATTTCAGAATTCAAAAGGATTAAAATTAAGTTTTGAAATAATACGACTTGATTCGAAATGGTCCAAAAAGAATTTTTTATTGTGTTACATAGAAATTAGATTCAGATTTTGAAACTTTTGTTAAATAATCAGTAATTTCAGGAATGAAAAAAATATTAAACTTATTTTAGATAAACGTAAATGAAATCATTAAAATTAGAAAAGTTATCATATAATTTGTGTTAATTTTCATTTCATTTCAAAATATTTAAAAAATAAATCTTGTAATAGAGTACAAATTGTTTCAAACATGTATGTGACCTATCTATAATATAAATATGAGACTCTCGATTTTTATAATCATTATTCAAGTTCACTAGACTAGCTCATCCAGTTGTGAAGAGAGCATAACGAATACTTGTAATGTCCAACTGTGCATGAACTTCATTAACTTTAATTAATCATCATTTTATCTTTTTAACATAAATGACCATTTAATGTTAATATTGTGTATGTATATAATAATAAATTTACAAGAAAGTGGACAATTTAATGTTTAAACTCATCTAAAGAAATGGAATTAAAGTTCTACCCTCACAACAAAAGGATATTCAGGATATCCTTGGGACGTCCTGGGGATATCGATTTGTTTTCGGCGGTTTGGATATCCCTGGGATATCTTAGAGATGTCCATGGATATCCAGAGGATATCTTAGGGATATCCGAATCGCCAAAAGCAAATGGATATCCCCAGGACGTCCCAGGGATATCCTGAATATCCTTGTGTTGTGAGGGTACTTTTGTAATTACATTTATTAATATATGTGACGCGCTCTAAAGAAAGGATCCTCTAAGAAAAAGCAAAAAATTATAGGTTGTGTTTATGACATAGTTTTATATTGATTAAAAGTTCCTTTTCAATTATGTAAAATCAAAATTAGTTTTTTTATTGAATATTTTGAATGTAATGCAGACGGTTGATATCGAGAATTAATTTTGTTTGTGTATTTTCACTCCCTACTATCATAATGTCACGTCACCGTAACGTACTAAACATTGCAGCTGCATTTGTGTAACAAAGCTCCCCTTTTTTCATAACCAATGACGTGCTCCCGTTTGTAGTCTGAGTTCCTAACAAATTCCGTATTTCTAAAAATTTATTACCTAATGGAGTATCCCTTTTTCTTTTCACACTTTGAACAAAAGAAATATATTATGTTAATCCTTAGATTGTGACCAAATATAGATAAGATTAGATTCTAAATGATTGGGGAGCATACTTCCTCCTACACCAATTATGTGTTTTTCTCCAAATAATATTTATCTAACCACTGTTTGTAAATTGTTCAACTGAGAGAGTTATTTCTCATGATGTTCATTTTATCACCTCGGTTATTGTTACTTCAAAGAGAAGTCACCCTAATTTAATCAGGTAATGTCTTTTATCGGTAGGGTGTACGGAGAGAAGAGATTTAGTCTATTCTACTAAACACGTTTAGTCCAAATTCTACTAAACAGCGTAGTCAGAGGGACTACTATAGTTCTGTCACACAAAAAAATTTACCGACAGAATAAAAATGCACAAATCTGATTGGTTGTCCACATTTAACCAGATTGCGGACAACCAATCAGATTTCTACATTTCGTTTCTGTCGGTAAATTTTTTTCTATCGATAATCGTGTAAATTTTTTTACTAAACAGTATCGTTCATTTAACTTAATGTTTAGTCCGTCCAAAATGAACGATACTGTTTAGTAGATTTCACTGAGATAGTAGTAAGATCTACTACGCCCTTCTCTCCATGTGTAAAAAAGCAACCCACTATAATAAAATTTTATCTATTCTCTTTGTGAAAATTCTGTATAAAAGGACCACATTTGCCAGGAGAGTTCAGTTCAGATTTTGGTACCAGCATGTCAACTTCATATACGAAATCTTGTAGAAATACTATCACTCTGCTAAATTTTATACTCAAGTTGAACTTAAAAAATCTCTTTGTCAAGTGATAAAAGTTTCTACGTCAAGAAGAACTCATCCAAGTATTTAAGCCTTTAACTTTCCCATAATATTTGTAAATCATCTCTTCTTTCTTTTCTAGAAGAAATTAATTATTTGAATTTTTATCACGGTCAACTGAACTCCGAACCTGTGGTCATACCAAGGCCCGTCAACCTTTCTGTGAGCTCTTAAGCGATATCTGGTACCAGCCGTTCCTTTCAATATTTAAGGACACAGCAGTGGTCCTTTTTCATACATCTTACATCTAAATTTAAGATAAGTCGTCATACTTTTAATCACGAAGTAGTATAAAGAGACCCCACTGCTATATTTAGCCCACGAAAAGATGAAGCTATGATTTCCCCGTTTCTCTTACAATTAAGGGAGGTGTCGAACCTATCGGAAAAGTTGGGAACTAGTTACCCACACTGACACAAAATGTGTACATACAGTTACTAACACATAGAACTTTCGCAAAATGGCTACCGTGACATAACCTGCATATACTGATTGTTTTTATATCGCTTCGTTTTTTTCTGGTTTTTGTAAATAATTAAAAAAAAAAAAGGAAATATGATTAGCTGTTCTATTAAAGATTGCAAAACAAATTGTGTTAAAGGCAATACAAAATATAAATCTATTTACAAAACTTTTTTCAATGAAATCCAAATAATAATGATGAGTTTCATTTTAAATATAAATTTTATTAAAGTATATTTTTATCACAACCATAATTAAAATAAAATTTAAACAGCTTAATAATTTATATTCACTTGCAGTTACTAATTTTACCTCGATACTGTGTTTTTACACAACATAAATAATTATATCATGTTTCTGTCCATGGAGATTCTCCATGTTTACATTACTCATGTCAATTTTAGCAGACGAAATTTCGGAGGTATCAAATTTTCCCGTTAGGGTTCAACACCTCCGTTAATTGTAAGAGAACCGGGGAAAACGGCTGCAGCTTTCCCAGACAGTGGGGTCTCCTTATATTTCTTCGTGCTTTTAATGTAAATCCTTCCTAACTCCTTATAAAAATTTGTAGTAACCTTTACATTCCTTGTTGCAGTGGAATGCTGACTTCCTTTATTTTCAAGAATGGTTGCTTCAGGATTCTGTCTCTCAAAGATCAATTTTATAACTCTAAATATTTGTCTAAATAAACTTGTAACCTTTTAAGGTTATGTGATTGTTATGTTTTCACATGTAAATATTAATATTCTCCGCAGGTTTTCTCGCAAAATATTTAATAGATTAAGCTAAAATTTCGTAAAGAATTAAAAAATAGTACAAGGATTTGTTGTCATGTGCTATATTATATTAATATTTTATAAAAAAATGTATTCTTTACAAATTCCATACTTGCGAAATTGATCAAAATCGTAATTCAATTTTCATCAAATATGCAACTTTTTATAAAATATTAATATAATCTAGCACATGACAACGAATCCTTACACTATTTTTGTGCTCCACACAAAATTTTAGCTTAAACTATCAAGGTGAGAAAACTTGCGAAAAATATTCAGTAGAATTGTTCAAAAAAATTTTAGTGTGGAATATTTAAGGAAATGTCATTTTAATTACTTTTGTAATGGAAAATTATATTTCTTTTATTAAGAAAGTATAAATTATTGTAATAAAAAAAACAATACAATAACTTAAATTAAAATTAGTTAATAAATAATAAAAATTTCATACTAAAATTATACAATTTAAATAAATAATTACATATAATAATCAAAGTCGATTAGAATGTAATTTATACAATTATTATGGAAATAAACAATATTTGGTATAAGAACAAGAACAACAGAAAATACAATTACGAGTTCTGTGTCAACATTTTGATTTTTACATTTGCATAAATAAACAAAACATGTAATAATTAAACACTAAAAATGACTGTTTAAACTTCATTTTTTTGCAAACAGTAAAATTAAAAATCTTGAAATTTCAACGAATTCTTAGCCCCAATGATGACCATGACCTCTGTGCCGATGATAAATATGTTTATAAACTGGAACATGAATTGGATATGGTTTTTCCACCGGTACTGGAATATTTTTTTCAATTGTATATGGAATATGTTTTTCGACTGGATAGGGGACAATTTTTTCCACTGGAAATGGAACCTTCTTTTCAACGGGAACTGCTATAGTTCTTATCACTGGTACTGGAACCGGTTGAGAAACTGGTACATGAATGGGATAAGGTTGAGTTACACTAACAGCGACTGGATGTGGAACTTGTACTCCTACAGGTTGTGGAACTGGAACACCTACAATTTGATAAAAATCAAAATTTATGTAACTATATAGATGATTCTATGGAAACAGAATATTTTTATATTCGCAAAAGTAATTAATTTTTTTGTAACATTGTTTTGTAATACATACCAACGTTCTTGAAAACAGGAACAGTCACAGGTTTAGTAACTTCAATATGCTGATGGCTAATAGGTGCAGCTTGAGTATAATGATTTGGAAGTTGATTAAAATTACCAGCTACTGCAGATGAATATGTTTTACTAGCAGATGATAAAAGAGGAGAACCATAACTATTGGTACCACTGTATGATGCGTCTGATGAAGCATAAGAAGAACCGTAGTTGTTGCTATCACTTAGAGACGTTTCAGACGAGACAGGAGATTCATAACTGTTGGTACCACTGTATGATGATGAACCATAACTGCTGGTACCATCTCCTCCTGAAATAGAAGAATCGTCATAATTTATTCAAAGTAAGAAAATGTTTTACTAGTATTAAATAATTACCTGAAGAAATAGAAGAACCATAATTGTTAGCAGCACTACTTTCCGATGGAATTGAAGAACCATAGCCACTTCCTGATAAAATTGGAGAACTGTAGCTGCTGGTACTACTTGCGGACGAAATAGGAGATCCATAGTTTACGGTACCACTTCCTGAGGAAATAGAAGATCCATAACTATTTGTACCACTACCGGATGATATTGAAGATCCATAATTTTTTGTACCACTTTCCGACAAAATTGCAGTTCCATAATTATTGCTACCGGATGAAGATGAAGAACCATAACTATTGGTACCACTTTCCGAAATGGAAGATTTATAACTATTGATACCACTTCCCGTTGCAGGAGAGGAACCATAACCCCCACTTTCAGATGAAGACGCAGAATTGTAACTACTGGTATCATGTGGTATTGTATTTGATAAAATTGACGAACCATGATCATTAGTGCCTCTAAAAGATGAAACAGGAATGTAGTTTTTGTTGCTTTCAGATGGTCTAACGATTGTTACTGTAGGATTGTAGCCTTTGTACGATCCATAGGATCCAGATTTTAATTCAGAAGCTTTAATAGCACTCTTGACGGTACCCTTTGGTCCAAGTGTTATAACAGTTGGATTGTACATATTCATAGCGCCGTATGTTGTATATGATGGTCCACCTCTTTTTGAACTACTTTCTTGTTTAATCAGATGTCCTTTAACATTACTATTTTTCATTGCTCTAATCATAATTGGAGCTGGAATAATATTAGAATGTGTTGCACTTCCCATAATGTCAATTCTACTCCTAACTGTTGAGCCAAAACTTTTTATGTTATTTTGACGTATGTCTTTTCCTGGCACTATGCTAAAAAAACAAAACAGCTTTGTTAAAAAATTTAAGAAGATAATTTTTCTTTAAAAAAAATGAAATGTAGAAAAAAGGCTAAAAGAATAAAAAGAGTATAAAGAAATATGAATTCTTACCCTCTCCATGTAAAAAACTGACTGTCAGTCATGTAATCAGCCAATGTTGTTCGAAAAACGAATGATCCAATAATTAACTAGAAATAAAGTAATCAATTTTCCAAACACTAAAATGAAATATATTATTAATTTTCATCAAGATGTGTAATAATCACTGTTCTACCAGATTAGAACAAAATTTTTAAAAAAATCAAAAAATTTTGCTGTTTAATATAGAAATAATAGATTTCAATGATTTAAAGCATTTAAAAAAATTATTAAATTTCTAATTTATCTCCAATAGAGTAATAAAAAAATCATAAAACTTTCAATAAAATAATACGACAAAAAAAAACTTATAATCTTAAAAAAAATGAGAGACATAAATTTTATTTTATCCTTAAAAAACTTCTCTCATATTGAATCATTAAATTTTAATTACTTTATTATTATATATAATTAATATCGATTACTGTTCAGCGATCTTGACCTTGATGACAATAAACTCTTGCGCAAACTTTCGCGAACCTCGCTTTTTTTCGGACTCTAATCACCATTATCATCATCTCCATTTTACTTACAATTAAAAACATTTTTATTATTATTATTTTTTTATTTGAAAATCTAGAAAATTGAAGTTTAATGGTTGAACAGCTAATCAGGCACTACAAGTGCCACCAATGAGAGCATCGGTTTTTATAGGTAACACTTTCTCCCACTCATATCTGTGATAGATTTACAGCAAGTCAGAAAACCGGACCTGAGAGTATCTTGTGTCCGATTCGCGAATCATCCCAAAAAAATGAATTAAAAAAAAAAATAAATCACATATGTATAATGCGACGCGCAATCGAAATCTGTACATCTAAAGTACCAATGTATATAGTATAGAGGCTACTTGAATGCGATCCAATTTGAGTTCAGTGAACGTCCGGTGAACGCCCATTCAGTTTGTTTTATACTTCCCTAAAGTATTCTTTTTGCATGTTCACATAAATGAAAGTGTTCAATTTTTTTAATCAGGTGCATTTACAATGCAGTGATGCAGCGGAAATTTAAATGTGTATACCCGTCAATTTCATAAACTTTCATGCTTTTTAATATATATATATATATATGCGAGTAAAAAACAAATCGCATTTGAATTTATCGATTTCATCTTTGAGATCTTTATCGAATATTCTTTACTGTATTATAATCAGAAAGATTTTTTTAAAATTTTTGTTTTATATAATGTTCTATCTTGTTTGGTGAAATTAACTTTTCATTTCCGACAGCGCAGTTATTTTTTAAAAAAGGGAAAAGACAATAACCGTTTTATTATTTTTTAACTAAAATATTTTATATCGATTTTCTATTAAATAGAAAATTAAGAAAAACGGAAGTCCATTTTAAAAAATTCTATTAAAACAAAAATTTTGCTAAGGATAAATGTTATGTTAAACGAAAATTCTATGAAACTTTATAAAAGTATATTTAAAGCGTTTTATAAAATTATTTAAATCACTTTTTTTCCAACTTTCAAGTGGTCAGTCGAAATGTAAAATAAAAATAAATAACCTTTAAATTAAGGAACATTGATTTTTTGCAAATTAAAATTTTATTTGTTATTTTAGTTTCATAATTTGTTATTTTAAATGAAGATTTATAAAATGAAATAATATTTATTTATTTATTAATTATATGTATATAAATAATTATAATTTATTGGAAATTACAATACTGGTCAGATTGAGAAAATTCCCATGGCCATGGTCGGGATGTGACCAGGTGTCCAGATCCGAAAACTGGACATGGCCTCGTTCGGTATTTCACTGTTTCATCCAGACGGGGCTCAGGCCAGATCTGGACTCAGTTGGGCCATTTAGTAAGAGATGTCACCATGTTTCCTACTTAACCAGGTGGCGAGTGTCGGTATAAGGCGATAAATCCATCGATCTTTGACTTCCCCGTCCCATCTCTCCTGCCATTTTTCGACGACTGTGCGCCTTGCTTCATAGCGGATGCAGTCCTTATTGGGTCGAACTTCCTCTTCCAAAGAATTCCTCTCTTTGAGAAGAAGTATAATTTTCTTCCTCTCAAGCGCCAAAAGATCTACTGGCGGGACACTTTCAAGGACCTGTACAGCACTCGTAGATACTCTCCAATAAGTAGAGACAATACGTGAAGTAATACAACTCTGTGCGGACACCATCTTATCGCGGATGGTAGAACATCTATTTGTTGATGGGGACACTCGCCATCACTCTTTCGGTCTTTTCCAGGGCTATTTTAATACCTCTGGTTTCCAGCCAGCACTTTGCTAGCCGCAGTGATTCGTTCACCAATATCCCCAGAGCTTCCTCCGTGTCGGCAGCGCAAACGATCAGCGCGTCGTCCGCAAAGCCGACGATCACTGCACCTTCGGGAAGGTCCATTCTCAGGAAATCATCGTTAGATGAATGCAGGTATCTCCCTTGTAAATAACCCACTTGTCGCTAAGATACTTATCCATCATCCGCAACAGGTAAGGCGGTATACTTTTTTTTTATTATCGACTCGATGAGATCTTACCATCTCGCGGAGTTGAATGCGTTCCGTATGTCTATTGCTACCAATACCAAATTGGTAATCGGATAGACTATTCTCTCCGATCAAGTGAAATTGCATTCTTTGCAGAACCATGTCCTCTAGAAATTTGTCCATCGTATCCAACAGACATATAGGCCTGTAGGATGAGTATTTATCTAGAGATTTGTCACTCTTTCTTAGGAGAACTAGCCTTTGCCTCTTCCAGTCTGGAAAGAACTCTCCTCTTTCTAGGCAGCGATTGAAGATAACTAGCAAAATCTTGGGGGAAGCATCGATGACCTCTTTTAGAATTTTGTTGCTTATCCCATTAATTCCAGGCGTCTTGCCTATCTTCAATCTACTACCTGCTGTTCCCAATTATTCAAGAGTAAAGAGTACTTCTTCTTTGACTTGGCTTTTATATTAATATTAATACTATTATTATTATTTTTGTTGTTATAATTGTTATTTTTATTGTTTTATGATTGTTGTTGTTTAAATCATGCGTTCTTAAATTTGATAAATTTTCCCCTAGTTTACACATGTTTTTTAAAAGAAAAAATTAAATGTTTAAATATTTTCTTTAAAGGTGAATAATACTCATTAATGAAATTACTTACTTATTATTTTCAAAATTTGAAATTATTCCTTGAAGACGTGGTCCACACAGCGTCTTTAGAGTGAAATTTTTCAATTGATGATTTGATCGTTTTACAATTTTGTATAGCCATATAAAATAATAAACCCAATAAATATACTCTCTTTATGCATTTAGTGAGAGTTTGTGATCTGGTTACATGGAGTATGTAGAAGATAGAGAAGAGACAAACAAAAACGAAATATAAACACTTATTGAAGAAAGTAATATCCTCCACGTCTCTTCGTGAAAGGTGTATACAAGTTATTTGCAAATCTTCTACTTCCCATGTGAATTAATTAGAGTTTAATTAAATACTACATTACTTACTATACACAGCAAGAAAATGAAAGCTCATAAGGTCATTCAGTTGAAAAATATGTATAATAAACGAAGGTCTACAAGTTCAATGACAGGCAATTAGTTGCGTCGATATAATATAATAATATATAGTTGCATACAAAGCAAAACAAAACGAGCTAATACTATGGTTTCATTTGAAATAAAATTTACATAAAAACCACTCTTCATTAAAAGTGTCTATTGTCTAACTGAAATTTAGACTTGTGAGCTAATATATGATAAACAAATAAGAAGAATTATTATCATTTAAACAACATGTGAGGAGAAAACAAATTTCAGTTTACAACTTAGAAATGATTATTATTATTATTATTATTATCTGTCCATTAAATTTTGTTAAAATAAAGAAAATTTTTTGTTCAATTGAGAAAATTGAGATTATAAGTAGGTGAATATTATGAATGATCTTAGATATGGTGGTGAAAGGTTTCCGGACAGTAAATCATTGGATCGACATATATATATATATATATACGAAAGTAATCAAACGATAGATGCAACTACACACGCAATTGGGAGGGGGATTTTTTTAAATTCAAAAGTGAGACTTCTAAACTAACATGTTTTAATAATCAAGATTTATTATGCCACTTAATATAATGTATACGTTATGTTTGAAATACTAATAAATTTATTAGTTATGATTACCGTAATTACAAGATAAGTAAAAGAGATTTGATTTTTAAAAATTTTTACTTTCCAATACCATATAAAATTAATGAATATTTAAATATAATAACAAAAATAATTTTTGATTTATTTTAATATTTATCATATCATATTTATTATTATTAATATTACTATTAATTATTGTATTAACTGTACAATAAATATTGAAACTGAAAGTTATTAAAATATACTCTGATTTGCTTTAATAATAGGATTTGAAATGAAGGTAATGTAATTTTTAATTATGTATAAATTTATATACATATATATATATATATTTACTTATATAATCCTCAAAAACGTTAGAATGAAAAATTCAATTATTTCAGAGAGACTATTTTTAACTTTTATAAAATGAAACATTTTTTGATTGTCTAACAAATTCAACTTGTTCCGGGGAACAGTGTTTTTCATTCAACACCATTCGATTGATATGCAAATTCCAATTTTTTTTACGAATCGATATAAAAGCTCGCTATCAAACTATGTAACGATAGGAAATCATCGTAAAAAGTTACTACCTAACTCGTGACATATAATTTTATCATTCAATAAATCGTAAATCAAAACCAACTCTAAGTAACAGTTGTTGATGATATATATATATATATATATATATATATATATATATGTGTGTTTACACTGTTTTCAATACTTGTAAATATTGACGATATTTTTTTATGTAGGTTTTCGAAATGAAACTACAAAAATAGGTATCAAGAATTTTATCAGAAAAATAATTTTTTTATTGTTAAAATTATGTACGTAAAATGTTTCTGTATAAAATTTTCAAGTATTTCCAATTTACAATATATTATTAAGATAAAATTTTGGAAGGCTTAAGCCGACCCGTATATAAAATTTTTTTAAAAAAATGACAAACAGTAAAGTAAACCTTAATGAAAATGCCCTTAAAAATAACCATCCAATAATGAATCCTACATTCGATTATTAATAATTGCTAATTATGTGATTGGCGATTATATATAATTTGCATAATTGATTATCTGAAAAGGAAAGTTAGCCCCAAGGACGATGAGCTGGTTTTTCAGTAGCTGCATATTGTATAGCATTGGCAATAGCGTTTTCTTTAGCAGCAATTAAATCTCGAGCCTAAAAAATAAAAAAAGTATAGTTAATTTATAAATTAGAATATACTAGAAAGATAGGCTAAGCTTCTGTTAGAGTTAAAACAGAACACTAATTTTGCAATAGATCATCTAAAATTTTACAAAATCAAAATTAGGACGTTGTTTCATTAGCTGAAGGGTTTTGGCTTTCTGATACTTATTTAAAGTTACAGATTAGCAAGAGAAAAATTAATTTTATAGCTAAAGATAAAAAATTGATCTCACCTTGGCTTCTCTTTCACTTGTAGAGATTTGTTTATCTACGTCTTGTTTTCTTAATTCTGCAGCAGTGTCAGCTGCATTACGTTGTATGGCTGCAGCTGCTGCAGCTTCTCTTGCAGCCGCTACTCTTTGTGCTGCAGCTACAGAATCCTTTAAAGTTGCTAATTTTTGTTGAAGAGCTACCAATTGTTTGGCACTTGCTCTCGCCTCAGCTTGAGCATGAGCCGAAATCTCTGCTGATCTTAAACATCAAAATTAATAATTTTTTTAAAATATATATTGTATCACTCTTTACTAATTATTATTTCACCCCTTTTTGGAATAGTTCGAGCTTAATTTTGATGATTACCTGTGAGCTGCTTCACGAGCTGCAGCTTCTCTAGCTATAGCTATTCTTTGTTGTAGAATTGTTGCTTGTTTCACTTCCTCAACTCTATGTTGAGCCACAAGAACATTCTGATTGGCTTCCTTCGCTTGTTGGACAGAACGTAAAATTTCTGGTGAATAAACGATGCTTGGAGTTCCATGATGAGGATCATTTAATGCCTATATTTATTTCATAAAACATTAATATCTATTTTAAATTAAAATTTATTAATGTAACAACTGTATTGTAGTAATATAAAAATACTTGAAGAGCAACGTTGTGTGTAGCTTGAAGTTGTATTTGTCCTAAAGCTAAATCAGAATTCAAAGACGAATCCCAGGCTGATTGTCCAAAAGAGGTTGGATTCCATGCTGAGGTAAAAGCTGGTATAACACCAAAAATATCGTAACCCGTTGGTAAAAATGCCACTCCTCGTTTTTCCTTTTTACTTGATCCTGCTATTGGATTCGAATCCACAACCAATGCCAAGGCGACTAACAAAGTAACCTAAAAAAAAATTTTCTTTTTAATAAATAAAATTTATTGAATAATAAAAGCAAAATAATATTACAAGGATCTTAAAATTTTGAAATATTCAAAATGTCATTTAACCGAACAACATTATTATTTAAAACAAATAAATTTAGCTTTGTGACAAACAAATTTTCATTTCATTCAAATATGTTTTATTTCCTCGTAATGAAAAATTCCTCTGGTTGTAAATTAAAACAAAAAAATAGTCGAAATATCATTTGTTAAAAAGTAGGTAGATAATATTTTTAAAAAAAAAAGTAGGAAACAAAAAATTGAAAAAAATGTGATAAATTCTTATAAATTTTCAACAAAAAAACTTGTTACCAAGAGAAAAGTCTTCATCTTGCTGAATCCTTAGAGACGATACTGATATTGGAATCTAGTCAGCAACTGTTTATATACAGAAGTTGATCATTGAGATAATAATGGTAGAATCAATTAAAACTATTACAATTGTCGACAAATATCCGGATTGTTTGACCAAATTATAGGTCTTGATTCCCTAATGACAATCGCAGGCGAAGCCTCTGACACGGTATACAATCACTACGTGTTCACTTAATTCGTCAATGTTATTGCACTCGAATTAGGATCTTATCTTCAAAGTTCAGGAAATAATTTGACAATAAAATACTTCCGGTATCATGCTGTCTAGAAGGACTGTATAGACGATTTTTTTTTTACTTCTAATCATTTTCCATTGTATAATACCCTATACATGTTGCATAACATAAAACCCTTTTATTAACAATATATATATAATAATCACAGTATTATATATAATATAATTTAGTTTCATAATACAAGGTAATGTAAAAAAATTTTAATAAATAAAATAGTAAACACAATAATTTGTTCTAGATTTGAGAATAATTAAAAAAGAAATTATTCTTCTTTGAAGTTAAAGTGAATTTCAAAATAAATTTTTTTAACTCAATATATTGTAAAATTAAATATAAATATACAGATATTTTTAAATCATAATAACTTATTAAAAATATAAAATAGAGATAGATCAATGATCATTAATATTTTTTTAAGGGGAAGCACTACCTCCAATTTTTGACCCTCATAAATTTAAATTATTAAACTTTGGTTATATTTTTTTTTCTTACATCATTTGGGTCCTAGAAACATACAGGATGGTCAAAAATATAAAAAAATATATAACCTCGTTTAATAATTTAAATTTAAGTGGGCCAAAATTGTGAGTAATGCCTCCCCTTAACTTTTCCAAAATATTGTATAAATAAATAATTATTCGAAATATCATTTAAAAAATTGTTTATCAAGAAATAATTATATTTGAAAATAATCATAAATTATAAGTATATATAAATTTTTAATAATAATAATAGGTAATAATTAATAACTTTTTATAATAAAACATTCAATAATTATAATTATAGCCAAATTTTACAAATTAGTACAAAATGCTTATTATTATAATTATTAATTATTGTTGCTAGTTAAAATTATTAATTAATCTTTTAAATTCGCAAAAAGAAAGCTGCCTTTAGGCTTCAAACACATAAATAATAATATTTATTCGAATCAAAGTTAATTATAATAACAAGAATGGTAATTTAGTTAAACAGCAAACACAATTATTCACTTCGTATAACTTTTTTAACAGTTCTATATAGCACATGGCAATCACAATAATAGAACATTTTCTCTAACACGATTTAATTAAAATTTTTAATTAAACTTTTTTAAAAGCAGGATTTTTAGTATCTAATTTTTCATAAATTATTATTTTTTTATATTATTCATTTTTTTTTATTTCATTTTATACACAGGAGACTATTTTATACGGAAATAATTACAATTAAATTCTTATTATATTATTATATAATAATAATAATAATAATATATTGTTTTAAAATTCCTTTACAAACGACCCAGTCAAAAACAAAAAACTATTGTATTGACTTAAAACATTAGTGAATTGTTGCTTAATTAGTAATGTAAATTCCTAAAATATTAGCTACTTAAATTTTTTTTTAATATTAAGGATTAAAAAAAACTTTTCAAAAAAAGAAAATATGTTTTACCCCTTCAATATCAAAATTAAATTTTATTTATCAATTTCGAACCAATTTCACAATTTTTTTTTTCTTATTTTCATTGGAAATTTGAGATTTTTTCTAATAAAATATGTAAAAATAAAAGTGGGACAACAAAGAGTTTTTGAGGAAAAAAAAAAGTTTTAAAGAATCTGTTTTTGCAATTTTTCGCGCTAATCCAATAATTTTTTTGTATTATTCACTGAGTTGTTTGAGAAGGAATAATTCTTTTAATTCTTCACATTTCAGTCGTTTTATATTAAATGAATTTCATTATTCCTAACAATTTTGCATTAACTTGTAATTATAAATTTTTTCTGATAATTGTTAATTTCACTTTAGTGAAATATTAATAAAAAATTTAATAGTAAAAGAATATATTTTAAATATTTTCAACTTTTTTTTTTATATCTATTATTAGATTTTCAAAACAAGCCCCCATTTAATCCAGATTTTATTCTCTGTGGGGAGAAAAAATTATAATCATTTTCAGTGTCAAATGCGGCATTTTTCGCTATAATCCCTAATGATTTATCACCTTTTTTCGAAGGAATATGTTTAGGGGAATTATCTTTTTTGAATCTAGAAAAAGAATCACCATTTTGCCTTTCATCTAATATTTTCGGAATTTTGTGTCCAAAAGACTTATCATAAATTTGAAAATTCAATTTTGTTTCATCTTCTTCATTATTTTTTGAAATTCGCTTTATTGGATTTTTATTTCTTTGTTTTAATTCATTTTTAATATTTTCCCCATTTTCTTGTGAATTCTTTTTTCTCTTGTATTTTGAAATATCCGATAGACTCGATCGATCTTGTGCAAATTCTGAAATGGTAAAAATTACAAATTTCTTGAGTATATATGGATGAGACTTGAAAGTTGTATTTTTTTTTTTTTTTTTTTTTTATTGAGTTTTTATTTATTTATAAAATTTCCGAAAACATTCTCTTTATGTAAATTAAATTTTGAAAAATGTTTTATGTTAATAAATCACTTTAAATATGTAACGTACTGGTTTTTAATGCTTCATTATGATAAGGGAGATTGAATTTTTTTTCAAAATGTAAATCATAATTTCTAAGATTTTGTAGTCCCTTATTGGTAAAAAGATTGGGAACATCGTCATCCTGTTCTTGTTTATTAAACTTTTTTGGTTCCTCCTCGTCTTCTTCCTCGTCATCATTTCCATCATATTCGGAACTTGATGAATTTATAGAAGCATATTCTTTTGGTGAATAATCATCATCGTCGTCTGCACTCGATTCTACTGAATAACGACTTTGTGGCTCATCATGATTCACAAATTCATGTAATCTACCAATTTTATCTTTGTATGGTTGAAAAATAAATTCACCCATTGGTGGCATATTTTTAAATTCCGGTTCCTCTAAAGAATAACTTTCCGATGAACCTTCCTCACTGTTTATCTGTGCTTTTGAACTTTCATCTTCATCTGATTGACCGTATTCTCGTTCAATTGATTTATAGCCTGAAAGAAATTTTTTTTTTGCATTTTTATTGTTATTTTTGTATTTGAAACATATTGAATTTATAATCTTGAATTTTTTTTGTTTTAATATAATATCAATAATAAAAATAAGAAAGACTTTAAAAATATTTATCATTTTTGATATTAACAAAAATAGCATAGGAAAACAAATTCGCGTCAATATTTGGACCCGGAAAAGTAAGAACTTTTCTTCACGTATTTTTTTACGCTAAATTCGTATCTATCGTTAGATTTTCTCTAATACGTCAAATTTCAAAATGACGGATCCAAAATGGCGGACATGATTTTTAAACATCGCTCAGATCTGCTTGAAACTTGTTACTCGAGGGGTTTTTGGGTCGCTGATTACGAATCTGGCATCAATTTAAAAAAATTTAAATGTCAGATACAATATGGCGACTGAAAAATTATAATTAATAAGATTCTTCTGAAAAATGTTACATTAGGGTTTCCGGGGTCGCTGATTACGAATATGTAGTCAGATTTTCAAAATCCACAAAATTAAAAATGGCCTATCCAATATGGCTAACCGTGCAATAGGAATCTTAGAGTTGCTATTAATTTGACCCAAAATTCATAATCAGCGATCCCATAAATCCCCGAGCATCTTTCAAGCTAATCTGGGCGATTTTTAGAAATCATGTCCGCCATTTTGAATTTTGAAAAATCAACACCAGAATAGTAATCAGCGACTTCAAAAACCCCCAAATTACAAGTTTCAATCAGATCTAAGCAATTTTTAGAAATTTTGTCCGTCATCCCACACAGCACAACATATTACACCAGGTCTACAGCAGGCTTACATGTAAGGTTTGTAAGGTAACATCGTAAGCCCATAGTAGACTTACAGTAAACCAAAAATGTCCGCCTTACAGTAAGCTTACATGGTAGGGTCGAGGTAAGCTTACATGGTAGGGTCGAGAGGTAAGCTTACACGGTAAGGTCGAGGTAAGCTTACACGGTAAGGTCGAGGTAAGCTTACATGGTTGGGTCGAGGTAAGCTTACATGGTAGGGTCGAGGTAAGCTTACACGGTAAGGTCGAGGTAAGCTTACACGGTAAGGTCGAGGTAAGCTTACACGGTAAGGTCGAGGTAAGCTTACATGGTAGGGTCGAGGTAAGATTACATGGTAGGGTCGAGGTAAGCTTACACGGTAAGGTCGAGGTAAGCTTATGAGTAAAGGCTGTGGTAAGGTTATTATTAAGTTGTAAGGTTGAGGTAAGGTTGTGGTAAGCTTACAAGGTAAGGCAAGTTATATTCAAATAATAATAATAATAATAAATAAATATTCAATAAAAAAATTTTTCTTTTGCCTTATTCTATTTTGGGAACCTATCATTTCGCAGAAAGTTTTGAAAACAAATTTGGGAGGAGTAGGATTCGAACCCGGGACCGAAGTATATACCTAACAACCTAACCAACTGAGCTAAACGGGGAACTGACAATGAGAAAAGTAATCTTGCTTTTAAGGAGTTGATTATCTTCTTGGTTCCACTTTAAAAGTAAGATTACTTTTCTCATTGTCAGTTCCCCGTTTAGCTCAGTTGGTTAGGTTGTTAGGTATATACTTCGGTCCCGGGTTCGAATCCTACTCCTCCCAAATTTATTTTCAAAACTTTCTGCGAAATGATAGGTTCCCAAAATAGAATAAGGCAAAAGAAAAATTTTTTTATTGAATATTTATTTATTATTAATATTATTATTTGAATATAACTTGCCTTACCTTGTAAGCTTACCACAACCTTACCTCAACCTTACAACTTAATAATAACCTTACCACAGCCTTTACTCATAAGCTTACCTCGACCTTACCGTGTAAGCTTACCTCGACCCTACCATGTAAGCTTACCTCGACCCTACCATGTAAGCTTACTGTAAGGCGGACATTTTTGGTTTACTGTAAGTCTACTATGGGCTTACGATGTTACCTTACAAACCTTACATGTAAGCCTGCTGTAGGCCTGGTGTAAGATGTTGTGCTGTGTGGGATTTTGGATCCGCCATTTTGAATTTTTGAAAACTGACGTCAGATTCGTAATCAGCGACTCAAAAAACCCCCGAATAACAAGTTTCAAGGAGGATCTGGGCGAGTTTTAGAAATCTTGTCCGCCATTTTGGATCCGCCATTTTGAGTTTTTAAAAACTGATGCCAGATTCGTATTCAGCGACTCAAAAAACCTCCGAGTAACAAGTTTAAAGTGGATTTGATCGATTTTTAAAAATCATGTCCGCCATTTTGAATTTTTGAAAACTAACGCCATATTCGTTATAAGCGACCCCAAAAACGCCCGAGTAATAAGTTTCAAGCGAATCTGAGCGTATTTTAATTATTATATTTTAACAAAGTTTAACCACTTTTTAACTCTTTTTTAACCCTTTTTTAACACTGTATCTTCGAAACAAAGATTATGCTCAACTCTAAACGTTTATGGAATTATTGTCCCCCAATTTAAAACACTTTGAACTATATTTAAATGCGAAATTCGAGGTCCCAAAAATGGGCTAAAAAATAGTAGATTTTAGTGTCACTCTTTCTATAATATAATATCAACAGTAAAAATTATTTTAAGTTAAGGAAAATTTTGGTAATAATTACAAAAATAGAACTAAAAAAAAATATTATAACAAGCTGAAATAAATAATAATTTTATCAATATTTTTATCATTGTACTACCAACCATCATCTAATTCTTCATTATCCTCAACATCCTCCTCAGTTTCATCTTCATCATCTTTGCCATCATGCTGCGGTGGTGCGGGTTTCTTTTTATTAATAACCTCAACGTCAGTTCTTATTCTTTCAAAAGGATTATGTACAATTTGAACATGCGCCCTATCAATTGGTGCATTATTAGGATTAAAATGCAATTGAGGTTGATTTGTAAGAAATTGATAACCTCCAGGAGGATTGGCAAAATCACTTCTCGAATGTGCCTGAATACTTGCCCCTTTATATTGTGGAAATTGAGGAGTGCTACTTGACGACTGAACAGGTAGAACTTGACGTTGTTGCTGAAGACCATGACCCGTTAAAAATGGTTGATTTCCCGTTTCCGTTCCAAATTCAAAAGGAATACCAAAATTTGGAGCTTGAAAATTAAAACTATTTCCACTATTTAAAACAATTGGCTCCGACTCTAATCCCTGAATAAATCCTGAAAATTCTCTATTATGAATTTCAGTTGGCAGGGAAGTTGATAAACTATCAAAAGATTGAGGCGATGCTGATGGTAAATTAATTAAAGTCTGATGTGAAGTCGGTGAGTAAATATGCTGTGAATTTTTTGGACCCGGATATTGAGTACTATAAACTGGTGTTTGAGTTACTGGTTGATTTGAATATTCAAAAGAATTACCATTCAAATTTTGAAATGAATTTTGTCCAAATGTTCCTTGATCGAATAGACTATTTTGAAATGAGCTAAATCCTTTGAAATTTTGATCTGATGATGGAAATTTTGAATTATCGGCAACAAGAGGTGAATCAAATCTATCATGAGGTGTTGTGACATAATTAATTGGTGTTGCTGAACTACCAACATATTGTACATTAGTGTCACTGTAAACAGGTCCTGTTGGTGATGATGAACCTTTCGAATAACTTTGTCTGGGATTTTTGGAATATTTATTGGAATTTGTGTCATAAGATTTGCTTCTTGAATTCGATGTTTGTGGTCCATAGATATCGGAAGATTCACTGTATGCTTTATTTCTATTGGTACTATAGGGAGGACTTCTTTTGGCACTACTAAAATCCGATTCAAAGGAACTTGGTTTTTTTGTTGTGGGTTCAAAATCAGAAGGATCAATGCCAAAAGAAGGATCTTCTTCTTCTTGTTGTTGTTCTTCTTCTTTATCTTGCGTTTCCTCCTCATTTTCAAAGGCAGTATTGAAAGCTGTGTCGTCAACGTTAAAATTTCCACCATCCAGACTAAATGAAGGTGAATCAACATCAAACGAGGAACTTTCCTTTATTTTAGGACTAACAATATTGAAAGTTGGACTATTTTTTATACGTGAATCGTCAAAACCAAAAGAAGGTGTTGATTTAATATCAATGTCATCAATGTCAAATGCATCTTTTGTACTACTTTTACTGTCCCTAAATCCTGACAATGAATCCGAATAAATATCACCTGATGGTTCATCAAAAGTTGAGAGTGAACTACCAAAAGATGGATCTTGTCTTTTACTAATGTTGGTTGGATTTTTTGACGATTTACTCATGGATCGTCGATTAGATTCTGATGTTTCATTGACTGATGGTTTTGTTAGATCAATGACTTTTGAAATTGTGTAGGTAATTGGTATTCTTGTTGTTTTATTATAATTATAAGATGTCACTATGGCTGCTATTGAAAGCAGCATTATGTGTAGAATCTGCAAAATATTTGTAATATTTTTACGATTATAAAATTTAATAAAAAATAAAAATAAATTCATCAATTTTTAAATTAACGAAGAAATGAAAAAAATGTGTTTTGGAAGAATGTGCCTCGTTTTTTTTTTCTTATGTTAAAAAATCCTTTAGTCACACTTTTATACACTTAACACATTGTTCCAGAACACAGTTCAAATTTCAAATCCAGTTAGTTATTTAAGACACTGAACAGTAAATCACAAAATAGAAAATCACACCTAAAATTATTTGTTAAAAATTGAATGTAAACATATAAAAATAAGAAATAGTTGATAAAAAATTTTGAAAATTAGAAAATTTGATTTTTTTGTTGAATTTAAAAAAAAACACCACGTACCAGCATGGTATCCATCTAAGCCGATTTGACAGATACCAAAGTTCAATTCTAACTGTTCTAAACTGATATTCCGCCTTCTTTTATATTCGCTGTTTAGCGATGCGAAACTACCGAACGAATTATACACTTTTCAGAAAGTGACAAAAACTAAGCCGAAGGAAAAACAGTCTAATCTGTTTGTCTCTCCCTCTCTTTATCTTTTTTAACGCTGGATGTGCGACATAAGCACAGTTCCATGCCATTGGCAATTTTTTTTTTTTTTTTTTTTTTTTTTTTAATACTTATTTTGATTTGAATTCTTTTCCGCAAATTAATATTTTATCACCTCACATAAGTAATGGAATATTTTTCTCACGTGAATAGTGTCTATTATAAAACTATGATTATATGGCTTATTCAATTTCAGTTACGAATTTGTCTATTACGTTTTATAATAAAAAATATTATTCTGCATTAAAAAAATAACAATAACAAATATTTTGATATTATTATTAAAAATCTTTTTTACAATTCTCCAGTTTGTTACAAAATAACAAAGTAATTGTTTTTCTTTTTTTCATTACACATAGTTAATATTGATAAAAATGCTTCAAAATAATAAAAATTATAAAAAATTCAAAAAAATTAATTCAAAAAAATTTTTTAATTATTTTTATTATTTACAATCATTTTGTTTCATGTTTTTCTTTTTTGTTAACATAGAAGGTAAATTCATATTCCAAATGAATTCTTTTTGGCGGAAATAAGGAATAAACTGAAAGTTATAATTTCCTGTTTTAATAGCGTGATTTTAATTGTTTTTGAAGGCATAGAATAATAATAATGAATGATGTAAACGAAATTGTTTTCTAGTTCATGATTAGTTTCGTCAGCGACATTTACAGGTATTGAAATAATATTAGTTTCTGTATAGATTATCCGTTCAGGTGTCAAAGAATTTCGTGATTTACGAATCGTGCAAGATCCACGGGTAATTAAATTTCGGGAGAAGTCGTGCGTAACAAATCTATTGCACTGATACTAATTCTGTTACAAATTATATATATATATCTGAGGTAACATGTAACTGGTATCAAACAGGAATCTCAAATATGACAAAAATAAACAAAACTTTAATTTTTTAATAATAATTTATTAATTATTGTTAAATTAATTTCCCAATCGTTCAATGATAATACTAAATTACAATAAACATCTAATTATGATAAAGTTTCCTATTTTTTCTGCAACGGATTTTTTAAATTATTATAATATGTGCCGCGCTCTGAAGAACCGGCCTTATAAAAAGCAAAACATTAAAGGTTATGTTTATGATACCCACTTGGAAAGATTCCCCGGAAAGTGCCCCCTGGAGGTTCTATCAGAATTCCGCCGGAACTTCCAACGTAATTCCGTCGGAATTCCATCGGAATTCCAAAGAATTTCCGATGGGATTCCGACGGAATTCCGATTAATTTTTTTGTCAAAATTTTTAGAGTTCTAATTCCGTCGGAATCCCATCGGAAATTCTTTGGAACTCCGATGGAATTCCGACGGAATTACGTTGGAAGTTCCGGCGGAATTCTGATAGAACCTCCAGGGGTCACTTTCCGGGGAATCTTTCCAAGTGGGTAGAGTTAACTTGAATAAAAATTTCTTATTTTAATTATATAAAATTAAAATAAGTTTTTAATAAACATTTTGAAAGTATAGAAGACTTCATCATCAATTATTTATTTGATCCTCTTTTTAAATTTTCAATTTAAAGCTATATCATAAACATAAACTATTATATAATTTTTTTCTTCTTACGTCACTTTCTTCAGAGTGCATGCGCATCACATATAAATATAACATTGATATTATAAACAAAAAGTTAAATATATTTACCAAATTTATTTTTCTTATCAATATTAAATTGTTCTTTTTGATTAAAAATTAAAAATTTAATTAAAATTTAAAGCATTAACAAATATTTATATTTTAAGCATTTAAAGAAATTATTTTTCTTTTTTTTTCGACACTATAGAGAAAAATGTAAAAAAAATTTTAGACATAAAATATTTGACGATAACTATTGTAAATTGAAAAAGCATGAATAAAAAGTATACGATTTAAAAATCAATTTAGTAAAATATTTAGAAAAATCGTATAAACGATTTGTTTATAGTTATGTGAAAAGTTATACACCAAAGAATATTGGCCGCAATTTTGTGGTTTGCTTTCTTGTCCGAAACTAAAAATTAATTATGTAACTGCTCCTATTTCGTGAGTCGTTGAATACGTATCATTGGAGAGTGAAACCTTAATCTACAATAAGTGTTTTAGGCATTCAACGAAAACATTAAAAATGTCATTAATTTCTTGCAAAACAGTTGTATAGTTGAGAGAGAAAATTCATTGGCGAGTTTGAACACAAGGTTTTACACAATATTCTGTATTTAGTTTCAATTACATTGTCAATTATATAGGGATAAAAATAGAGTCAGAAAATTAAAAAGAATGAAATAACTAAAAAAAATTTCTTTTAAATTATTTTTATTTTAAGAATAATTTTACAGATTTACAATACAAATTGTCTTATTTTAAAAATTTAAACAAACTTTATAAGTATCAATTTAATTATTAAAAATATTAATATTAAAAAGCAAAACCAATAGTTTTACTTTGGGGACAATTATTATTTTAAAAACCAAATTTCATTGCAACAAAAACTCGTGCCATTTTCTTAAAATTGTAGATTACTAAAATTTTTTTTCCCTACTTCTTCTAGAGGATTTGAGGATTGATAATATAAAAAAAATTTTTTTCCATTTCGAACACTAAAATATCTCTATTTGTTTATAAGAAAGTACACAATTTTGCATTAAAAAATAAAATTTTTTTTGCATTAAAAAATAAAATTTTTTAAATTAACATTACTTCTATAACAGTTTATATATATTTAATATTAAAATCTAAGTCATAAAACATTTTTTCAATGTAAACTCAAAAAACTGTAAATATTTTAAAAATATCGCCCACAAAACATAAATTGTTTATAACTTTTTTAATTAAAAACTTTTTTTTAACCTTTTAAGTACCAAATGTACTTAAAGTTTGGCAATTTTTTAAACTAACAAAACGCAATATAAAAAAATTGGCAATATATATTTCTTATGGCCCCGGATACGCTCTTTCAAATGGTGGATCAGAAAAATCGGTAAATTAAAAAATCAAAAAATTACTGACAATTATTTAATAAAAAAACATGAATTTTCAAGGTTTTTTTTACTTTATAATATTTTTAGACATTCTTTTTTAGTGTTTGTAAACGTTTTAATAAAACAAATTATAAGATTGACAAAATTTTTAAATCTTTTTTTTTTATTATTATTAAGTAGAACAAAAGATCAAAGTATCTAGCGATAATTTACGAAGGCAACTAGAGAAAATTTTTATAATATTATTTATATTATTACGATCTTAATATGTATAAGTAGTGTAAGGTGGTGGAATTGGAATCCCTTAAGGAAAATAATTTTAAAAAACCAACTTATTTTTATAATAAAATATTATTTTGGTCATTTTTTAGTCCTTTTGTTATTTATCTTTAATTATTATTAATTAGAAATTAAGAACAAAAAAGTTAATTTGCAAAAAAGTTTTTTCTAAAAAAATGCATTTTCTCCCATTACCCCACCTGGGGTGCGTTCACGTAACTCTCACCGTCACTCTCACTCTCACTCAAAAATTTTTCACTCTCACCCTCACTCAAAAATTTTTCTCTCACTTTTGCTCTCACTCAAAAATTTTTCTCTCTCACTCTCACCCTCACTCAAAAATTTTTCTCTCACTCTCACCCTCACTCAAAAATTTTTCTCTCACTCTCGCCCTCACTCTCACTTAAAAATTTTTCTCTCTCACTCTCACTATCACTCAAAAATGTTTCTTTTTTCACTCTCACTCAAAAATTTTCCTCTCTCATTCTCGCTCACTTAAAAATTTTTTCTCATTCTCACTCAAAAATTTTTAACTCTCAATATTACTCTCACTCTCGCTCAACAATTTTTCTCTCTCATTCTCACTCAAAAATTTTTCACTATCATTCTTACTCTCATTCAAAAATTCTTCACTATCATTCTCACTCTTACTCAAAAATTTTTCTCTTTCACTCTCACTCATAAATTTTTCACTATATTTCTCACTCTCATTCAAAAATTTTTCTCTCTCGCACTCACTCTCACTCAAAAATTTTTCACTATCATTCTCTTTCTTTCAAAAAATTTTTACTCTCACTTTAAAAGATTTTAACTCTTACCCTTACTTTTACTCAAAAAATTTTCACTCACACTCTTACTTTGACTCAATAAATTTTCACTCTCACTTTCGCTCAAAAATTTTTCACTCTTACTTTCTCTCAGAAAAGTTTCACTCTTTCTGTCACTCATTTTCACTCAAAATATTTTTAATTTTTCTTTCACATTCTCTTTTACTAAAAAAATTTATATTTCACTTTCACTCTCACTGAAAAAAATTCTATTCTATTCTATTCCCCTTACACTTACATCTATTTTATATTCCCTCAAATCCTTCATTATTTTAATGGTCAATTACATTATCAGTTTCATTATCAATAAATTGTTTAGTGCACTACACTTCTCACTTTTACTGTAATATTTAATTTTTTCACAATTTATCGTTATGTTCAATGTCAGTGACATTTACATAATTTTTGAGTGAAAGTGAGAGAGACAAATTTTAATGTGAGAGTGAGAGAAAAAAATTTCTATTTACAATGAATGTGACAGGGAAAATTTTTTTATTGAAAATGAAAGTGAAACCTTTTTGAGTGAAGGTAAGAGTAAATATTTTTAAGTGAGAGTAAGAGGGAATAATTTTTGAGTGAAAGTGAAAGTTTTAGTGAAAAATTTTTGAGTGAGTGAGAGTGAGAGTGAAAAATTTTCGAAAAAGAGTAAGAGTAAGGGTGAGAGTGAGAGAGAAAAATATTTGAGTGAGAGTGAAAGTGAGATTGAAAAATTTTTGAGTGAGAGTGAAAGTGATAATGAAAAATTTTTGAGTGGAAGTGGGAAGTGAAAGTGAAAAATTTTTGAATGAGAGTAAGAATGATAGTAAAAAATTTTTGACTGAGAGTGAGGGCGAGAGTGAGAGAGAAAAATTTTTGAGTGAGAGTGAAAGTGAGAGAGAAAAATTTTTGAGTGAGAGTGAGAGTGAGAGTGAGAGTGAGAGTGAGAGTGAGAGTGAGAGTGAGAGTGAGAGTGAGAGTGAGGGTGAGAGTTACGTGAACGCACCCCTGTGGGGTATTAGTAGCTCTTAGTTGAAATTCCAATAAAATGATATAATTTCTATTTTCTTTAAATATTTTTTTTATTTTGTCAATAGTTCTCGACAGATGAACATTTTACACAAATATGGATTCTTAGCAATTAAATATGCAACAATATCAAATTTTATATATGAATCTTTTTCAACTTTCAAAGAAATAAGAAAAGCCATATCGATTTAACGAAACTGTGCCTCTATTTTTATTCATGTATCCAAATCTATACATTTTTATCTCAAATAAAATCACAATACATAATTAAATAACCAATTTTTAACTATTTAAATGTAACCGTTTATCTTCGTATGACATACAGGAAGATTGTCCAATTTTTCCGAGTTATTTCTGCGAAATTGAAAATGTATTTGAAACTTAAAAGATCCTATTACCCCACCTTCCCCTACTTTTGATATTCACTTTGTGTGAATTTTTTTTCTAAAAAAAAATTATGATATTCGAAAATTTTCTAATTATTTACTACATTTGGATGCAGTTTTATAATTCTATCAGCTTCTCTAAATCCAGTTTCAATTGCACCGTGAAGAGCACTAAAGTGCTTGGGATTTGTCGCCTCCCCGGCAAATAAAATGACCTGAGAATTTTATTTTATTTTGAAAAATGGAAAAATATATTGAAATAATAGAAAATTTGCATTACTTACTGGTTTTTCTTTTCCAATAGGTTCTCCCAATTTTGTATGATTGGAAGTTTCAGGATCCGACTTTGGACTTCTGTAGCTATTGGTACCTCTAAAGTGTTTTTTACTATGCCACATTGATCTAAAAAAAATTAATAAGTTTGCTGAATTCTCTTTACTAGGATCTTTTCTAAAATTTATTCTTTACAGTTTAAATTTTCTATTTAGAAATTAAATTTTCTTTCAGAAAACAAATTTTTCTTTAACTATATCGTCAACGAAATATCTTGTTAGGCAATTGAATTTCATTTTTAGAAAACTATTTTTTTTTCTTTTTTCTGTCACTTATTCCAATTATAATTTCCAAACAAGTTTAGAAATTCTGAATTAAAAAATTTGATTTAAAAATTGTACTAATCGCGAAGAAATTAAAAAACATTTTACCTTATCATTCCAGTGGGCTTAGTAACGTTGTATTTTTTTCCAAAAAATCTTTGCAAAACTTCAACACAATGATTTTTGACTTGCTCATCCGTTAGCTTTTCCATATCCCGAGAATGTTTTCCTGTAATCCATCCGGAGAGTAATTTTGGTTTATGCTCAACTGGATAAAATCCAACTAATCCTTGTAACCAACTCCTCTCATTCTATTGACGAAAATTTGTTAATTATTTTATTTTCTAACTATAAGTAAAAAAAATTATTTTCCTGATAATAGAATTTTAAATGATAATACTCACATCCTTTTCGAGGATTGCTAAATCTTTGTCCTTCCAAAGCAAAGAATATTCAATGTTTATTTTGTCATCAGTTGGCCACCAAGGTTCATTAAAAGAGAGTAGAATCTTTGCCACATTTCCATAAGCCATTCCCTAAAAATTTATTACAATAAAATAATTTTTTATCATTTAAAAAAAGTTAGGAGACAGAAATAAAAAGTGTAAGTTTTTTTTTTTAAATTTAATACGTTTTCATATTTCAGAATTTTTGACAAAAAAAATCGATTAATTATGATGAAATATTTATTCGCCGAGACAGATTATTTTTTTAATAGTTAAACATTTTTTAATAAACAAACCTCAATGGCTTTTTGTTTTTCTACTGGCAAAGCAGGCTTAAAGAGAGATTTATGTATTTCTTTTAACACACCCACTGAAAATGTGACAATTACATAATCTGCAATAAATGTCTCTTTATTCATTGTTTTTACCGTAACTTTTCGATTTGGATTTGAATAATCAATTGAAGAAACTTCAGCATTTAATATAGTATTACTCATAATTGGTAATTCTTCTTTTGGATTTGGATAACGTTTCATAATAATATCAAGAATAGTACTACATCCTCGTTCTTTCCAATTAATTAAACAGGATCCAGGTGAAGTTTCAAATTCCCTATAAGCCACTGTAGAAACATCATTCCAACTCTCTGCAGAATGCATAAATACTGTCATCATATCGTATAATTTTCTCAATCCTTTTTTATTATCCTTCCACTTTGGATGCGTTTCAATGTATTTATCAAGCCTGCAACAAAATTATTTATTATTATTGATAATTTGAGAAAGTAATTATGCATATATAATTAAAATCTAGTCAAACAAAGTTGATAAATACTCATTTTCATAATGTACGCCAATGGATGCATTTTTATTGTTTCTAACATATTCTTCCAATTTTCTTTCAACTTCTTTGTCAAATTGAATAAGATCATTTATCTCTGATTTATCAACAATATTTCCTGAGGAATCGAATATTTCTTCATGATATTCCGATGACCATCCTCTACCTTTTCCCAATACTCCAAGAGGCCAAGCTAATTCGTAAACAATATTTCCCTCTTCTCCATTTACCCATTGACATCCAATGTCCACTAAATAATCGTCTAATTAAAGAGAAAAAATTAAAAACTTATCAAAGATAACTATGAAAAAAAAATATGTAAATTAAAATTAAAGGAATAATTATAATTTTTTTCTAAAATGTGAGAAATTTTTAACTCACTGAATTTAGTAGTGTGAATTCGTCCACCAATTCGATTTTCAGCTTCCAGAATTTTGATATTTTGAAATCCATTTTGAAAAAGTTTTGTTGCAGCGGCTATACCCGAAGCACCTGCACCGAGAATAATTATACTTGGTTGGTTATTTGTTTTGAAATTTTTCTTTATTAATACGCCTTTTTGAAATTCTTCCCGTTTTTTATTATTTTCCAACATTTTTCACTGTCTTATCTATTTTGACAAATTTTTTTTTCATGTGTGCACTTCTTTGCAGTTTATCTTGAACTACATATTTCAATATTTTACGTTATTTCAAATGCATAGATTATGTATATAATTTTTGAATTGATTACAATATATTGTCGTTTTTTAAAGAAATATTTAGATGGATATTCAGTTGTGAAATAATTAATGCACGCTACTTCCTGGAATACATACGAATTTTTATTAGTAAATTTAATTACAAAATATAAAGTATCTGATAATTTTGAGCTATAATAGTTTGAATTATTTGTAATGAAACTTCTCTGAACCTTGACTGAACCTCGCTTGACGAGGTTCGGGAACTTGAGTGGCGAGGTCCAAACGAGGTTGAGTTGATGTTTAAATGTCCGCGCATAATAAAGGTCAGTCATAGAGGTTGGCTGAATATTGGATTTGAATTTCTGTTAAATATTAAAATTAAAGATTCTTGGCATATTGTGAGGGGATATTTAAGGAAATTAAAAATTCAAGATTTGTTAAATGTAATCGTTAAATATTCTTGAATTTTAAAAGGAGCATAAATACGGAAAAATAAAAAGAAAGCAAATGAATTTAAAAAACTATTGAAAATTGCATTTTCTATGGCATAAGAATGCGTAAATTTTGCTTTCTCATAAAGAAATTTATAGGTGAAATTTTTTCGATTTTTTTTAATTATTGTTTTCATTTGACAGAAATATTGCAATGGTGTCAATTTTCTAAATATGACATCAATAAATTTCTCTTAAAAGTAATATATGAATTTCATAAATGATAGCTTATTAATTTGAATGTAAAAGAATGGTCACTATTTTACTTTGCAAATTTTTAAAATTTAAATTAATTAAACTGTTTAATTTTTAGCTTAAATTTAAACCATTTATAATTTGCAACTACAATAATTCTCTTAAAAAACAAAGAGCCTCGGCAAAAAGTGCCCCTTTTTCAAGGTCAAAGGGGGCCATGTCCAAAATTAGAATATGCAATATAATCGAATAATAATGTTAAAAAAAATCAGACCAAATGGTTCCCTTAAAATTTTCGTCTGCTGATTTCGAATCTAAAGTCCGTTTTTAAAAATTCAAAATGGCGGATCCAATATGGCGGACGACATTTTTGAAAATCGATCCAATTGACTTGAAAATCGTTACTCGGGGGTTTTTGGGGTCGCTGATTACGAATATGATGTCCGTTTTTAAAAATTCAAAATGGTGGATCCAATATGGCGGACGATATTTTTGAAAATCGATCCAATTTACTTAAAACTTGTTACTCCGGGGTTTTTGGGGTCGCTGATTACGAATATGATGTCCGTTTTCACAAATTCAAAATGTCGGATCCAATATGGCGGACGACATTTTTGAAAATCGATCCAATTGACTTAAAACTTGTTACTCGGGGGTTTTTGGGGTCGCTGATTACGAATCTAAAGGTGGACAAACATTGAAAAAGCACTAACCATTTTTTATTAGTAAATATATTTTTTTGTGCTTACATAGAAAACAAAAAGTAATCTTGAAACATTTATATCTTTAGCACATAATTTAAAAACATCTTTTTTGAATGTGAGCTTGAGAATGTGATAATAGAGTTCTAATTTTAATTTAAAAGTATCAAATTATTGAAAGATTTTATCTTACATTCGAACACTCCGGAATCAAAAGACGATCTGAAAATTATAATGTTATATACATTCTATTCTAATCTACATTTAATGTGTGATGCGTTTTGCGAATGTGATTTAGTAAAATTAATTGTAGTTTTAAAAATCTGAAATTATTAAAAGATTTCAGCCTTCATTCAAAAACCCTAAAAAACAAAAGACGATCAATAGATCATCATTTCATTTATTTCCATTGCATTCTACATCTCATGTGACTTTTGTCTTTGCGAATGTAATTAAAGAAAACTAATTTTAATCTCAAAAGTTTGAAATAAATGAAAGATTTCAGCCTTCATTCAAAAACCCTAAAAAACAAAAGACGATCAACAGATCATCATTTCATTTATTTCCATTCTATGCTACATCTCATGTGTATTTTGTCTTTGCGAATGTAATTAAATAAAACTAATTTTAATCTCAAAAGTTTGAAATAATTAAAAGATTTCAGCCTTCATTTAAAAACTCTAAAAAACAAAAGACGATCAAGAGTTCATCATTTCTTTTATTTCCATTCCATGCTACATCTCATGTAATTAATATAATAATATAATAATTTTAAATATAATAACCTTTGTTGGTTGGATTCTAATCCCTTATCTTTGCTGATCGGGTTATCGATTACATCTTGCCTTCATTGGTCGGATAACTTCATCTTACCTTTGTTGGTTGGATTATTATCTCTTATCTGTGCTGATCGGGTTGTCGATTACATCTTGCCTTCATTGGTTGGATAACTTCATCTTACCTTTGTTGGTTGGATTCTAATCCCTTATCTTTGCTGACAATACGAATTTTTTGTTGTCAGTTTTATTCAGCTTGCAATTCCATACAGTTGTAGATGCAAACACTCTGTCGATTGCTGCTTGAACAATTAGATCGTCGTGTCGTTTGCTTCTGGTACATGTACCACTTTTTCTTTTATTATTAGTTATTTAAAAAAAAATGACAAAGTGCTGTTAAATAATGAATCCGGTTAAAGTGAGAAATGTATTGCAATTTGCAAGTTTAGTGAAGAAAAGACAATTTTATCGGTAAGTTATACTCGGTTACTATTGAACATAACCTCACCTTAAAAATACAAAATGTATATTAAATATTATTAAACAACAAATTTCAACTCAAAATAATTTTTTGGTTTCAGGTCAAAGAATTTGATTCAGAAGCTGCATGTTCCACAGATTTTAATGCAAATGAAACAAATTGTATTCAAAGCTTTGTTAATACAACAAATTGTATTGCCGATTTTACAATTTAGTTTTGTTATTTCAACTGTTACATAACAATTTTCTTTGTTTATCAAACAATTATGTTTGTTCACGGAACAATCCGAATAGTTTTAATAACAATTCCATTTCAACAATTTTTTTTGTCCCAAAAACAAATAGAACTGCTGGTTCTATATTGACAATCCGGAATTGTTGTGTGGACTTAATTTTTAGTAACCACAATAATTCATTTCTCTCCCTGTACGATACAAATTTTTTAACATTTGAAATCCCAAAAATTGGATCAGCCATTTTGAATTATTGAAAATCGTCCACAGATTCGTAAACAGCGACCCCGAAAACCACCTGAGTAATGATTTTTGAGTGGATATAAAACTCTTGAAAATATGCTTACGTAATATTTGAATGGCCCCTGTGCGATAATTTGATTATGAAAGATATTTGGAATTGGGAAGTCATATTAAATCAATTTTATAGATAAGATTTTATCATGCTTTGTTCTATATTTATTAATTTAGTTCACTTATTTTGACAACGTATATAAATGCATCAGACTACATATCTAGTCTAGAAATCCTTTGATGTTAATGGAAATTTTAATATAGCATACCTATTATTGATTAATTCATAAATTTTTTCTTTATTGAGGCAAATTCAAAAAATGTTATTTATAATAACATCAGATAACTTTTATCAGTTAAACAAGGTGGTTGTGTACAATGAAGTTTGTCAGTTTATGTTTTGTTGTTTACTTTCTATGGAATAAATTTTTAGGAGTGTCATCTTTAACAAATAATCACTATAATGGACTGATAAAATACCTAAAAGAAGATTCTAAACTTTATCAAGTAGTGTTCATTCTTAACGATCCAGTTAAAAATACAGATCCAATAATGAATGATTTAATGACTGAAGTTAATGTTCATTTTCCTTCATTGAGCATCAGCTACAGTAAAGTGAGTGTTAATCTTAACCAAGATTATCTAAATTCTTTTAATAATCCTAGAAGAACGACACTATTTGTTCTCCAATGGTCAAAACAAACCTTAGCAGAACAAGTAATAATGACTTTTAAAAGAATAAAACTGTTATCAAATAAATCATCACGACCAAAATGTTTAATAATAAATTCTGTTCAATTAGAGCAACTTAAAATCAATAAATTATTGCAAAATAATTGGAAAAATGATTACTTGGATCTTACAATAGCAACATACGATCCACGAAAATATCGAGTGACGCTTACTAAAAATGCAAATAAGATACCTATTTTGAGTCACATGAATCCTTTTAGTAACAGTAATAACTTTTCCACTCAGATGTTATCATTTAAAAGTCAATGGTTTCCAAATAAATTAAAAAATTTAAATGGCTACAAACTAAATTTTAACGTTATTTTTCATGATGATAATTTTGAAAAAAAACAGGAAATGCAAATGCAATGGAAAGGAATTTTTCAAAAAGTCATGAATTTCACAATTATATCAGAATTACAAAATTCAACAAATGAAAATTTATATCTAATCACAGAAAGCTTTAATACAGATTCAAGCAATATAAACAATTTAATACAATCATTAAGAATTTTAAAGTTTGATAATATTAAAGCTATTCTTCCGTGGACAGTAAAGCTTACTAAGAATTTAAATATTTCACCAGAATTTGGACACATGCTTCTGTCAACATTTTCAATAATTATCATCATTCGATTTATAACTTTTTTAATGTCATTCAACAAATGTAGATGGCAAACGTTACACATCAGTCAAATTATAATGGGAATGTCTACTGTTCAAGAACCAGATATTGTGTATGAAAGAATGATTTTTGGCTCTCTTTTATTGTCATGCATTGTTTATTCAGGTTATATTTATACAGTAATTTTAGACATTAGTCTAAGATCGGAATTTAAGGAATTTACAAGTCTCGCAGAAGTTGCCAATTCATCCTTGCAACCACTAATGAGTGTTAATTTGTTAGAAGATTTTAAATATAATCACGAAAAAGAGAAGTATCTTTCTTTTCCTCATATTGAAAAACTTGTAAACAAAATAAAACGTACTCCAACTGTACTATGGGAATCAAATTGTTTGAAATACATGACTGATTATCCAAACGTATTTTGTCTTATGAATAGTGCTGAAAATCATGTTAATAAATATAGAGCTGAAAAACAAGAATTAAATGTTAAAATATTGCAAGAAACATTTGATTATACATTTACTACTTGGTATTGTAGAAAAAATTCACCTTATATCGATCGCTTCAATGAAATAATTCTAAGAGCTACAGAATTTGGATTACTAAAAGACTATTATGTATCATACGAAAATCATTATGATTCTTTACAATCAGTAACCATAATTCGAAAGGAAATACTTCTACTAATATTGTTTTATGTATTAGTCATTGGATACTCTTTTGCTATAATTGCTTTTCTATTTGAAAAATTTACAGTAAATTTTGAAAGAAGAGTATATGAATTTTACACAAACTTTAGATTTGCAATTTAGTATTCTAAACGGATGGACTATTTTCTAGGCAAGAAAACTTTTCTCTAAATTAACGTATGTAGCGCATAAATATCTCATATATCTTATTAGAACACTTTTCTATGAAGTGTGTTTGTCATATTTTAAAAATTTCATGAAACCTTCTAGAAACTTTGTAAAACTTTTTGAAAACTTAATAGAACTTTCTAGAAAGTTATATATAACGTTCTAAAAAATTCATGGAAACTTATATATGTAACTCATGGAACCTTCTGGATTTTTTCTAGAAACTTTATATGTTACCTACTAGAAAAATAATTAAAACTATGTTGTAAATTTTCATTTGTTTTAGATGAACCATTATTTCACGACTGAAGGATCATCTTTTCCGGAAATTTTAGAACATTCCGAATGCTAAATTACTACAAATTCTTCTTATGTTACTTCGTGATATGTAATTATGAAAATAATTAATATATGTGCAAAATGACGCAATTAATTTTAAAACAGTTTTTTATTTGTAAAATTACCACAATCAACAAAAATAATTTAACAAAAAAATATAACATGACATTCATGAATTTGTGAGATTAATAGTAGAAAATTCACATACACTCTCTGAAATCAGTCGCTTTTATTTAATCAGTCATACTGTAGTACATTCCTTAAATTACGTATATAAAGGTACAAAATCAATCCTTAGACTATATATGTTTATAACAAAAATATATGTTTAAAAATGTATTTAAAATGTTAAATAAATGTTTAACAGTCTCTTTATTGATAAAAGTGACTAAAATTTTCGATAACTCGTATTTTTCACACCCAGAAAAATGTTTCTTTGATATAGGGTCAAAGAAATGTTTTTTATTTTTAATTTAAGGAAAATTTGTTTATTCTAAATATAATTTTGTTTGAATTTAAAATAGGTAGTATTTTTTTAATTCAACACATTTTTTTAATCAAAATAAATTTTCTTTAAATTTAAGAAAACTTTTCTTTATTGACTCTATATCTAAGAAATATTTCTTTTATTCAAAGAAACATTTTTCTGGACAATTATAAGATTACACTACTTTTGTGTATGTCGTACAGAAGAACCAACAAGAAACAATAATAATAATAAATCGAATTAACGTATTTTAAAAACACTTCAAAAAAATTATAGGTATAATTAAAATTTTTTTTACATAATTTATCATTTTTGCGCCGATAAGAATAATAATTTATTTTTTAATTATTTCTAATTTTCATTTTACATGAATTTTAATTTATTAAAAATTAAGTTATTATTATTTTCGTTTACAGGTATAATTATAATAATGTAAATAATTATTATTAAATACAATTACATTAATTTTATTATTTTCTATATAAATTTTTAATTTAATTAATTTTGTTATTTTACATTTTTCCTCTAAATTATGAAATAATTTCAGAAGCTAAATCTGTTCAGCAAGTGTATTATATATATATATATAGGATATGGAAAATATAATGAAAAAAATAATTATTTCTCGAAATAAAATTAAAAAATGAATCTAATGGTACAATAATAGAATTATTTTTTAAAATTTAGTTATATGTCTTCTATACATTTTCTTATTTTAATCTAAAAAATAAATCAAAATTTTGGACTGATTTGACTGATATTTTGCTGACCTAATTTTGATTCATCTAATTTTTTCTGCAATCCTTGTAAAGCATCATTATAAAATTGATTCTCAAGTCGTTGTTTTTCCACTTCGAGAATTTTCACAAAATTATCATTATCCCTATTATTTAAATGATTCTGTGGAATTCCATTGGGTAGTCTTTTATTTTTCATCAATAATCCAAGAAGATTATGAAATTTAGGATTATTAATTTCATAAAGATCTTTATTCAATGATTTTTTCTCATTATCCAATCCTGATGAACTAAAAGTGGAATAATTATTATTAAAAGCTCTATTTTTTTGACGATATTTCGAATGTCCATGACGTCCAGGACGAAATTCATGATAATCATGTTCAAAATGAGGCCTATTTCTAAAACGAGGAGCATCAAAACCAAATTCAAAATTATTTGACGCAGCTGTTTCTAAACCGTGTGGTTTATAACCACCGGGTTTTCGATGTCGTGATCTTGAATATCCAGTGGGTCTTGGTCCAGGTGGACGTTTTTTCACTGGTTTATCGTGAAATGGACTTTTTGACAAAAATGAATTTGGTTTTGGTGGTGTGAGATAATCATTAATTCTAAAATTAAATCCATCGTCGAATTCTTGTTTTCCATAGTAATCGGAATTCATATCATCTTTGAGAATATGTTCAATTTGTTCGAGGGAGAATGCTGGTTTTTGGGAATTTGTTTTCGATGGTCTTGAATTTGATGTTCGAAATTTGTTTTCTGTTTGATGAGCTTCCAAAACATCTTTTGATGATTTTGAATCTGTGCTAGTTGGTTTTAGTCGTAGGAGTTCGTTTCTTAATTTTGCCAATTCCGAAGAATCGACAATGCTAATATTTCCTGGTAATCGTCGATCATTATTTAATTTTTGTGAATTGTACATTGTTTTAAATGATTCTCTCACCATTTCTTCGGCGTATTTTGCTATTTCAGATTTGAGATTTGCCTTGGTCGAACCTCGTGAATTTTTATGTGAAGATGCACTCTTGATATTGTCTTCAATGGGAAGAAAATTAAAAACGCTACTTGGTGGTGTTTTGGCTCCATATTCGGTTAGTGAATCAACATAATTGCTTAAGTGAACATTCTCCGTAGGTGCTGGTCTAGAGTTGATGAAACTTGATGTACTAATGACTGGAACAGGTGTTGTGTACATTGCCGTAAATTGATTAACAGGTGTTACGGGATTGAATATTGTCAAATCAACTGGACTTGGTTTAATGTTGGGATTGATGATCTCTACATTCTTGGAGCCCATAACAGGCAATTGTGTTCTGATGATACTAACAGGGATTCCAGCAAATGTATTAATATTGTTGCTTGAACTTCCAATAGAATCGGCACCTTGATAATTGTTTGACAATTGATTCCTCTGTATTTGCATTTGCAGATCCTTCATAGAACTCAAAAAAGCGTCATTTGTAGCCTTTTGAATTTGAGCATTATCTCTTGGTCTCGCTACAACAAACGAGTCCTGAGATTTTTGCTGATTTTGATTATTTAGATTGATGACACCAGTGTGCAATATTGCTGGAAGCTGAAAAATTGTTTTCTGATTGGAATTATGATGATCATTGCCAACTGCTAAACTGGCTGTTGCTAAATATTGTCCCTCGGTGGAAAATTTTTGGCTCATTGGAGTTGTACTTGAAACAATGGGAATGTTCTGTAGGGGAACTAGATTTTGGCCATGAATTCCGTGAGGTTGAATTTGAATATCAGAGTTTTCTTGAATTATATTTGAAACAGTTTGAAGGGATGGTTGTGGTAGAAGAATGTGATTAGTGGGAAGATGATTTAATTGATAAGTTGGTGCTATTGTTGAGGCAGAAGCGAAGATGGAACGTGGAGTTGTGCTTGATGCACTTCTAGCTGTAGGACTTTGTCCCTGCGGTAGAAGAACGGAAACGGGATTTTGCATACTGCTTTGTCCGACAATGATATCGGGCACCTGACGAGAATTTTGATTAGTTTTTGGAATTAAAGTTTGTGATGTGCTAACGAATGGAGAAGCAGTGCTGACGATTGACATGCCAGAACCTAGATTTTGGATCATTGCATTGTTAATGTCAAATCCTTGACTAGTGCCTAATGCATTTTGATGATCGAACTGTGTAAATGGTACAAGGTTTACGTTCACTGGTACTAGTAACTTTGGTTTTTCTATTTGATCAACTTGATAGCCATTCGATTGTGCAACTTCTACATTCGATGATCCAACTTGATTCCAAGAATTTGTATTCTGATTTGTATTATCAGCTTCTGAATTATCAAGTTTCTCTTCGTGACTCTCATCTTGATATTGGTAACGACCTTCGTCATCCCAGTGATTTTGTTTGTTACGTTGACGATGTCGTTGTTTGGCTCTTGCAAGATTTTGTCGTTTACGATCATCATTTTCCTGTGTATATCGATGTTCTTTGGGGAGTTTTCTGGATAATTCAGCAGTTTGTGGTCGTCTTCTACTTTTGTGAACTCTTCTTGGTTTCTCAGTGACATCCATGTAATCGAGACTTTCATCGGAACTTCCTTGCGAATCCTCTGAACGCTCATAGTGACGACTAGTTCCTGTATTATCGTATCCACCATCTTGAACGTAAATATTCGAAGGGGAATTTGATAAATCTGAAGGATTAGCGGAAATATCCTGCGGAGAAATTGTTGATCTTTGAGATCCATGTTTCAGCTCGAGACTATAATCGTCATCAACATTGGTTAAAGGATTTTTATTCTTCCATTCATTATCATTATTATCGGTATGTAATTTCTGAACGACTTCACTTTTTGATTTCTTCTCCATTACAGATGACAGTCTCGTATTAAAATTTGTCCTTGCCACTGTTTTCTCTTTCGAAGCAACGTTGCGTTGAAGATTATACCCTGACATGTCGTGTTGTTGATGATTATGATGATTACTGTTCACTTTCTCTGTATCGTAATTAGACTTAAATTGATTGCTATTATAGGAATTTAGAGGAAAATGACGATTGTACATATCTTCATTATCTTTATTTTGCACTTGTTTATTACGATATTTACCTCTTATTCTTGAATTCTTCTTTTTTCCAATATCAGCGGGATCTTGATTTTGATTAATGACACTTTGAACATTTTCATAAAATTCCTGATAGTTTGCAATTGCGGGTGTATTACTGTCGACTTTCAATAATTCTAAATCACTTCTTCTGTCACCTGATTCAAAATTTCGACGATTAGCACCCGATTGTGGTAAATTTAAAAACATTCTCGCTTCCATTGAATAAACAGGATCATTTTCTAAGACGCTTTCACTTTTTTTCTGATTAGTGTCTTTTGATTTTGTTATGATATTTTCACGTCGATGATCCAATACAACTATTGGCATGAATCCATTGGAATTTTCATAATGAACAGTCACTCTTTTGGATGAGGTTTCATTCAAATTGTAAATCTCATCCGCGTGTGGCAGTTTCTCGATTTCTCGTTTTGATGATGGGAGAGCAATTTGATCGGGAATGACATTCTGCTTCTTCTCCTCCGTTCCTTTCACGCATGACCAATTCAGCAATAAAAGGACCGTCTAAAAAAGAAATCAAATTTAGTTTCAATTTTTTATATTTATGAAAATTAGATTTTTAACATTGATGTTAAATAATTTTTATTAAATTGTTAAATTATTTTCTTGTTCATTAAAATTAAAACGTAAGTTTAGAAATATTACGCAGACATTGTTTTTTTTTTTTTTGTTATTTTGTTCAAGGATTTAATCTGCGAATGACATAAATGACACTTTCACAATTTTGGTTTGATTTAAAAAAAATGTAATCATCCAAATCTCAGATACATTACGTGAGAAAACATCTTAGATAATAATGAAATTACATCAAAGGCACTGACACGTAATTTATCTGAAAATTGACTAATATTAATTCTTTTGAAATGTCCATTATGCTTATAATAAAAAAGTAATTTTATATACTTATTTACAAATCTAAAAAACGTAATTAAACATAATAAGTATTTAAAGGTTCATGAAGCTTGAAATGCTTGTCTGAGCATAAAAAGATGTGAAAATAAATATAGAAGGAGAAAAATTCGAAATTAATATCAATTCCTATATTAAAATTAACATTAATTAAGTGTTGAAATTGCATTTATTTGATAAGATAAAGCTTACTAATGAGTTTAAATAAAACATACACTTTTACAAGACAAAATAAAAGTGTCAATTAAATGCACGCACGCGAAAGTTAATTATTTCAGTAAAAAAATGATATTTTAAATGATATAGGTATTTTATTTTCTGTTATTTAAAATGACTATTATAGTTTCTGTTTACCAATTAGTTTATAATTTCTTAAAATTATTATTAATTATTCTAATAATTTTTAATTATACAATATACTGTTAAGTTTAAAAAAAAAGTAAATTAAACTATTAGAATAACAATATTTAAATAAAAATTGTTTCACTTTACTGAAATCTTCGAATAATTTCAGATTTGATTAACTTTTAGATAAGTAAAAAAATACTTGAAAAAAGACTAATCTAATAAATTACGGGCTTTTTTTTCTTATATAACATCTGAAAGTAATAATATCGAACGAAGAAATCTTTTTTTGACGAATTCGTGTAAAATGACTTTTCATTTATGACAGTTCTTCCAATAAATTAAAGGATGTCTACTTTCTTAAATTACTAGACCATGTATTAAAAATTAAGAAATATTTCAATCATGAAGGAAAAGATATTACTTTTTGCAAATTTTATTTAATTTTTATATATAAATTAAAATATATTTTGTTATAATTTTTTTTATACTCTTAAAATTTTTCATTTTTTTTATTTTATTCTGATATGTATTTAGGAGAAAATTTTAATTCACCTGTTTATTTTCAACTTTTTTTGTAATTGAATTTTTCTTATGGAGGTGTGTTTTAATGTTATATTAAATGATTTTTTTTTAATCTCATAAGATTCAATTTTCAAGAATAATTCATAATAATTGCATTTGAAAGTCAAGGGTATGACCTAGAAGAGAAAAGAAAAATGGAAAAGTAAAATGTGGGCAAGCACGCACGTCATATAAATAAGGACTGAATGTGCACGGGACCAAAACTTGATGGAGTTTCACACTGATTCACTATGAGCTTCCTTAAAACAAATATTCATGTACTTTTATATATATATATATATATATATATATATATAGATAGATAGATTATATGCAGTTCAAAATTTAAGATATACAACTTCTAATTCCCTTTCCCTCTTTCTTATTAATTAAATTAAAAATAGATAAAAGTTTCACTTTACATATTATGTTGAATACAGTTTTTTAAAAAATTTTCTTTAAACATAATATAATAATTATTATTAGTTACATTCTTTATTTTCCGATCTATTTTGACATTGATGGTGTATAAAAATTAATTTTTACTATACAATTTTTCATTAAAAAAAAATAAAACAAAGAAACAAAATCATGGAGAAATTTTTATAGTGGAATACGTTTGGTAAATTAAAAATGCGATAAATAGTACTAATTATTGAATACAACTTTCTGCACTTTTCTAATAAATTACCGGAAACTTTCGTTTTATTACTGGTGCACAAATATATGTATGAGTTACTATTCTAGATTGAAAATCTTAATGAAAGAAATAATTACTTTGATTTCTTTATTTCTGCATTAATTTTTATTCTATTCATTAATTTTATTATGAAGTGGAATTTTATAATTCTGCCAAAAATAAATGAATCTTTACATATATCTCTTTATCTGTTATTTCATATACTTTCCATATTATTACAATTACTATTATTTTATAATGTTTCTAAATATTAAATTTTTTTGGACTTTCGGATAAATAAATTATGAAAAATTAAGAATGAAAAAAAAAAATATAAATATTTCATTAACCTTTTGGAAATAAACAAAAAATATTATAAAATTCAAGCAGAGTGTGTGATTTAATATTAAAAAAATATTTGAAATTATTTAAAATAATTATATTGTAAATTAAAATATAAAAATTCATTTATTGATATTAATTGATTGTTAAAATATTGTATTTTCTTTAATTAATTTGTAAAATTTCTATAATAAAAGTAAAAAATGAGCAATCGAAATTTTCCTGACCAATTATGTTATAGAAGCTCGTTACTGTGGTTACAAGGTTCCTTGCGTCTATTTTTTTTCCTCTTAAACTTAATGAGGAATTTTTATACAATTTAATCCAGTAGGTTTACAATTCAATATGAAAGAAATTTGATTTTTTTTACTTGAGAAATCTGATCGTCTAAAAGTGTCAACTGATTTATAATCATTTAAATATAATAATTGCATTAATGAAAGGTAATAATACATTAAAAATTAATTACAATTACATCTAATAGTTGATATGTAAAAAAACATTTAAATAAAGTAAACTAATAAGTTTTTTTATACTTTCGGGAATATTAAGAAAGACGGGGTAAAACGGAACACCGTTGGGTAATTAGAAACAATTCTAAATCCTCCCATTCGTTTTAAATAATTATTATAAATAATTAAGGATTAAATAAAATCCATTTTATTTGTTTTCAATGTCATAATAGTTTTTATATGGAAAAATAATTTTTAATTTAAAATTATTTCCATTTACCCTATAATGTTCCAAATTACCCCCCGTTTTTATTCTAAGCTGTACAAAAATTTTACAGACTTAATTTTCACACGTCCCATTCAAATTCATGTAAAGAACTAAAAAAAACTTTATTAGAATTAAAAAAAAAATTTTGTGCTTTCATCCTGAGGCTTTAATCCATTCACTATGCATCACTTTCACAAAAAGGCACCACTTATTTTTTTATCCCATATTTAAAAATCTTCCATGACGAGATTGATGCTACTTACAAGATAAAAATACATTGTTCTTTAAAAAAAAAACCAATCACTCTCGTAACGTTTAACCCTTGTTTTTTCTTCGATTACACATTGGACTTATATCTCACATTTGGATGTAAAAATCACTGGATTTTTTCATTTATCTCTTTAAAAAAAAAAAAAAATTTGATCTAACAAGGTGGACCTCTACACGAGAACTGAGCCACATAGAAGATACGCGATTTTCTTTATACACTCTGGCAACCAAGTGAAAAATATCGTTCTAAATATTATTCTATAGTCCACCAGAGTCAGGATACTTTCATTCACTACACGCGACCACAGCTAGGAAAAGTCTTGTCTTTTTAACTAAAGGATGCAGGGGATCATCATTATTATATGAATCAACGACTATGAAACCAATTCTAAAAAAGAACAAAAAATTGTCCAACAAACTCTTCATATATATTTATTATTATATATGTATCTAGAAAATCGTTCTAGCGTCACACCTTCTAAAATGTTTTTTACAACTGGAAACAGTAAAATAAAAATAAAAAAAAAAAGACGATTTTAATGATTGGTGATAAATTCTGCGTACACGCATCCCTTTCGCTTTCTTCTCTCCAGATATATAATTCAATGTTTACCTCGTATATCAAATCTTTGCGCGACATATAAGTATAGAGAATCCAATAAAATCAAAAACCAACACACATTGGTCCCGCAATTAATTGTCAATTATAGAAATGAAAAAAAATAATACATTTTACAGTTCCGTTTTCAATTATAAATGGTCATTACTTTTTCCAGCAAACTTCTCTCTATGCGCTCTAGAACACATAGACTGTTCACGATCCCCCCATAGCCAAGTGTGTTCAACACATTGAAGATGAAAAAAAAAAAAATTCTTCTTTACTTAAGAAATAATTACTGAACACTTAAATTTCAAATGTTTTACAGTGTGCAAATTGACACTACTGAGATTTGTAGTTAATTACCGAACAAATTAATTTTGCGATATTTATATCGTGAGAAAAGAACTGATAATGAAAATTAAATTATCATTATTCATTTATATAAATTAAAATTGATTAATTGCCAATAATTTACAAAAGTAGAGAGATATTAAAATTTAAATTAATCAACTTTTGTATATTAAGAAAAATATGTGTATAGAAAAAAATGAGATATATTTTTAATGATCCTGAAATTATGTTTTTTAATTAATTAATAAATATAATTATATTTTTCAGATGTGTGGTCTTAGTAAATAAATACGAAGGTAAATTTTATGCACTATGAAGTATGACGCTTTTTTCTCATCCTCACTTTTCACATTTTGATAATTGAATACACGTAAATGATGCATTAAAATCTGTTGTATTATAATAAATGTTGGCAAGCAAAAAACTTTTACTTTTGATCGTAAAATTTCAATATATATATATATATATATATATATATATAAGCGAAGTCATAAACTGTAATGTTGATTTATAAAATTGGAATAATTAAGAAAAAGATATAATAACTGCAGTAAAGTCGAAAATTATTTTTCTGAGTTTAACTCAAGACGACATATTGAATTCAAAATTTTGAATTTAGAAAAATTGACATCAATGTTGTAATAGAGAATGCCTATGTAACGAGTTTAAAAAAATGAATTTGGAAACGACACAAATCGAGTTTTATAAATTTGTTCACGCTGTTGTATCAGCGATTATGAATTTTTAAAAATTGGTACCGAATTCGTGATTAACGAACCTACAAACCCTCGAGTAATATGTTTTATCAAAATCCATCAAAGTTATTCTCCCAATTAACAGTTTATAAACATAATTTGTTTATAACAATTTTTCTCACAGCAACAGATATTTCAGAATATTCTACGGATGTTCTAAAAGTATACGGAAATTAGTATATCCTTAGAATGTCCTCAGGACATCCTAATTTCTCTGGACCAAATGATATCCCTAGAACGTTCGATAATATGTAAAATCTAAATTTTCTTCATTTATTTATGGCAATATAAATAGATTTAGCTGGTGAAAATTTGGTGATAAGAAACCAAAAGACAGAAGCAACAGAAAAAAAAACAAATCATCCAGTTATAGATACGAAGAAACTCGATGATTCAGTGAATTTCTCCTGTTTCAGTTTCAGAGCAAAAGACTCTGAGTTTAGGGTACAGGGAAGAAAGAGAATATTGATTTTAAAATGACAAGGTTATAAGTTTATTTAAGCATATATTTTAAGTTATAAAATTATTCTTTGAGAGAGAGAGAGAATCCTGAAGCAACCAGTCTTGGAAAATAAAAAAGTCAGCATTTAATAGGTTATAAAGGATTTAGGAAAATAAGTATTAATGAATAACCCTTTTAAGAAGTAAGATGAATGAAATGGCCAACTGATGTGTCCTAATTATGGGCAGGGACGGCTGGTACCAGTAGCGGGATTACGAATAGCAACAGCGCTCCGAAGATTTCGCTACGTATCGATCTCTACTTAAAAATAATGTCATGCAACGTTGGTTATACCTCGAGACGTAAAAATGTAGGTGCAAATTAAAATCATTAATTCACCAACATTGTGTCATATACTCGTTTCTTTATTGTAACAATTTATTAATAATAAGAAAAATTAAATTATTACAAATCAAATATGATTTTCCAATTCAAAATCCTTAACTTCACATTGATAACATTTTAAAAATAAAATTGGACTATATATATGTTTCATTTAATCATTTATTAAATTTTCATAACATATACAACATTGACATAAGTAAAGTAAACTATTTAAAACAATTTTGAATATTACATTCTTATAACTATTATAAGGAAAACTAATTTTGATAGGAACAGAAGAAGAAAATTTGATGCATAAAATGCAAAAAAGAAAATGTATTAAAAATATAATAATTTTATTAGGAAGAATTACAGACACAAAATAATAATTTAGACAACTTTAACTGATTAATGAGAGGAATTTAACAGATTTATCATCTAGTGTACGCTTATAAGAATTGGTGGTATTTTTATCACTGATTAAGAATCAGAAAATTAACTCAACTCCCTCCTCACAGAGCAAAAAATCTTTTGCCAAAAATGCTTACGAAAATTTCAATCAAAAATGCCATAATGGAAAGCGTAAATCCAATAGTAAGTACGTAATGCGAGATAAGTAATAGTTTTTCTTTCTCGATTATTTCTGGTGGTTCAACACTTTTAAATTCCCTCGATTCACTATCAAAGTATGTCTTTAGAAAACCACCTTCCCTGATTCTCAAGATAATTTCATGAAAGCGATCAATGTATGGACTAAAACTTCTCGCATGGAGAACTCTTCTAACCTGTAACACAGATTCCGGCATAATTTTTGCATCCAATTTTCTATTGTATTTTTCATAATTATTTATCAATCTTTCAGCCACTGGAGAAAAACAAGATACATTTTTATACTCATTCATATACTTTAGGCATGCAAAGGCAGTTGAATTACTTGGAGTTTTAATAACTTTAAATCCCAATTTACTAATATGGGGATTTAAGCTGTATTTCATGTATAACGAAGCATATCGTTATTCAGATATCAGTCACCAATATTCATTATATGGTCGAGAATTCTATATACTAGTATCAGCGTCGAATATGTCAAGCAGGGAGATCTATTCATATGAGTGTGTGATTGTGCGTGTCAGCGGTTTTTCCTTAGTATAGGTGGTTCGTTGTCCAATGCAGGATTAGGAAGTTCCAGTTATTTCCGGATTCTCATCGACCAAGGGCCAGCAGGAAGGAAGAGGGCGCGCAATAATCAATCGGAGCTGCTGTGTAAGACGGATGTGTGCCGACAAATGTGTTAATGGATTATTAGTATTGAATAGTGTGTTACAAGTTGTTAAATAAATAGTTGTTATATTGTTTAAATCGAGTTATTGTGTTTTCAATCCTTGGAGTCAAGTCGCAGCCACATCGTCGTTTCAGCGGATTATCTCAACAAGATGTGTTTAGTGAGTACCATAAATAAGAGTAACAGGTAGTTCAAATCAGGTCGTCGTCGTCGTGTTTCCCGATCGTCTCAGCGGAATCTCCCCATGAGAGAGGATCGTATGCCAGAGAGTAGTGTGTAGCGAAATCACAGTACGTAATTTAAGCACGAGATTGTGGAATATTGTTATTTTAATTAATATTTCTAACATCTAAATTAGCGTTACACATGTTAGACTGTAATATAATCGAATTCGTCATTGGTATCAAAGGCGATGCTGCCAATTCTTCGAGAGTTGTTATTTCAGGCGACGGTAGTAACGCGAGGTCCAGGATAACTGTAAAAACATAGCCTGTATAGACCATGCAAGCAAGTAATAACGATCCAAAAACTATTCTTTCCTTCGTTTTTACTGGTTCCTCAACTATTGACATTCCCATTATAATTTGACTGATGTTCAACGTTTGCCATGTCCTTTGATTAAATCTCATCATAATAGCAGCTACCTTTAGTAAGCCAATTGTACCAATTGTTGCTATGATGATTAAGGAAAACTCTTGTGAAATAACAATGATTTTCAAGCTTCTTGAAGATTTGGAAATTATAACTTTAACATCATATTGTCCAAACAATCCAAAATTTATCAATTGCTGATCTAATTCATCATAATTAAACATTGGTGTAAACCACATTTGAGCTTTCTTTTGTAATAAGGTTTTACGAAGCGAAACTGATGTTCTATCATCTTTATAGATTATAGAAACATTGGGTTTAAAGTATGCTAAAAGTGTAGCAAATTCACATTCTCTATTGAAATTATAATTTGAAATTTGTACATCAAGAATAAGAAAATTTAGACGATAACCATGCAAATCCTGCATTTTTTTGGAAACCATTGATTTTTACATGAAATTTGAAAAGCGGAGTACTTCTTCGTAAACGGATTTATCTGATGCAAAACTGGTAGTTTTTCTATTTGTTTCTTCAGAAAGACACGATGTTGTTGATCAAGTACCATAATCGTAATGTCCAAAAACCCATCTTTCCATAGTTTTTTCAAAATTTCTTTTTGCTTCAAGTGGTCTGATTTTCCTGAATATATGATTAAACATTTTGCTTGCGGTGAATTTACCGATGTCACTTTAATATAGAGCATTAAATTTTCAAACTGTTTAATCGTTTTATTGTTTATAGTGTCTGTTTCTACTACGAAAAGCGTTGTCCTTCTTAATCATTGACGTAAAGGAAGAAGCTGCATCTTTCTTTTATCACTGCTGGTCATCCTTTCGCATGGAAAATCTTTATTGACTGTCTTCATAAGTGATTCCAATGATTTCGGTTTGTTTTTCAGTTGATCATCAATAATGAACATTACCTGATGCAGTTTTGACTCCTCTTTTAGATATTTTACTAATCCATTATAATCATTTTTTTTTGGAGATAAGCCTAGGGTTTCTTTCCAAATCAAAAAGTTAATGTAACATAACACGCAATTGTTTAGCTTCATAGCGACTTATTTGACTTACAATTCCACAAACCAATTTTTCTAGTTAGGTTGATAAGACATTTTTTATCATCACAGCTAGACAATTTTGCTTTTGGCATGTTTTCAAGAATATTTAAAAAAATGATGGTGAAAATTTGATAGATACTTAGTAATTTGTAGATTTGAAAAGATAGTTTTAACGCAGTCATTAAACGCTTGTATATTGTGTAAAAAAAGCTATAAAAAATTGTTTAAAATAGCTCTTAGCATCGGTTGATTGTATCTTGACAACAAGCTCAAAGTCAATATAATTAACTTCAATTCGAAGGATATATTAAAAAAAAATTTCCTTACTTTCTACACTTTCTCCTAAAAAAAATTTTCTATTCCTGCACTAAGAGACCTTTTACATTGTAGCCGACTTTCGACAGGCGGCTGCGGAACATTCTGTTGGTAAGCTACGTTTGGGCTGCTGCGGTACATTTTTGGGCGCGTGTCTGCCAAAAAGTTGTACAAACCAAAGGTGGCGTCCCCACAACTTCGGTGAGCTACTCACCAACATTTTGGACAGTCACGCTCCCAAAATTGTACCGCCGTACACCAAAACCATAGTGGCGCTGCTGTTACTTACCTTCTTCCGCTGCAGTCCTGAAGTAGGATTTCGCTACTTAGCAATTCATATTCACTTAAAAAAGTTTTTTGTTACTGGATAACTCAAAAAAAATGTATCAGTTTCACAGATTTAGGTTAGCACAATTGTTTCGCTGGTAAAATTCACAGATAGAAATTTTATTATGAGTACTTTTTAAATCGGAAAGTATGAAATTAAAAATTATGGATTCAAGTTAAATTTATTCGAATAATCAAAATGTTTAATCAAATAATTTTTTGTAAATTATTTTATTGTAAAGTAACAGTTGACAAACATGAAGTTAGAGAATTGTTTCCACCTTCGTGTAGTATTGGTTTGGTACGTATATAAAATCTTTTAAGAAATTGACATGAATTCTATGTCAAAGGTCTTATCCAGTGGGGTTATGTTTATATTCTCTTTGGAATTACGATCTTGTAGTTTAAGTTTTGAAGAATCCGTCAACGCTATTTTATTTTGGACATCACGTAGAACTGATTTCACTAAACATATGTAAATTTTTAACCCTAAATAGCGAAAAGCTCTACATAGCGACTAGCGCTATTCGTAATCCCACTACAGGTGATGAACACAGGTCCTGATCGAAGTTCAATTGACCGTGACGAAAACCCAAACAATGAGATTCCTCCACAAAGGGGAAAAGATGATTTCCAAATATTGTGACAAGTTAAATCCTTGTATATTGGAATGAATTCTTCTTGATGTAGAAACTTTTAACACGTACTGGTACCAAAATCTGAACTGGTCTCTCCTGGCATATGTGGCCATTTTATACAGGATTTTCACAAAGAGGGAAGACAAATTCTCAGAAGAGGGTAGCATTATTCACCCTCTTAATTAAAGAGTGACCATCTAATCGTTGTGAATTAGTGTGACTTTCCTTTTAGATTGACAAGAATTGTGGTAGTAAAAAAGAATCATAGGTAGGCTCTCTTAGTAGAACAATGTACAAAAAACCGATCTCGTAGTTATATTTTCTGAATTGTGAGAAAAACTTTTGATAATACAGAACTTGTTAGAAAGTCAGACCACTGTCGTGAATGTAGTATTGATTTTATACAAAACAAAGTAAAAATAAAGAGAGTTTTGTTACAAAAATACAGTTGCAAAATTTATCAAACGTTACGGTGACGTGACACCAGGATCGTGGTAGAGGTCCTGAAGATGATGAAATTTTTGGATGTTCAGAAGAACGTGAATTTAACGATATAGAACGGGTTGAAAACTTTTAAATCCGTTATCGAGGAGGCGTGGAGTAAACATCAAGTGGCAGATACCAATGACGAGTGCCCATAGGCACAGATGATGAAAATCGCAAAATGTAAAACCAGAAACGAAAAAGGCAACATCGAAGCTACAGCGTATGCTGACGTTTTGGGTAAGCTTCGCAAGAAAATCAATCGGGACGCCAGCCACATAACGCTAGTAGCTGCATGACCTACACAGAAGGGAGGCCTCGTTAAAATTGAAGGCGACTTTAACAAGAATTTTTTCACTGCGGATGTTACAAAAGCGATCGAAAGCATGGGTAAGGAGCAGTCGGTAGATAGATAGGTCACACTTCAGATCCGCGACTTGGATTTCTTTACCAACGGACGAGGGATGAAGCTCGCTGTTGTAGTCACCTACCCAAAGAAGGCGGACAGACTGGATATGAATTGAGATGTATAAAGATTGAAATTAGATTTTTAATTTATTATGCATTTTTATTAAAAATAATTTCTAATTTTGTAAAATTAAAAATTAAATCTTTTCTAAAATTAAATTTATCTCAGAGGTTGCAGCGGTTATTCCAAGATTCATCAATTTTTATTATTTATAATAAATAAATTATTCACAATATAAATTAAAAAAATAATTCATGAGCATCTTCAATTTTTCAAATAGTATCAACTGAAATTATAGGCTAGGTGATTTTTTAACACTTTTATTTTATTATTACAAAAGTAAAAATATACATTATAAAAACACATCAAACTTAAAAACTATGTTCAAAAAAGGTACCATTTTTGAAGCAGTGTAAAAATTTGGTCATCTTCACGAAGTACCCGTAATCTGTATATAGCTTTTTCTCACTAGCTCGTTATATGATAAACCACAATTACATAAAAAGTCAACATTCTTTGCACTCCTCTGCTTATTGCACACTCCCATTCTAGACTTTATATACTTTTAATTGTAATAAGTATAACAGTAATTATGTTAATCAAAACAAAATTTTCAATTTTTGCGTCATGGCACAAAAACTCATTTGAGCAGCTTAATATTTGGATATTGGATATCAAATGTAGGCAATTTTTAAATTTGTAAATAAAGATAATAATTGTATTATTCAAATTTAATTGAAATAATAATAAAATGTTACAATATAAATTTGAATAAATTTGAAAACATTTGAATAATTTTTAAAATGTGATTACTTGATTTTTCAAATTCGTTACTGAACATACTATGAAATTGACAATTATGAAGTATTAAAAACTGCACATAACTAAACTCAATTGATTGTTAAAATGGTTGTTACACTTAACATAATAGTTAAATAGTTTCTGTGAATTCAGGTACATAAAGTCCATAAATACAATGAGTATTAAAAAAAACATATTGTCAATGTATCTTATGAAGCTGTTAAAAGTACTTAGTTACTGGCATAAATATAGGTAAAACTTAAGTTTTTCCTATTTTATTTTTATATCATTTTGCAGATAGTCCAAAATTTACAAGCACCAATTCTCATTACATAAGAACATTTAAAAAAAAATATATTTAAATAATTTCTAATACAAATTTTAAATGCACAATTAAATCAGTTTCAACATTAATATACAGTAAACATTTGGTAAACAATTTTTAATTTCATTTTTAACAATGTTTTTTGAGAAAACCAAATTGAGATTTATTTTACTAAAAACTATACAACTAAAAACTTTTATTCTGTAAACCCCTAAAAGCATTCGGATATTCAGAATGTTCTACAGATATCATTTTGTCCGAAGAAATTAGGATTTCCCTAGGATTACCTTAGCACGTCCACGGACATCCCTGAGACATCCGAATTTCTCCGGACAAAATGATATCCCTAGGACAACTATAAAATATCATACAGGAGAAGTCTGAGTTAGTGAATCATTAGATGGTGACGCATTATGTAATGAAAATAAAAGTTTTACAACTTAATGACAAAGAGCTTATTTCAGATTAAAAAAACTCGTGGGTTAATTAAATTATTATTAATTAATGAAAATTAAGATATTTGGTATTAATTAATTATCATTTAATCCTACATGCTTGAGCTCGGACCCAGACAATTTACTTCTTCATCTACTTTTATTTAAGAAAATATTTTTTCAAAATCGTTATCCAATTATATAAGCTGTAAAAATATTTGTAATGATATTAAATATTTATTAATAATAATTATTAATTTATAATACAATTATAGTAAATATTTGTTTATCAGTTTATTTAATAATTGTATAAATTAGTTTCATAACTTTTGATAAAATGTAGCTTAAATTTTTTCTTCTTGAGTTAACAAGTTTTTTCAACATTTTTTTTTTTTTTAATTTCACACAAAATAATTTTATTTTAATTATTGTCATTGAATAGTAATTTTTCTTGAGTTACCCAATATTTAACTAAATAATAATTAATTAATACTCAATATATTTTAATTTTCATTAATTAATAATCACTATCTAATGATTCACTAACTCAGAGTCTCCCCCTATTGAAATATCCGTTTTTGTGAGGGATATTGTATTTTCAGAATTACTTTTCACTTTCTTTATGTGAGAAATTTAAATAACTTTTTTTTTGCATGAAAGACAATATCTAAGAAAAACTGAAAAAATTGTACAAAAAATTAATAAAAAATGTCTTAAACAAGAATTACATATCTTTTGTTAATTTTTTCTAAACAAAAATATAACTTGTACACTTGTATATTTACATTGTGATTTGCGAGAACAGCCCACTTAAATCGAGAAGTCATCCTTTTGATGCCATATTGTAAAGGAAAAGTTACATTAAAAACTAAAATAATTCTCTCTACTGATACCAAATCATTGGAATCTCACTCAAAAGCTCCTTCAAAAAATTGTTACCTCCCCCACAGCACCGGATATTTAAGGATATCCCTGGGACATCCTGGGGATATCCATTTGCTTGTGGCGGTTTGGATATCCCTCGGACATCCTGAGGATATCCTGGGACATCCCTGGGATATCCCAGGGATATCCAAACCGCCGCAAGGCAATGGATATCCCCAGGATGTCCTAGGGATATCCTTAAATATCCGGTGCTGTGAGGGCTCAATGCGTTTTCAATAAATTTTTAACTGAGTTTCTAAAGTGTCTGTATCAGTAGAGCGTCGCGAATTAATTTTTTCTATAATTTCAGAGGAAATAATTGAAGTCTCCCTATAAAAATTTCCAAAAGAAATTTAACTTCTATGATAATTAGTGTATCTCGGACCGTCAATAATTTCAACATTCTTAACTTTTTGTGGTTTTCTACCTTGACTCGTGTATCTATTAACTGTTTCAATCATTTTAGCTTCATCTTCCATAAATCGATGACCTTGCTTCACAATTGGTACATAATTACTCGATTGATAATGTCTTCTGTCATATCGATTACTCTGTGGAAATCTCTGTTGAAATCCATTTGCAATATCTGGATCATCAGAATATTGACTTAAACTTTGTGTTAGTTCCGTTAAATCAGAAATGGGATTTCCTCCCTTTGAAGATTGTGGTCTTGAATAATAATCATTACCCAAATCATAAGACGAATCTTGATTCATTTCATTAAGACTCTGTGCATATTGTGTCAAATATTGTTGTAACAGTGCTTTTAAATTAATATTCGGTGTTGCCTTCTGTTGTACAGGAGGTGCACCATCAACTCGTAGAATAATTACTGGAATTAGTGAATTTCCCGCTTGAACAAATGTTGGTTGGGCATTTAAAATTGAAGATGGATTTTTGATGTATTGCGAAATTGATGGATTAAATTTTAGTAGATCATTATATTGAGGATCGACAATTTTATGACCATAACTATTTTTGTGAAATTTACCTGAAGCGAGCATTTTATTGATGTAATTTTGTGCTTCGGGTGAAAATTTTTCTGAACCAATTTTACCAGGATTTTCAGTGGTGCCAATGTATTCGGGATTAGGACTATTCACAGCGTATTTAAGAACTGGACGAGCGGTTTTTGCGGAATTATAATTTGAAATTCTCTGATTGTTACGATGCGGTGAATTTGATGGGAAACGATGTCTCATGTTTGGTTTCATGTTGAAAGAATTCTGATAGACAACTTTGTGTGGTGGTAGTTGTGATGATGGAATATCCACGGATTCGTAACTAGAATCCGAGAAATCATTAGGGGGAAATTGATTGCTATTCTTTAATTCGGAATCATCTTTTGGAAATTGAGCAGGTGTTTGGGAATATATTGATTGACTGGGATTATTGTAAATGTGTGTGTTGATTGAATGAAAATTAGTGGGTTTATTTTTGTATCTTCCTGTTGGGAAATTCGAAGTTATTGTTTTTGGAGTAGATGATTTTGGATGAGTAACATAGGATGTTGGTGGTGTGTCCGAGACTCTTCCATCAGGATATTTCCAAACAATTTTGTGTTCATATTTCACACCATTTTCCACTGAGTATTTGGGATAGTTTGTTAAATCGTCATCAGGTTGGGAATAATAATCCTCCTGTGAATTAGGATCTCTAATCTCGGGAATTGTAGTTCTTGGAGTATTGTAAGGACCAAAACGATACTTGGATCGATAAGCAGCCGGAGTAATGTTCGCGAGTGATTCAGGTGTTGAATTCTCAGCATTCACTTGAGAAGAAGAGGGAGTAGTTGATTCGAAAATCATATTTGGAGTTGTTGATAAAGAATTATAAGCTGATAGTCCTTGAGTCACGGTACTAAATGGACTTAAATGAGTACTCGGTATTGTAGATGTTTCCTGATAAGATCCTAAATTAGCTGATGATTTTTGTAATTTAGTTCTCTGTGGGAAAAAAGCTTGTGTTTGATCGTAACGTGGTGGCTGTTGATTTTTAGCGTTATTAGATTTTTGATTAAAGAAATTATTTTCTCGTCTATCACCATTGTATTGATTTTCAGATTCGACAATTGTTTTTGGTAGAAAGGGACTTATTGATTCTTCGATACTAACTGTTGTTCCGGATTTTCCAGCTGGGAAATAATAATTATAATGTCCGGAAATAAGATTATTTCCTTGAAAACCATAGCCTAGGTGTGAGTCAATTGTTCTTTTTGATTTGTCATCATTTGTTGCATTCGTACCGTTTGTATACTCGAAGAGAAATATTGGGGGCAGAACTGAAAGGTTACTGCTCTTGAGGTCATCCTTGAGTTCTTTATCAAGGTCGAGTAGAGCATCTTGATTCGAGCTGTCTTCGACCTCTGCATTCCTTTCACTCTTAAGCTTCTCTGATCGTAACGCCTGAGTCCTTACGACAATCAGTAGCGCACAGATAAGTACCTGCAAAATTAACAATAATTTAGAACTTTTTTTAGATATCAAAAAAAAAATTAATAAAATAGAAAAAAAATTGAATTTTTTAATAATCAATGTGGATAAAGAGGTTCAAAATAATTTCTCTTCACTACTTTATAGGAACAAATAATACCATCATAAAATTATTATGAAGGGATGTAAAAATGATAAATTGAATCATTTAAACAATTTATCAGATGTTAGTGTTGGAATATAAATTTGTCTTTTTAAAAAATACTTTGTGTTTAACAAAACTTTCCTTTTAGGGAATTGAATTCAAAGGATTCTTCCTGCAATAAAATTTCAATTTACAGTGATGAATATATATATATATATATATATATATATATATATATATATATATATATATATGTATACTTCCTCGAGAGAGGAGCATAAAATTAATGCCTTATTTCACAGATGACTATAAAGAATCTTCGATTCGATTTTTTCTACTTCTTTTCCTACAATGTCAGATACAATCCTTTGTTTCCTCTATGAAAATTTTCTCCTTTGTCGACAGAAAAAAAATATCAATTTACATTGATAAATCGAACCTTTGATAGTTTTTCCATTAAGATGACAGTGACAAGGTAAAAAAAAAAAAATTCGAAGAGTGTTAGAATGCATATACGTTACCAAACGTCTTCTCGTGAAAGAAAGCGGAGAAAATGCGAAATGCATCGGATGAAACCTGTTTTGAAACTAATATTGCGGACTTGACTCTGATCGTGTATATATCGAAGTATCCTCAATAGGAATCGTTACTTTTCTCTCTTATGTATTAAACTGCGCAAAATATAGGGTATACTACAAAAAAAAAAGTAATTTCATTCTCATTGATAATAATATTGACGATAAATAATGTCCTTTTGAAAATTTCTTTTATTTCTGTTGGAACTTATGATCCATTAAGAAATAAGACAACAAGAAGAATTACAAATTTAACGGATGAATAATAATAATTTAATATACCTGCTCCCTCAATAATAGATTTAATATATTATGTATATGTTTTCTTATCTTTTTCGCATTTCTATTACGAAAATTTCTCATCTATTGCGACAATAAGTGAATTGAATAGATGTGAAATTTTTGTACCTGTGATCCTTGTTAACCATTACTAAATATATATTATCTTATATGTGTTGGTTAATATATGTATATAGTATAATAAGATATGGGATATGTCAATCAGTTTTATGTCTTTTTTGAAACCCTTTTTTTGTATATATATATATATATATATAGTCGTAGATCATAAATAATGGAAGATTTTTAAAACAAAAAAAAAGAAGTCGCTGGTTATCTAACGAATCGTGGTGAATTGAAATGTTTAAAACGTTATTCCTGATACAAAAAACTTTCACTCTCTTGCTTAAGAGCATCTGCTTTAAGTCTCTTGTGTCCCAAGTACCTTGAATTGACCACAGAGATATGGTTGCGTATTTATATATATATATATATATATGATGGAAAATCAGAAACACTTTCTCCACAATTATGGACACCATCATCAGGAGCAGGAAATAACTGTCCTGTCGAAAAAAAAAATATTCGCCAAATTCAGAACAATGTGCAGCTGACCCCACCTTTTCATCCAAGGGGAAAAAGTAATGTTCAAATTTTTAAAAATTTAATCTAATCTTTTTTTATTATATTCAGAAGTTGTATTATATTTTCCCAGAAATGTAAAATTATATTGTGATTCGTTGTAAAAACTATTTATTTAGTATTTAGTAAATTTTAAAATGAATTTCATATAAAGTATTAAAAAAAAATTTTCTCTTCTCTCACGCAGAAATAAAGTAAATAATTGAAAACCTATTGACCTAATAAATACGAGTAATAAACTTTATAGTTTTATTAACTTTTATAATCTTTAGATTTTTATAGTTCTTTATAAACTACAAAAAAAAGATGATCAGAAAATTAAATAATATTAAAAATTTTTATGAAATACCAAAAAGTGTTAAATATATTATTGATATTATTATTTTATTATTACATATATTATTGTTATTATATCCAAATTCTTGTATTATATTATTTTATCACCTACTAAATAATGATATTGTTATATTAAAGCATCTATTAATTTATTATTACTATTATTAATATTTTCAACTGTTTATTATTGGAGAGGCAATATTAGCAATTTATTATTTTAAAGCAAGTTGTATATATTCATATTCATTATATAAGTTAGTGAGATGATAATATAAAATTTTTGAAAGGAGCACAGTAACGGAAGAGCGAAGATCAACTTGGAAGAAAGTATACAAACACTTGTTCTAAATTTGTAATTAAAATCTTAACATATATTTATATATTTGTGGGAATATAACGGTTAATAAATTTTTTTTTAATCCTAATTTGTTTTTTACGAATAATAAATTTATATAAATTATGCCTATATATACTTATCAATATCTTGCATAATTCATTTCTTTTCTATTATTATTTAAATTTTGATAATGCTTATGTACTTTTAAATGAATAAATTTCTCACCTCCAACGTAATGGTTTGTTAATTAAGACAAAATGCATTTCGAAATACTCTCATTTTTTACAATAAACAAATCATTTATTCATTTTTAGAAAATGAAACTAATTAAGTAAAGATGTCTTTGCTATTAGTGATTAAGTTAAGTGTAATTTACCCCTTATTGGATTAATGATAAATAATAAGTTAATTTACTCGATTTTTATTATTATTTCAATAATTGATTTAACATTTTTATTCACTAATGAATTTTGAAGCAATTACTAATTTTCACATTTATCTTTTAATTTAAATAATTCATAATTTTTCGTTCTTTTACCCTTTAAAATGAAGCTTAAAATATAGACTTTTTAATAGACAAATTAAACAAAATGACATTTTTTTGTTTTCAAGATATTAATTAATTAATTAATTAACTAATGTTAATAAAAATGAAATATTTTACAAATAAATAAAGTTACCGTTATTTTGAACTTACCAATTAATAACTTACGTAATTCCGCATCCAATGTGCCATATATATATGAAGTATTTTGGATTAGTGGATTGTTAATAAACAATTATATAGGCCTCGTTGGATGCAGAATTACGTAACCTTTTAATTGGTGTTCAAAATTACGGTAACTTTATTTATTTCTAAAATATTTCATATTTTATTAACATTAATTAATTAATTAATATCTCGAAAACCAAAAAAGTGACATTTTGTTTAAATTAATAACAATCAAAAATATTTTTGATTGTCAAAAAAAGCGGTTTGAATTTTTTTTTTTCAATTTTTTCCCCCCTTAAGTTCTTCACAAAATTTTAGCTTCATTTATCAAGTATTTTGCGAAAAAACATGCCGAGAATATTTACATATGAAATCATAACAATTACATGACCTTAAGAAAAATTAAAAAGAAAAAAAGAAAGGGAGGAAGGAGAATTAAGGGAAGAAAAAGCTGGTAGTTGAAATAGTTTAGAAGAAGAAAGATAGAAAGAAAAGTTTAAAGATAAAATTAGTGGACGAAGAGGAGAAAAATAAAAAGAAGATGAAGAGGAGGAAGAAGAAAGAGAGAAAAGTGTAGGAGGAGAATAAAGAGGAGAAGAAGATAATAGTGCCAATGATACAGAAGAAGAAAAAAAGAAAAGATAGAAAAAGGAGTTTTAAGATAATGAATCAGAAGAAAAAAGTGATGAAGGTGAAGAAAAAGTTTAAATGAAAAGAAAGAATAAGACATTTTAAGACAAAGAAGAATCTAGAGGATAAGGAAGTAAAGAAAAGGACGTTGGTGTTAGAAATTTGAAGAACCTTACACAACATCGAAATTAAAACACAAAACAATTATTTATAAAAATACAATGTCAAACAACATAATGAATAACATAAAACTAAAAAAAAAACATAATTTACTATCTATAAGAGAAAATACTCATTGCAAAGGAATTATTTATTTATATATATATATATATATATCAAAAAGAAGATTATATTATAAAAGACGATTAAATTTCTAGGCTGTTTTCATAATAACCAGGTTAAACATTGAAAAACACATAAATTTCGTTTATGAAAGGAAAAGCCAAAAGTAGAACAACGATTTCCGAGTGTCCCAGAAATGGATTACGCACAACATCATGCGCCTGTCTCTCTAAGGCAATACAAAATGGCACTAATTTTGACAATAAACCACAACAATTACCACACAAACTTAATTACCATTATCATGAATCTAATTTATAACAGTTAATTATATTCTTTATCAAACAAGTCACCAAAATAACGAATCTTAATTAAATTAAATGATCCGCTTAATATTACTGAATTTGCACACACACTCGCGTATATAGTATATAATTCGCACATGTTGTGATATTTTCTAAAAATTTCTTTAAACTTCTTCAACAACATTAATACACTATATAAAATAATATATCCGTGACAGTAAAATTGAAGGCACACGTGAAAGTGAATTTATATTCTATGTGGAATTTTCCTTTTTCCGCCCCTCTGATCATCAGTGAAATACAATTGAATTATGTTTTTAAATGATTATATATAGTAAAGAAGTTGTGAATACAGTGAACTCGACCATGAAAGAAAATGAAATGGCAGTGAAAGAAAAAAAATATATATATAAACTTCATGCCTTGAACTTTTGGTATGCTTGGCTGATTGGCAGACATTCAGTAAATGATAACGTAAGAATTGCTCTAACACTATATACACGACTGGCATAATGAGAGTCCATAGAACCGAGTATAATATGAGAACAAACAAAGTCCGCAAAATTACAGGTGATCAAGACACGTAGATTAGAGAGTGAGTTTGACGTTAATTAGGGCAATTAGTGTGGATACACGCGCAGTTAGATCAGAAAGCGAATTAGGAACAATTAAATTAATTGGAACTTACATGTGTCCATGTGGACCGCATGATGAACAAACTTTAAACCTGCTGGCTCGGAAGACGAATCGTGTGTGTTTGGTACTGATGAAGTAGAGACTACAGCATCCCACCTTATATGCCCTCGGTTTCCTTGTGCGAGTGAAGAGGACGCATTTATGGTTTCACCGCATATATTCAACACAACAAGAGGAATGCTATTCACCTTCGATTTGTATAAAGAGGAAGACAACGATGTATATTTTGCCAAAAGTTACGCGTTCTCCGAAGGAAAAAAAAAAATCAAATGGACTAATAAAAATTCAACAAGAGAAATCCAGCACGAAATAACTGGTTATTAAATTTCGATCAACTGATGCAATGTGCCCGGCTTTTTTTTTTTCTCTTAGCGACTTAATTAACTTTTCATCACATTTTAAATATGAGATAATAAATTCATAATCAGTTTGGTCAATTTCTTTTTATGTTTTAATTGTAATCACTGTGTATTTTTTATAAGTTTGAGAAAAATAAAAAGAAAGGAAGACGACGATAAGAAGATAGAAAGATAGAGAAAGTACGTTGAACTAATTTGAAATATTTGTAAAAGTAAATTTTGATGTTAATTTTAAGGAATTATTTTTTAAATGAAAGTTATTTTTGTCTAATTATATTCCTTTATTGGTAATTAATTTTCGATTTACTATAACTGTAGATATAAATTTAATAATATGTTTGTCAAAATCACCTCATCTACCGCCGAGAGAAAAAATATATTTGTCATAGAGCTAAGTAAATATACATATTTCTTTAAAATTAATTTTATTTGTACCAACTCAATTTTGTTTGGTTCAAATAATTTTATTTTGAGTGAAAAAAATCATGTTCGTATCAAATAAAATTGTTATTTGGAGCAAATAAATAGAGTTATTTAAATTTCAGACAAATCTATTTTTATTTAATTAAAGTAATTTATTCAAGTAAAAAATTTCTTTGCGTATAATTCTAAAATTGTGCGTTTAAAATTTAATAATTGAACGATTATGAAAATAGAGTTGAAAAAAAAAATTAGAAAGTGAGTAATCAAAGTTCTTTTTATTATTATGCAAAATACATATACAAATTTTTAGTTAAATACAATGATATGAATTTTTATTAATTCTTTCTTAAATGAGAAAAAACAGCACAGAAGATAAATATTGGTTTACGATTAAATAAAATATGTTAAAGTTTATTTATTATTCTAGTAAAAGCATTTTTTTTAATTTGAATTTTTTTCTAAATCTAAGTGTTGATAATTTTTGTACAAAAAACAGTTTATTTATTTTTTTTTTAATAAAGAAAATTTTATTCTGAATTTTAAAAAAATAGAAAGTGACTAAATAACAAATTTCTCAAGTCGATTTTCCTAATTTATACTGCTTTTAAAAATTGTTCCTTTAAATGAAATTTTAAGTTTATTGCATTTGTACTATTTAGAGCAGAACATTTCTGTGAAGTAAAATTTGATTGATTCAAATCAAGTTTTATTCATTTTTTTTTTATCTCAGAAGACAATTTATTTTAAGATGAAAGAAAAAGTACTTTTTCTAAAAAGAAGGGATAATAAATATTTCCAAGTTAAATGAGAATAATAATGCAACGTTAATTTTAGCTACTATTGAAATTAATTTTTTTTAATTCGAAAAAATAACCTGTTATTAAAAAAAATATTATTTAATACCATAAATTTTTATATGCCTCGAATTTTTATTTTTTCTTTTACTATGTTTGCAGTTACTATTATTCAAACAATTATATAGTAAATTTAAATTACTCTTTAAGTAGTTATTGATTCTAATTCTAAATAATTCAAAGTTTCTATTGAAATGAGATTGAAAGGGTTTTATATGTTTCCGCGTTATAACGATCTGATTTTATATAATTACAGCAGTGTAAGTGGAGGATAGAGACATTTATCGGAAGTGGAGATTTATGAGAACTGGATATATATATGAACCTGAAATGATCAATTATAGATTTCACTATTCGCTCATCTATGGCGCTAAATGATTATGAAGCAATGTCGTTATGTATATGGGCATATCTCTAGAACTTTTAAACTTTGAGATATTAGAAAAATTAATTTTTCTTTCAGGGCACATTCGTGAAACAAATTTTATTGTCTTCAGTATTGATCAAATACTATACAAAAATTTGCGTAACTCATTTTTACAAATTGTTACGCAGCACAGTGGGCCTTATTGCAAAAAACCTGCCCAAAATCTCTAGATGTGTTTAAAACTGACTGAAATTTGTTACTCGCGGATTTTTTTGGTCGCTGATTACAAATCCGACGTTAGTTTTTTAAAATTCAAAATGGCGGATCCAATATGGCGGATGACTTTTAAAAAATTGATCGAATTTGTCTGAAATTTGTTACTCGGGGGTTTTTTGGGTCGCTGATTACGAATCTGAACTTAGTTTTTCAAAATTCAAAATGGCGGATCCAATATGGCGGACGACTTTTAAAAAAATTGATCCAATTGGCCTGAAATTTGTTACTTGGGGGTTTTCGTAGCTTAGTTTTTGTAACCATGTACATAAAATTTAAAGTTTCATTACTAATATTTAAAATGGTGTATCAAATATGTCAGAAAGATATTTTTCAATTATTCAATTTTTTAAAAAATTTTGTTTGCAATTTTGGATCCACCATTTTGAATTTAGAAAAATTAAGTTCAGATTCGTAATCAGCGACCCCATAAACCCCCGAGTAACAAATTTTAGGCCAATGGGATCAATTTTGTACAAAGTCATCCGCCATTATGAATTTTGTAAAACTAAGTTCAGATTCGTAGTCAGCGACGCAAAAAACCGCCGAGTAACGAATTTCAGGCCAATTGGATCAATTTTTTTAAAAGTCATCCGCCATATTGGATCCGCCATTTTGAATTTTGAAAAACAAAGTTCAGATTCATAATCAGCGACCCCAAAAACCCCCGAGTAAAAAATTTGAGGCCAATGGGATCACTTTTTTAAAAATTCGTCCGCCATATTGGATTCGCCATTCTGAATTTTGGAAAATTTAAAATTCAGATTAGTAGTCGCAGCGACCCCAAAAACCTTCGAGTGAGAAATATCAGCCAGATTTAAACACATCTATTAGTTAATACTTACTTTTCTTCACAAACTATGCGTCGGACAGTTTAGGTTTATAGTCATTATTAATTATAAAGTTTTAATGAAGTGTGCAAAGGTGAACGATTTTTCTGTAGACTTTTATAATGCATGAGAAGAGATTACAATGAGTTGGGAGCATTTAGAAGCAAAATTCAACATGTGCTTTTCAAATATGTGGTTTTTTGATATGAGTTACGTTTTAAAATTTTATGTTTGAAGTCATTGCATTCTTTGTGTAAAGGAGGCACACATTCCTGTATGGGTTCAAATTACTTCTTATTAGGTAGATAATATAATCCCGTTGTGCCGTTACTCAAAAACCTCCGTTAAAAAAGTTATATCAGTTTAACTGCTAACTTGTAGAAATTTTGAAAAAGTTGTCTCGCAAGTTTGAAGCTACATAGTTTTTATTCAATTTGAGGCACATCATTGTTTCATGGATTTTTTAGTTCTTTACACTCCCACCTACTTCTATTGCAAGCCACAAGACACACAATGTTTCGTTAAAAAAGTTACAGTCTAAAAACAAAAAAAGCAGTCAATATCACACACTAGAAACTGTCGATTTCACCACTTTAACTTACGTTCGTCATTTCCTACATAATTAAAAAAATTATATAACGCATGATACATTTAAAAAGCCCTATAATTGGTCAAATTATGGTATTGAAAAATTATTTAAAAAATTCTTAAGGTATCATAATGAGCGATAACATAAAGTTTAAAAGTTCTAGAGATATGCCCATATATCCCCACTTTTTTTTTAAGTTATCTATATAGAAATAGTTTACAACTATTTTATTAAAAAAAAACTTAATAATTTCATAATATTAATGAACTAAAATTATTTTATTTCAAAAAATGTTCTTTTTCTTTTATTTATTGTTTCAAAAAAAAATTACTTTGGAAAAATTTAAAATAATATTTTTTGGGGGAAAATTTGCCAACTTTCAAAATCTTTATACGTTCTGGTTTTTTAATTTTAAATGAGGTCAGTCGACACAATAATTTTTTTCAAAGAAATTTTAGACATTGTTTGAATGCGTTGAGATGTCACTAAAGCCATTAACATCAATAATTTCAATGATAATTGTTTTGACGAAATACCGTCATGAAGATAGGAAGATCTTAATAATTTAATAACAATCTAAGGGTCTCACGTAAAATCATATTTTAGTCACTGTGTGATTTAATTACCGAAACGCATTTAGTATGGAAGCTACTGAAGAGAGTAAAAACATTTTTAAAATCTGTTTTGAAAATATAGATATTAATTTTCTGACAGAAAGTATTTATTATGTTGCTTTATAGTAATTTCAGACAAGGATGCAATTATTACGGATTAACAATAAAATTTTGTAGTGCTTGAAGTAAAATGATAAGTATATTGATAATAATCAAACTTTATGGACATAACAATATCATGAAATTCGTACTTATGATAGACGAAATTGAATTTACAGATTCAAATGCTAATGAATAAAAATTTCTGCAGCGAAAGCAAAAAATGAACAGCTATATCCAAAAACTAAAAGGATTATAATTAATTTCCAAACCTTTGATGTATAACAGACTTTTTCTGTTTAAATAAATCAATTTGACTTTGTTGTAAAGAAACTTTTGGAAAGTATTCAGCATCCCACTTGTTACTAATTCTAGATTCTACAAGAGCAGATGTAACAACATCAAATCGACTTGGATACGGTGATCCTCTTGAAAAATATATTAAATCCAGTGCCATTTGAACAATGTACATTAATTTCCAGTTTCGTTGATCGAATTTTAGGTATTTACTTATCAACCAAGGTATCAAAATTAAATAGAAGATGAATACTATTTTAAAAAGATGCCATTCAATTATCCAAATTTTATATTCACCGGGTAAAATTGGCACTAATACAACTAAATTTATAGCTCTTGTACCTTTGCCTATTTCGAAAACTTCATTACTCCTGTACTCCATCAATTCGCTAGAATGGTTGGAATACCCCACAAATGCAACTCGTTTTGTTCTATTTTTTTCATCATTCTAGTGCTGTTGTATTTGGATAAGCGTAATGCAGACCAGCTAGTAATATTGTATAATTTCATTTTTATAGAAAAATTAATGACCTTTGATATACTAATCTATAAGTTGATGTCAGGACCGTGGACTCTTATAACATGTTTACTTGAATTTCGCATAAAGAGGGCATAAGGTGAAGAGTGCATTACACCGATTTTCATCTTGTAACCATTCAGATTACGAAGTTTATACGGAAACAGAATGCTTTGCTTTGAGAATGTTATGTTTTAGTAGATCTTTTAGTGAATGGATTGTAGTAGTGCAAGTTCGCATTCACTGTTTTATAATTTTCAACCAGTAGTGTTTTATCATCTTTACGCTGTTTTAGTACAAGGATAGTGACGTCCAAAAATTGCCCAACAGATTCAAGTATGTTAAGTACCTTCGATGAAATGTTGTGATCAATTCTTGAAGTGATGATTACTCTTATTACCTTTAGCAAATATGGAGGTAATTCTATTCTCTCTCCGTTTTCATTCGTGATGTTCTTGAAATCAGCAACTCGTGTTGGTATCATTTTTGAAATTTGGTTTATAAGCTGATAAATAATACTATTGTTAAAATCGTTTTCGTACAAAAGAAGCTGTTGATGCATTTTAGTATCCTTTTTTAAAGTAGTCTGTAAGTTATTACTCCACATGTAATTAGCATGTACTTTTTTTCGTACGTACAGTACAATAGGTATAAAAACCTAATGAAAAGTTGAATTTAAAATTGTTTAAATTATTTATTTAATTCTTATAGATAATTTTTATTTATATCAGTTCCTACTAAATGTTACTAAATTTAAATGAAATTAAATGAAAAAAATCCCTACTGAATTTTTGTTTTATTAATTTTAAGTACTTACCAATCAGTATTAAATTAAATTCTCAAGCACAAAATCCACATGCATAGTATTTTCAAAAGGAAAATTAGTATCCATAAAACCTGAACTACATCTAAATAATCAACTACTCTCTGTCACAGAAAAAATAAAAATACTCGGATTAATTTTTGATAACCATTTAACATGGAAGTCACATATAAAAGAATTGAAAAACAGCTGTAAAAGAAAATTAAACATAATCTAAACACTTGCAAAGAGAAATTGAAATACATATCAAATCATCTTAATAAATACACACAACTATGAGAGCAAAAATCAAATATTGTTGCACCATTTACAGCTCTGCTAAACCAAACGTCTTAGAAACACTGTCTCTTGTTCACAACTCAGAATATCACTAGGAGCCTTCTTTTCTCCGTCTTATAACAGCTTTAATAGTCTCATAACTAACAAAAAAAAAACATTACCAGTCTTATACAGAGCCCAGTTTGAAAAATTAAAATCACAATACCTAAATTACCATATTTATACAGATGGCTTTAAATGTCAAACAGGATCCGGAAATAGTTTTCACACAACTAAAACAAACCTACAATTCAAACTACCTGAATTAAATTATCCTCCGATGTGAAACGTACGCAATATTAAAAGCCCTGAATTTCATAGACAACTGATCTGAAAATAAATTTATAATTTTCTCTGACTCTCTCAGTGGGATCAAATCTATACACAAAATCGTACCAAACATGACAAAATCACAAAAAAAATCCAAGAACTATCCACACATTTAAAACATAATGGAAAAAGAATTATTATAATCTAAATTCCATCCCACGTCGGCATACCAGAAAATGACACAGCAGATTCCCTTGCAAAAACCGCTTGTACACTTTAAAGAAGAAACACTAAAACTCTAGAACGACGAATGGAAAGCTAAATCTTCTAAATTACACGAAATCAAAAACAATGTCTATGATCAACAAAAAATCTCATTGGAAAACCGTAAAGATCAAATAACTTTAACCCGTTTGCGAATTGAACGCATTCATCTAACTCATCGCTCATAAGAAGAGAACCTATTTTTTGTAACCAGTGCTTAAATACTATCTCAATAAAACATATTTTAATAGATTGTCCCAAATAAAATGTGCTACGAAACAGACTCAAAATCAAAAACCAACTAAAAATTGCTATTAAATGACAGTAATCAGTTCCAAAAAGTTCTAACTTTCCTAAAGAAAACAAATGTAATAAACTCAATCTAAATTAACAATGTAACCAAAATAACCAATTGAAAATAATGTAACTAATGTGACAAATTATAAATATATTGTATTGCCGTCACTAATGACCCTGGCAATTGATGGGACGTTTTAAACATTTAATAAAAAAAAAAAAAATTTGTTGCATTGTAAAAGCGATTATGCTCTAAAAAAATAAAAAGTTTTACTACATTAACTAAAAACTTTCTTGTATAAAATTACTAATTGTATATCTTATAAAATGCGAACTCATTATATTCTATTCCAGAATATTCGCCATTTAAAAGTGATTGCGAAGTCATTCTACAACTTGATAATTAACAAAATCTGGCACAAGACCTACAATAAAACTGATGATAATTTATCGCCACAAACCCAAACTTGCAATCCTCTTTTAAAATGGAATTATTCTAATGGAGAAATTATACCATATTTAAAAGAAAGTTTTATATTTTTTGACAGTAATCGCGCGAAATAAATTTCATTTTTACGATTATTAATTTCTTTTAAGATATATAGAAACGTGAAGAGAAACAATTATAATCATTTTTTTTTTACAAATAATTTAAAAAATTACAAGAAATGTGTCGAAATTAAAAAAAATTTAATTTGAAAAGTGTAAGTTATTTCACGTAAGGATTATGACGTCACTCCTCCTCCAAAGCCCTTTCAAAAAGTGTCGAATGAAAAAAAATTTTAATTTGAGAAGTTTAAAATACTTTACGTAAGGAATATGACGTCACTTCCCCTCTAAAGCAACGTATCACGAAGGTATATTGTATTCGTAATTAATCTGGAAAGAACCTTCTGTCCTACAGCGAAAAAACATACGAATACATGACACTTGAGTATGTTTTTCCGCATTAAGGCGCAGTATAAGTTTTCCTTTCCCTCACAGCAACAGGACAAATAGTTGTTAGAGGAAAATAAAAATGAAAAGATTATATTCAAAACTTTATTAAAAAGAGAACAAACAAAATATATAAAACCTTTTTAAGTGATGAGAATATATTACACGTTTTTCGTGATCGTTAATGAAAGACTAGATGGAATATAGGTTACTTCCGACTTCCTGTGGAAAATTACATGGTCTTGCAAGACCAACTTCTTCTTATGCCTGGAATCTCATTTACTTCCACTACTGACCTTGGCACCACGCCGTTCAGCTATTCCTTTCTATACAATATTATATTTCATTCTTTCACTCCGACTTGCGCTTCTTGTGTGACTGAATGAAATTAATTTTGGACGGAAGAAAACCTCCCTCTAGTTTTATTGGTCTTTCTTTGTACCTGAAAACGCAATTATTGTCATTTTATTTATTTTTTTTAACTATTAATCAAGAAAGTTTTGTTCAAAACAGATCAAAAAGTGTAAAAAATCATTAATTTTTACATTTGCATTACCATTAAATATTTATATTGCAGAAATTAAAAAATTCGTTAGCTCATTAATCTCTGAAGAATTTAGTTCTAAATTGCAGAATTTTTTTTTTTAAATTTTTTCCGTAATTATGGTCTGGAAGTTAATTTGAACCCAACCTTTTTTATTTCTTCCCACTGTAGAGAGTGGCAAGACCTATTTTGTTCAATTACAGTTACAGTTTACACAGTTTACAATGTAAACTGAATTTTAATTAACCACAAAGTTTCGTTTGTAAGTGTAACAATAATTAACCTTGCCGAACTCTATTTCATCTGTTCAAAGTGCATGAATGTTGAGTTTTCGTCTGATAATAATTGGCAACTTGTGTAACGTATGTTAGTGTCACGTGTATAACTAGTAGTATCAAACTTTAGTTTAGGAGAAAATTTTAATATATTAATTGAACTCAGTGGTTATAACGTTAAGTTTAGTCGTTATTCGAGGAAATTTGCGATTGATTAATCATTTGATTTTTGCATCTCGTCAGCGATTTTTTTTAGTCTGTGAAACAACCCTCACAGCACCAGATATCCTAGGATATTCCGAAAACATCACTTCGATATCCTAGGGATACCCCAGGGATATCCTAAGGATACTTTAAGGATATCCAAAGTAGCGGCGGTTAGGATATCCTAGGGATATTCCAGGGATATCTGAGGATGTCCCTAGGACGTCCCAGGGATATCCTAATCATTTCCCTTCCGCTCGTGGGAAAAGACATACTTTTCTCCCGGTACACAGGTAAGAAATGGTGTACTTTCGGTGCGAGTGTTAGAACAAAAATTTTTCATTCGGTCAGTCCCATAAAAAACGAATTTAAAGTGTCGAAAATCGCATTTTTGGCTTAAATATATGCTCTAATTATCAACTTTAAGGCCCAAATTTGAAAGATGATTGACAATCACGGGAAACCTATTTGTATCAAAAAATTGCTATCTCAAATAGTCAAAATTTGAATCATAATGATATCCTAGGGAGATCTTAGCGATATTTCTAGAATATTTTAACGATATACCAAGATTATCCCAAGAATATCCCCACGATATCACTAGGATATCCCTGGAATATCCCAGGGATATCCCTAGAATATCCTCAGGATATCCCCAGGATATCCCAGAATATCCTCAGTATATCCCCAGGATATCCCAAAAATATCCTACGTAACGGCGGTTTGAATGTTCTGAGGATATCCCCAGGATATCCCAGAATATCCTCAGTATATCCCCAGGATATCCCAAAAATATCCTACGTAACGGCGGTTTGAATGTTCTGAGGATATCCTCAGGATATCCTAGGATATCCTATGGACGTTTTCAGGATATCCTCAGGATATCCTTTTGTTGTGAGGGAAATATTATATTTTGTATTTTTCTTTAATTGTGTTTTATAAGCCATTTATTTAATTTGATTTCGTCCTACAATGGATTTTTACTTTTGCAATTCTAATTGAGGAACATAATTTGATCAGTAGACCGAAGGCATCACTCAAGGCTCCACACGTCAAGATGTGCAATTGGCAAGCCAAAGATGAAATAATTCCTCTAATCATTCCATCAGTTTAACTACTAATTTTGGATGAGTATCTTATAATATTGTCATTTATTTAATTTATTTATCAATCATTTATATTGCCGATATATCTAATCGGAATATTGTTTTTAGGGCGAATGCCATTAATTTTGACGAGTGCGAAACAAAGGATTTTTTTGTGCATAAGTGTGTAAAGTGTATCACGATCTTTTTCTAATTTATTTAATACCTGCGCAAGGTAAATTTAATAGTTTAATTTATGTTATGAATTATTAATAATTGAACGGAGATTTTTTGAATAAATTTTATTATTGTAATTATTTTTTAATTTATTTCGGTAAATCCGACATTATTTTTATTTGTATTTAATATTTTTTATTCAAATTTTAATTAATCTAGGTAATATTAAATTGATCGTAATAATTTATTTTATTTTGTTTGTCATAATTTTCATTTAAGTAAAGAATAATTTTTTTACAAAGTAATCTTAACCGTGAAATTCAGTGAATTGGGAAATAAAAATTATTAAACCCAAATAAATTATTTTGTAATAGAAAGGAAAAAAGTTTAGATTTTTTAGGGTTTCAATTATGAATCTGATGTCAGATATTCAAAATTCAAAATGGCGGATCCAAGATGGTGAACAAAATTATTAATAATTGATAGTTTTTCATGAAATGTAGTATTTACGCGTTTTTATACCATATCATTATTATCAGCAACTCCAAGAAATCGTAGATAACAATTTTCTTAAAAATCTATCATTTTTAAAAAAATTTATCCTCCATATTTAATCCGTTAATTGAATTTTTTAAATCTAACTTCCAATTCGTAATCAGCGGCACTAAAAACCTTTAGCCAACAAGTTTTATGAAAAAATAATCAATTTTTAAAAAAATTGTCCTCTATATTGAATCCGCCATTTTGAATTTTAAAAATCTGACTTCAAAGTTTTATGTAAATCCATTAAGGTTTAAAAAAAATTTGTATACCACCAAAAATCCGACATGTTTTTTTAGATTAGGAAAAAATCCTGACGTGATAGAGTAAAGTGGACTTCAGATTCGTGTTATTCTTTTTTTCTGAGGCTGTGTAATTTCTATCTTCTAGTACAAATAATTAAAGACGAGGTTGGAAATCTTTTAATTTTTAGAAACTGAAAGTTGTCAATTACACAATAAATTGTGGAGGTATTTTTTTAATACCAAAATGGTGTATTATTTAAAATCTATCTAAGGATTAAAATTTTCAACTTACAATTAGAATCATTTACATTGTACTAAATTTAAAAATGAATTTAATTCAAAAAATGGATTATTTTAATATTTAATGGTATAAATTTAATCTGCCATGTTTTTTAAAATCTCATAGTGTACTGTAAAAAGTGAAATTAAAAAATATATTATTTAGAAATATTAAAATATAAATATATATGTACTTACTTTGCCGAGTCTTGAGCAGCTATTAAATAACTAGGAATGTATGAGTCAAGTAAAGATTTCGGTTCAGATGACAATGTAAAACTCTTTGTTGGCAAAGATTCACTTTCCGTGGAAACTGGTACAATTTGTGTGAGACTCGATTTAAATTTTTGTGGCGGTACTTGTGGTGGAACAAAATGCTCAGACGGTTCATCCGGAATCTTAAAAATAATTAGAACTAGAATTAATATAAATAGAATATCATATAATATATGAAAAAATTAATTATATTAATTTAAATAAATGTGAATAAATAATACATTGTAGTCTTCTATAATAATTTTACCTTAACTCTTTCTTTATGAGATCCACGGAATATTTTCACGAATTGTTCATCAATTGCCGTTGGAATATAATATTGTTCATTTTGAGTGTATTGAATTCCATGATTATTTAAACTATTATCCTGTACAAAAGTAGGTAATCGTGAGAAGAGATCGGCATAAACTGGAGCTGTTTGACTGTAAACGGCCTTTGGTTCAGTGTAAATAATTTGGGGCAAATACTGCATTTGCTGTTGAGTAAGATAAATCACTTTTTTTGGCTGATGATGCATCTTCTCTGATTGAGCGTAAATTGGAGATGAATGAGTTTGCGCTCCCGAAGCCATTTTCGAATTGTGAACAGTGTAAATTTTAGTCTTTGGCCCCTAAAACACGAATCATTTCATTAATAATAAATCTTTAATAAAGAATTTTTCTTTTTTTATATTTAAATATTTTTCTAATTTTACTAACTAAAATAATTATATGTATGTAAATAAATTCTTATTGTTTCATTCAAAAACTTTAATTGTTGAAAGTATTATGTCATTTTAGAACAACAAAAAAATGTAATAAAAATTTCTCATTTATAATAAAGTACTTTAAATAGTTCTAGAAAATAAAGTACATTACAAATCACATGTATAGTTTTTCAAAATTCAAAATGGCTGATCCAATATGGCGGAAGAATGTTTCAAAATTGATAAAATTAATAATAATTATTATTTTTATTAATAAAAATGTACAAGAACTTAATTAAAAAATTACACTGACCTTTGAGACAAGTGCTTGAGTGTGAGTATGTTTTGGTGTATAAGTTACATATTGAGGTTGAATGTTGTAAGCAAATTTTCCAGATGAAACAAATTGATTTTGATGTAAATCATTCGAATAGACTTGAGGAGATGGGTGTTGATGCATATCAACAGTCAGTCGATGATACAGTGGTTGCGATTGAATTTTTGAATTCATTTTGCTTAATTCCAAATTCGAATAATATGGTAATTGTTGGTTTGTTGAAACATCCATGTATAAAGTTTCTAAAAAGTACAAATTAACGTTAATAAAAAGAAAACTATCAGAAAACTATCATATATTCAGAAATTATTTTAAAAAAAGAAAAAAAAATTAAATTATAAGAAATAATGAATATAAATTTATTATAAAATAAAACAAATGAAGTAAAATATTTTGACATCATCATGAAGGAAATATCAAATATTTATATTTCTTATGATAGAAACAAAAGAGATAATAAAAATATAAATTCGGTATTTGAAATCTGATTACAAAAGAAGTAAATTATTATTATTCTATGGATGGAAATAAATATCTATATAGATAAATGCATTTTCCCTGGGCTCGTAAATTCTTTTACTACAATCATATCTGTAACAAATAAAAGCATTTTCTGTGTGTGTATGTATATATATATAATTCACAATTTGAAATTGTTCCTTGTCAATTTTCAAACAATGCAAAATAATGTTAAATCATTTCCGGATATTTTAGGTGTATCTAATTTTTTTTTCTACATATATTTATAGCTTGAAAAGAGGTTAATTTTCTATGAAAATTTGAGAGTGGTGTATATGTATATAGAGATTTTAAATTGTTAAAGGATTTACTGGTTTTATAGCTATTCTGAATTTATATGAGGTTATTTACATGAGAAAAATTCCAACTAAACGAGAGAAGTACATTTGGGAAAAGATAGCGTTTGAAGAATCGTAAAATGAGTAGATTGTCTAAAAAATCTTATATACCTGCATATATATAGGTTTACTCTCTATTTTACATCTCATGGTTCACTTTCATGAAATGAATCCTCAAAAGAAAAAGAAGAAAAAAGTAAAAATCGATACTTTCAGAAAATTTAGACTTTGAATTTGTATATTCTTTTTTTTACTTTAAAAAATAAGAGGGTGCATGAATATTCCCCAACTGTCATTTAACCGAAACATTATTGTAATCGAAATCGTCTGATTATTAATACCAGCAAAACTAAAATTGTTATCTTTCATTAAGGTGGTAAAAACTGTGTCAAGCGTTTTAAATCATTTAAATTGGAGAATAGTAGTATTGAGGTTTTTTTTACGGGAGAAGTAGAAAATCTGCATAACTCTTGGTATCCAAGGCTTCGCTTTGCACAAGAAGCAACTGGGGCTGCTCTTGCAATCTGCAAACTTATGATCGGCTTCCCCGCACTTAAAGCACACAGCCGATATATCTGCTACCTTGCAGCTTCTAGCTAGATTGCGCTAACTCAGGCATCGGTGACACCGGACAATCATGACTTTGTTCCTTATTTGGCAGTACATAAAGCAGCCTGACAGCCTCTTCTTGGTCGGTGACAACAACTGCAAGCTTCATCCCTCGCTTGTTGGGTCCGAAGACCGTCACCTTCCTGCAAATTCCGAGTTTTTGTTCCAGCGCTTACTGGACTTCTGCTTTACGGGTAAGGAAATTAAGGTCGCGGATCTTGAGTATAACGTTCCGATCCACCTTCTGCACCTTATCTATGCTGCCAACAGCCTTGATCACCTCGGCGGTAAAAGCTACCTTGTCCGAGTCACCTCCGACCCTGATCAAGAGGTCTCCCTTTTTAGTGGGCCTTGCCATCAAGACTCTCGTGTGAGTGATATCAGGATTAACTTCCTTGCAGAGCTTTCCCAACACATCAGCATACGTATTACCTGAAGCGACTCTTGGTAGCGGACAACCATCGGCAGGGAGTATTAAGGTTGTTAAGGAATATGTATAATTGGTTTTATTATAATTTATAATACCAAAACTGACTCCTGGTCGACTTTTACGAATTTTTTTTTTTGCTAGTCTAGTAAAGATCACGTTGATATACGCGATTCAAATGTGGGGCATAGAACATGTGGATCTTCTCGAAAGGGTTTTTCAAGATTTTTTAAGAATTTATTATTTTTGCCGTAAACGGGTACTCTTCCAGTTTCATAATTGATTTTGGACAGGGCTTTAGTATGGTTAAGAAAGATAAACGACATGTCTGATTTTAGGTATCCTAAATTATGCCTTCTACGTCTCATGGAAATGGCAAGAGTTGGGACGGACGTCCTTCGTTCAATTGGTTCGACTTCTTAATTACTATTTAAAGTCTCTTTATTATAATAGATCTAAACTTTCTTTGCCATCCATGAATCATTGTAAATTCTGCAATTTCTTCAGAAAGAATCTGCACCATTTCTTAGTCATTTGTTCCAATTTCAATTAAACTTAAATATTTTCCGGATCTAAATGAGGATGTCATCCAGGAGTCGTATTGGTGTAATGTACTCTCATCTTGTGAGGTTACGGTTATTATTAATGCTTTTATCGCTATGTTTATTAAAATGTTGAATGTACGAAGTTGCTGAGCGGTATGCGGACTTTTGTGTTTATTTTATTGATTTGTATTATTTTATATATTTTAAATAATTTATGTATGTCTACTCTTTTATGTCTCAAATTGGACTTTGTATATATGGGCTATTTTATCTAATAAAGAAGTATAATAATAATTAAAATAGATCATCACCTTTATTGTCATGTTGAATTATTTTTTCAGGTGAATTTTTTTGCTGTAGCGTTTGAATTTTATTCCTAACAATTAATTCTGGCTGATAGACGTTTTGTTGTGTTTCGTGGGTCGCTTGAGGATTATTCTCTGGGACTATTTCTGCGTAAAATTGTATTGGTTGATGAGTTTGTTGAGGTGCTGACAAAATTGTTTGTTGTTGATAATCGGCTTCGCTTTGCAAATAATTCCTTGTCTGATGATATTCTTCTGGCTGTAAAAAATTTTTATTATTTCATACTTTTAAAACAAAATTTGTTTCGTAATAGGTAATAAAAATAATAATAAAAAAAAATGTAAAAATAATATGATAAACATTAATAAATAATAAATAAATAATAATTAAATAATAATGAATAGAAAAAAATAATAAACAAAATGAATAGTAAATATTGTAAAAGTTTGGTGAATTGTAAATAATTCATAATGCTATATGATAAATACATAAATTATATAGTTCAGATATTCTTGCAAAGATAACGAAAGAAAATTAAATCATATTTAAAAAGAAGGTATAAAAAATAAATTCTTAAATATTATTAATAAAAGAATTAATTATAGTGTAAACTGAACTGGGCAATGAATTTGCAAAGAGATTATCTTATAAACGATATAAAAGTTTATCACGAATAGCAATAATTTATATTATATACTGTAATTACTCGTACTATATATTTAGAGCCGGTTACGGACTGGAGATCTGCATAAGTGCTCCCTTGACTATTCTGAGCTTCGTATAAATTTGTTGATTCCTGATAGTGATCCCCTTCTTTGATATTGTATTTGTTATCATCAGGCCCATCGTCTGATTTAGTTTCCGCATGTAAATTGTCTCTTTCAATGTCTTCCAAGTTGATTTTCTTCTCTCCCAGAACCGTAACGAATAGTAAAGTGAGTAGAATGAAACCCTTCTATAAGAAAAAAAAAACAAAAAGAATAATGAAAAAAAAACAAGAATAGAGAAAGCTATTCTATCATGAAACTTTGATCGAAAAGTGTTTCATGGATTAATTTCAAATTTACGCAGTATAATTATATATATATATGCATTTCTCATAGATTTCCATTTGTAATTATTTGCCGCGCGAACGGTTCTATTAAAAGATAGAGAAAAGTAGATAAAGGAATTTCAATATAATTCACAAAGAATATGTACGAGATTTCATATTAAAATTTATTAAATCTTGAAAAAAATATAATAATGTCAATAGCAAAAAAAAAGTATTGTTAGAAAAGTGAACGTTTCATTAATTAAGATTTTTTTTTATCTCTACAAAGTGGACGTGAATCATGAGAAATATTATTTATTCGTCAGAATTAAAATTGGGTTATTCGTTGATGATTTGGAAAAGAGAACATTGCTTTTTAATATTAGCTTTTTTAGTCTTTGAAAGATCATTAATTTATAGAAATAATGATTAATACTATTGTAACGTCCTGCGTTATTTCATTAGATTTTTATTGTTATTTTCTGTTTCCTATGAATTTTTATTTGTAAATTTCATATTTATTCTAAAAGAAAAAACATCTATGTCTTTTTTTTATTATATAAATGCTAATTTCTTCCTTTTAGAATCGACAATGAAACTGAAAAACTTAAGTGGTCTGCACTTGTAAGTTGCCCTTGGAAATTTAGAAAATCCAACATTTATAATAATAAAAATTTAGCCTAATTGTAAAATGATGCAAAATATAGATGATATCTTTTTCTTTAAGATTTTTATCCCTACTTTTTGGAAATCTGTTTCTTTAAGGGACAACCCACAAAAACTCTAAATTTGAAGTGGGTATAGACCCTTAAAAACGCATATTTGCGTAAGTCAGTCAGTCATTCAAAAATCTTAAAAAGTCATTTGTACAATTAAAATTCAGTTATTCTACAAGTTCAAAGTTTATTTCAAGTGCTGCTTTTCAAAATTCATCCAATCAATTCAAAATTCTGAGAAGGACGTCTATTCTTTGCATTATCAGGAAATTTATTAATTGATAAATAAAAAAAAGTAAGTTTATATTAAAAATTAATTATTTCTTTTTCTCTTCTTTCTTAACTTAACCCATTTCACAATTCCGATAAATTTTGTGTTATGGTACACGATATTTTATCAAGTTCCAACTTATAAATTTTTATTATTCACAATTAATATTAAAAACCTTTCCGAGAAATTTTAGTGTTTTAAGAACGCAATTATTTTCTCAATTCCATTTAAGATCAATTCCTAATCCTCTAATTTTCTACAAAAGGTAAATCGAAAAGATTTCCTAAGTTATTGAACCAAAGTCTAGACTTGAAACTTAATTATTTTAAATTAATTATGTTATATCTGCGGATGCAACAATATCAACTCCATTGACTGGTTTAAAATACAATATTATTATTGTTATATCCACAATGCTAAATTTGACGGGAAAACTCTTAAAATATTAAATGGATTGATCTGAAATTTTGTGGAGATATCTAAAATATGATGAAGAACGTGCGAAAATTGTTATATTTCGTTAAATTAATTATTATAAATATATTTTGGTTTATTTAAGAAAATTTAAAGTTATATGTGACGTCACTATTATAAATATTCTATAATAATAATAGATAATAATTAATTCAGTTTTTGCACGTAACAGACCTCCCTCATCATATTTTAAACATCTTCACAAAATTTCAAATTAATCCATTTAATATTTTAAAAGTAAAGTTCCCGACAAAATTAAAATTAAAACAGCGACATTATTCTGTTAATTATTAAATAAATTTTAATGAATCTTCTATCTATGGGGTTTTAAATTAATTCATTGATATTTCAATTAATTGTTAAATAAAAAATTTCATAATTTAAAAGCATAAATGTATATTAATTATTGTACAAGAAAATCAAAAAGTTTAAACTTTTATATAAAAATCAATATTAAAATAAAAATTATAATTATGAGGAAAAATTTCCATTCTTTATTGATATAATTTTTTTTTCAAAATTTAATAGAAATATTGATGATTTCCTATAAATTATATATAGGATTGTAAATTTTTTAAATTATATTTATAAATATATAGTTTAGTCATTTAGTAAGTACTCAATAAGTATTAAATAGCGGCAAATTGTTTTGAGAAAGTTATATTGCGTTGAAATTATACACCATTAAATTAATGTTAATTACTTTGTATTTGCACAAATATTCCAAAGATTTATAATACAAGGAAGTTAATAAAAAATACATATACGGTAATTATTCATTCAAAAAAAATAAAAATTCTGAAAACAAAAAGAATTAAACCCTATACAATTTTTAAATTCAGAAATAATTTTTTTCCCATTAATTCTTTAACAAATCTGAATGCATTTTTAATTTGCATAATATTTATCAGAACTTTTCTAGACACATAAATAAAAATAATTAGTATAATTATTATTTAATTATAATTTTTTTATTTTTCATTATTATTAAAATTTATTTAAATATTTAAATCAAAATTTTTTATAAACAAACACACAAATAATAATTTGAGTCACAATTTCACTAAAATTACATTAGATACACTTTGGTCCATATTATACGTGTTATTAACCATAATACCCCCAAAGCTAATCAACGGTACATGATAACACATCACCTAATTGGATTTTGTAATTAAATTACCAACTCTCTTAATATGAAAATATTTATTATTTTATATAATTACAATAATAAAAAAAACACCTACCATTTTAGGTGAGATGCAAAAAAAAAAAAGACACAACCGATCTATCTTATACGACTATATAAATGATCCGGATAGTTCTTCTCCTCTTATATATAGCTTTTATCCCTACTTCCGTTTCGATAGCTACCACACTTCACTTCTAAATTATTTGTCCGGTAAAATAATAATACAACTACTCGAGTGTATAGAGAGCACATGGTATGGGATTCTATATAGAGTGAGGTTTTACTCGCGCGGTCACCGTTCACTTTGAATGAAGAATCCATGGGCCAATCAGCCAACTTCTTATTCTCTCTCTTATAATACCTTGTGAACACCGCACAGAAGAATAAATTTCGCAAGGACGCTTTCTTTGCAAGGTTGAGAGCTATATGCATTCATCCAAAGAGAGTTGAGTTGTTCCAAAAATTGACGCCGACACACCTCGTTCCACATCAGTTCAAATTTCATAAGTCTCTGCAGCATATATCTCGATCATCATATTATATCTTGAAAATTCAGGAAAAATAAAATTTTGCCCACGAGAGAAAAACTGAAAGCTGTGAATTTAATTTTATGGATGAATTCATGATATTTTAGTACAGAAAAAAAATATCAAGTTTACCAAATAAAAAAATTTTTTATTGTATAATTCAGTAGGATTGTAAAATGAAGTTATAATTCAAAATGACAAGAAGTCGAATATAATATAATAGAAGTATAAAAATATAATGATACAAATAGTATAAAAAAATATTAAAATGAAAATACAAATAGAAAATTTCCTAAATAGAAAAAAATGGAAATTGTAATAAATAAATGATTTACTGAATTAAATGTAACGAGGGAATAAAAAATAATCAGAAGTATAATAATGAAAATGAAAATACTATAAAAGGAAGCATAAAAATAGAAACTTTTGTACAAAAATAAAATAATTAAAAGTTATAAAAAAGTGAATATCAATAAAGTCAACATTCTAAACAGTGGGCATTACTGAAATTTCATGGTTCGATTCCTGCCATTACACTTTGATTATTATTATTCTTTGATAATATATAAAGTTTCCTGTCTTACGAAATTAATAATTATTTAAATATGTACATAAGAATGTACACACAACAAAATGATATCCATCGAGATGATGAGATTTTATTTCAGAATAAAAAAATTTTATTTTGTTGTAAATTCAATTATTTTTCAATAATGAAACATAAAAATTTAAAATTTACTTCTCAATATATATATATATTGACTGCGAGTAATTTGCGAGTAAAAACCGGAACTGTATGACTTTGACAGTAGTCTATATATTATTATAGTTGCAACCGAATTATATGAGAGGAACGATATCTTCCTTCGACGAGAGAAGCAGATCAGATTAAAAAGACAACCTATAATTTTCGCACAGGAGAGTTTCTGAAAGTTGTCATTAAATGCACCAGGAGTAGCAATCCAGTAAAATTGCAATTATAAGTCAATTTTCTTTGATACTATGTTTCCTCTTTAAACTTCTTATATACGTGACCTGTGTGAGAACATCAGTTAAATATGATTTTCACTTATATTTTTTCATGAAAAATATTTATAATATATAAATGCATTCCAAACGAAGGTCATGAACTGCAAGTTAACTTTCAGAAAAAACAATAACACATATTATAAATGATCACAATTAATTTGTCTTAAAGATGTATTAACTACTAAATTATTAACAATTATTTTAATTTTAATTAATTATTTTATGATATTTCAAATTATGTACAACTATAATGAAATCTTCTAACAATGTATTCTAATTCAATTATTTTTATTAGAAATTTTATGCTTTTTATTATGTTGCATAAAATCTATAGAGAAATAAACTATCAAGACTTTGAAAAAAAATTTTTTTAAAAAAGCTGTGGAGTGATTTGAAAAAATTTTCGTCATTTAAAATGATTTTTAATTTTTTTAACCCACCATATTGGATTTGCCATTTTGAATTTTCGAAATCTGACTTCAGATTCGTAATCAGCGACCACAAAAATTTCCGTTTAATAACTTTCATCATATTCCAAATGATTAAAAAAATTTTTTAGTACGTTGGGCTATGTAATGAATTAAAAATAATATATAATAGGTAATGAGTAATAAATAGTTAATTAATAAAATTTAATACGATAAAGTTAGAACAATTACTCTACTAAAACAGTCAGTAGACTTTCAACGAACTCTTTTACGGGTATTAAAACTTAAATTGAATGTTGTAAAACTATGCAAAGAAATCAGTTAAATTAAAAATGCTGATTAGAAAGTTAAAAAAATTCGATCCTTGGAAGGAACAAAATAACAGAAATTTATGTTATTAAATGTTGTTTATTGACACAAAACAAAAAACGACGTTTCGATGACTTGTTTCGTTATTATCTTCAGGTTAAATCTGATGAACATTAATAATTCTATTTAAAATACCATATTCTCTTTTTTTATAAATAAATAATAATATATAAATAAATAGCACAATTATCAATATAAAATTGAACTGTTACATCTTTACTTTAAAAAGTTTTATTTTGCACAGTCTAAAATGCCAGCTCAGGTTTATAGACCTTTTAGAAGAGAATAAAATCATGAGTCTGATTTGAAAATTAAAGATAAGTAGATTTTATTTAAATACATTATGTCGTCTCTTTTGTTAATATAGTGGAATAATTAATTTTTATATGTAACATTTCTGAAAAACAACGTTTTTTATAATTCTGTTCACGGTCTTGTATGATGACATTATACCAATCAAACTCATGATTCAATTCTGATCGATGTAACCCTCACTTGTTTAACTTTTCTGTATAAAATCAATACTATAATCGCGACAGTAGTCTGACAGATTAAGTATTTTAATATTATTTAACGAATCAGAAAATCAGTCACGGTCGACGTAGATTTTCCATTAAATGTTTTTATACCCCTTTGAGCATCCCTACAAGTGTACAGGAAATTGGTAATAAAATCATAAAATCCGACCCTCTGTAATTTTCGAATCTCACTTATATTAACATCGATTTCCCTTCGAATTCCAAAAATATATTTGTAGGATTATTTTAATTGCCTGTTTTATTGAGAGAAAATACCTTTATTATCACAAACCTATGGAATGTAAAGAGGAGTCACCCTAATCCATAACATTTAGTCGGTTTCTTACTTATTAAAAAGGGTTGGGAAATGCAATCTTCATATGAAAATTTGTGCGCGCTCTTTGTGAAAATCTTGTATAAAAGGTCCACATTTGCCTGGAAAGTTCAGTTCATAATTTGGTATCAGCATCTCATTATCATATATAAAGTCTAGTACAAGTATTGTTACTCTGCTTGATTTCATATTCAAGTTCGACTTAAAAGAATTTCTATTTACTCAACAAGATAAGCCATTAACTAATTTACTAAATCCTTGTACTACCTATTTGTAAAATTCGGTAGTAACCTTGTGCATTCCTTGTTACAGTGGAATGTGGACTTCCTTTACTTTCCAAGACTGGTTGCTTCAAGATTCTCTCTTTCATAAAAAGAACTAATTTTTATAACTAAAATATTTGTGTGTAAAAATAAACTCGTAACCTTGTAACTTAAAATATTATACATTTTTCTCTTTCTTACCTGTACCCTTATCAGAAAGCCTTCTGCTCTATAAATAAAACAGGAAATATCACTGCACGGAAAAAAATAGTTCATGAAACTTTCGTAAACTAGTTGTTCACTTTTGAACGGGCCTAAAGTTTGAAAATCTTTCATTAACTTTTTTTCAAGATTTCACGAACTTTTTTTTGTGCGCGTGCGCAGACATTGATTGTCATGAAGAGAGTGATGAACGTTCGTGAAATATTGGAAAAAGTTAATGAAAGATTTCCAAACATTGGGACCGTCCAAAAGTGAAAAACTAGTTTACGAAAGTTTCGCGAATTATTTTTTTCGGTGTGAATCACCAAAGCGGACAAAAATAAAATATTATTTTCTAATTTTTGAGACGTAACAGTATGTATATTTTTAAAATTTTAAACAATCTAATGAAATCTGGGTTATTATAAGGTAAATTAACTTTAGGAATTTGTTTATATAAAAGTGTTCGTGAATTTGCTATATTATTATTATTATTTTTTGTACGAAATTTAATAATATTTAAACGAATTTTGGTGTGTTTTTTAAGTTGATAAATCATTTTGCGAGAAAACCTGCGGAGAATATTTACATGTGAAATCACAATAATCATATGACCTTAACGTGCCAAATGATAACAGATATGGCGCCACCTTTCTTTCTATTATTCTACTTTTTTGTATGAACTTTATTATTTAATTCACTGTTTTTCGTAAACTATGATAAAATAATGACTAAATTCCAAAGGAAATATTACTAAAGTGCTAAATTCCAACTATTTCATCAGTAAAATTTCACTTATTCTTTAGAGATTAGGCTCATAATTAATATTTCAAGCACGTAATAAAACGCAACTCACTATATATATATATATAAATCTCAATTAATGAAAATTCCCCGAATCAAAGAATAAATAATACAAAATCCGAAATCCAACATGATTGCATTATTCTTTAGAATCACGATCTCGATATAATTACTTTAAGATAATTATCATTGATAATATCTTAAACTGCTGCTCAGAATATAATTTATACGAATTTATCAAGAGTTGTACTTTAAGTATATATATATATAACTTTCTTTTATTATATATATATATCTTTGGATACCCGGAAGATTAAAGTCTCTCTGGACAAAGTGAACGAGATGTAAAGGTCCGATTGGACCAAAAGCAGTTGGGAAGAACGAAAGCGGAAAACCATAAAATTTGAATAGTGTCGAGTGTGTGCTTGTTTAACTCTTATTCTGAATATATTTGTAATTCACCACTGAATATGAATCAGACGTTTCCATCAACTTGTGCGTTAACAATAGCTTATGTCTCTCTTCCGTGTGTATTCGTCTATTTTATATATGAACTATAGAATTATCGAACTATATTCCAAAAATATCATTGTGATACACATCAAATAAAGATATATTAGGAAAAAAAAAATTCTATTACAATAATTTGCCAAAACAAAGCTATATCTTAGCTCTTGAACTTCAAAACTTTCATTATAGGTGTGGATTACAGGTATCATGCAAACGTTTCGAAAGTTTAAGCTGT